AGCTTGATGTTTTCATGAGAAACTGGTGAATGTGTCAGATTCCGCAGGTGCCATGCCACTTACAACAACACCTGTCATAATGAAAACATTTGAACACATTCATGGCTTTAAAAAACTAACTTCATGCTCTATTTAAGTACAAGTCAAATAAAACCTTTCACTGAAAACTTGACTTCAATATTTTTTTTGCATTTAGGCCACACTTTTTTTTCACTTGTGTTACATATCTGAAGACGGTAATTTTGTTTCAATGGGGGAAAAAAATGAAAATTTGCTCTTTTTTTATCCCACAGATAAGCTGATAGCATAATGTACCAAAATATATTTTCTAAACAAGGACCCACTGAGGGTGACTTTGGATTCGGAAAAGCCATTTTTCTTTACCTCAGGTGTCCTCAGATGTGTTTTTAATCCTTCCCTTTCACTTAACGAGCACTCATTGACCTGGGCTAACTTGTACAAGCTGATGATTGAACCTGTCCTAATATTAGATCCCTACCTGTAGATTATCATGATTATAGAGCTGCTTAGCTGACCCACATGAGACACTCAGTATAAAAATACCAATACCTATCTGTTGGATATGTACTTCAATATAATAGGTTATTCTCTGATAAGCGATCTCATGATCTTAGATCATGTTGAAGTCAATCATGTGTTTTACATCCCTGTTCATTTGGAGCCAAATCAATGTTTAGTGTTGTTTAGTATATCACCTGTAGTGTATGGAGTTCTCCAACAACATAGTTTAGTCAGTCTGTGTTTGGTGTAGTGGATGAACGCTGGTATATTTTGTGTTCAGTGCAGAATATCACCTTTCGATGGCCAAAGCATTGATTGTTAATAAGTTGATAATTCACTTACTGGTTAGGCCAAAACTGGCAAAAAGGCAGCCTGCCACCTGTAAACAGTTCAGGCCTGCTTGAACTTTTTTTGCTGTGTTCTATAAAATTAAAAGCTGTAGGATGTTGAAACTGTGCCTGGACCATCCTCCGACAGCTTCTCCCAATGCTGCTCAAACCATTTCTTTTCGAAGTTGTTTGGTTTTCATGTCAACCATATGCAAATACCTACCAGAACTATTTCATTGGTCTCCAATGACTTCAAGATAATTTGATGATTTTGTTTGTTTGTTTGTTGTTTAACGCCGCACTCAGCAATATTCCAGCTACAGGTATATGACGGCAGTCTGTAAATAATGAAGTCTGGACCAGACAATCCAGTGGTTGAAGTTAATGACAGATCATGGTCAGTCAGGTGAGCCCAGAACTTGGAAGAAAAGCAAATAAATTAATTATTGTGGCCTAAGCATGCTAGGAGTGAATATCATTTTAATCCAGGAAGCAGGGATGGAAAGTTCCTAATTAACATATCCTGGCCTAATGGCAACTGTACAGGATATATGATCACCATATTGATACAGCCTTTAGTTACTGGCAATACTTGCTTCATACCACAATGGGTGAGGATGCAAGAAGGAAATCCTGCATCAGAAATTAATGAACAGGGCATGTGTTCAGTGTGATAAGCTCTGAGGAACAAGTGCATAAACCGTGGTAAAAAATCAGAACCACTGTCTGTGTGTACCGCTTGAGTTGGCTTTCATAAGGGTTGAAACTAGAATCAACCATGGACGACAAACTTCCTGAACTTAACATTTCTTAACATGTCAAGGCAGAATTTATTGGATCATAAAAGATTTATAACAAACACATAATCTGTGACACTATTTATGCAAAATTTATCACAGGTGTATCATGTCTAATTTATGAATTCTTCAGCAGGTGATTTTTCCATTATTTTTGTAATGATCTAGGAAGTTTATTTGCTAAATATTTTCCTATTTTTTTCAGGATGTAGACAACATTTTCCTTCATGGCGCATAAACTGATAATAAATTTGGAAAGATAAACGATGCATTAAGTATCACTGTCAGAAATCTCTCCATATCTACTGACAGGCTACATCATCATCATTATCACTAGGGGCATCAACATCAAGACTGGAGTAGATGAATACTTGGGAGAAACATCCCACTCATTCACACTCACCTTTACAGGCAAACACTTCATAAAAGCGCACTAATGCTAAGAGCCTTAAAAGGGCACTGATCTAAAGCAATTCCCCGGGACTGGGTGTTGCCTTTGTTATTGTTTTTTCCCAGTGAGTACCCGGATGTATAGCAGAAATCTAGACTAGTTCGCGGCCTCTGCTGCGCCATTCGTAAGCGCATTAGTCACTTTTAAGGGTAGTAATAAGGGCGTATCGTCACATTGATCAACAAAATGAAATACAGTTTTCGAGATAATAAGGAAATGTAGGTATCTTTGTGGGTAGCATCGGTAAAGGTGACGAAGTTTTGATAAGTCACTAGCTTGGTAATTTTGCGATTTTCGTTTACACTATTTTGACTTGCAACACAAAGTACATATTTCACCTGGGCATTGCTTTTTTTATAGTGTGTATATTTTTTTACTGTCAAAATCTGTAACATATTTTACAAAGTGACTTAAAAACATTTCCATCTGTATTATTATGATAGCGAATTCCAAACATTTTGATGTTTAATGTCATCTCCAAGAGACTGAAAATGTTAAGTTGAAAAGTACATTTCTATGTTGTTTGGCTTCTTATCCTACATAATAATCTGTTGTGATGTTTTTAGGCCCTTTTGATCGTCTTAATCAATTTCAGTCAATCTGGACAGATTTTTCAGTCAAAATGACTGAAATATTTACACATTTTATAAATTGCCTGAGAGAATCACATTTTACAAATTGACGGTAATATATACACGCTTACAAAGGAAAAGACTTGTGAAAACAACGTCTATCGCGCATTGAAGAATTTCCCAACCAAGACGTAGAGGAACAAGAACGAATCGGTTCAATGCTACAGCAAATGAAGGAAAACAAAATGCAAATACAATAATTACAACCTACTAAATATATGTGTATAATTTTAGGCAGCTTCCTTGTTCGAGGAATGTATCCGTGAATATCCACACAAAGGAACAATATCCCACTCGTCTGCAGCTGTACAAAGAAACTTATTCGATGTCACGTGTGTCTGTAACAATCAAGATATATATCGTTTCGGGATATTATAACCCGTGTTCATTTCTCAACTGATCACTTAGATTGTTTCAGTTGTTTCACATAGGTGTCAAGCCTCAAGGGTCGGCTGAGAAAGCCCACTTGACAACTATTTTCATAACGTCCACGGTTCCTAAAAAAATCCATTGAGTGATAGATAACAATGAGCAATCAATCAACGTATTATCAGTTAACCCTTTGAACAAAGTATGTTGTTTTTACATCAGCACTTCACGCCATGATATGAGTGTATTCCTTTAGTTTTAGTAAACCTAGACATGTAAACACTCACTTTTGACATATCCACTGTGCAGTGATTAATCAATCAACGTATTTCCTGTTATTCCTTTGATGACTAGGAACGATCTGTTGATTTACAAAAAAAAGTAAATCAACTGATCATTCACCTCTTGCTGGGCTGCCACGTGCATATTACACAACACAAATTTCACCTCACTTCAAACCTGGATTTAGATTGAATAATTACCCCAGACACAATAAATGCCAAATGGGAACCTTTGTCAGGTAATCTAAGTGGTGCTGCCACTTATTGTACCTGTAATAAATTCATTAACTGAGCATCAAGTGAATGATGACAAATTCACAAGTGTAGGGTTATACGAGAAAACGTGGATGACATCAAGGGAGTAGTAATCGTATTATCGACGCAATCTGAAATCCGAAAAATGCTTTCACTGCATGGATACTTTTTTTTTTATTAAACTATAACCGTCTGGGGTATTTCCAAATGACGACATCCGATGAGCTCCACCGTTCTTTTAATCTGTTTGTTTAGGCTGAAGAAATTAATTAACATGCGCCCTTTGTCAAAATCTTTATAGATCACAGTTAACCAATCAGTGTTCAAAAAAGCGTAAAACAATTATTGCCTCCAGCCTCTAAAGTTTATTTAGCTGTCCTTGCAGACGGTAGCCCAGTCTCTGGTCACGCTCAGTTGCGTTGCGTATCATCCGGGTACTCACGGGGGAAAAACAATAACAAAGGCAACAACCAGTCCGGGGAAATGCGTTAGATCAGTGCCCCTTTAACAGAGCCACAGACTAATGTGACTGGGGGATCAAGGGACCCTATTTTACCTGTACAATTTAGGGGCCGGGTATCAAGAAATATACAGCCCATATTGCTAACAAACTGAAGGCGTTTTCAAGGGACCAAGGTCCCCTGAGATCTAAAGCACTGATATATACTACTCAAAAGAAGCTAAAGAACACCCAATATATATAGTCATATGAAAGAATTTGATGTTCTTATCTTCTTTTGTGTAGTATACCATAAGTTGTAGCAGTACCACAAGGGGTACATGTGGTTTTATGCGTTTGGTTTTATACCATGAGCCAGAAGCAAGTTGTACAAACGCTAACAAGGGAAGCATAACACCACATCTACCTCTCGTCCTGCTGCTTCAACAAATTTATCTTACTGACCTGTTTCAATCTGCTGTTGTAATAGAAATTCAACAATTTGAAAATTGATAGAAAACAGCAGATCAGTTGAGCTGAGGTTAACTTGTGCTGTGTCACGTGACGTTCATTAACTCAGAAAAAGCATGCAGCCTTTTGCTTCGAAGGGGGGTATAACTATAAGGGATGTATTCTCCCACTCAGATATCCATGTGCAGCCTGTTTTCTCTGTGGCAGGGTATAAGGAATCTATTCTCCCGTCAGAAAATTTATTTACCTCCAGGTGGGATACATAGTATTTTATCAAGATAACGCGAACCAATCAATTCTAAACATTTTGACAGGGAGTCATGATAAACGAAAAAAGATGGAATTACAACGTTAATCTTTGGGGCAATCAATTATCGGAACACCACTTAGGAACTTCACAGATCCATGTGGACAATTAATCCTATTAATGACAGGGAACAAAATGTTGACTTACTTGTCTGGTTGGCAGAAGCCCCGTCCTCCTCGTCCTCCTCGTCCTCCATGACGTCCTGATAGTCCTCATCCCCGTCTGACATGGACTCATCATCCGGGGGACTCATCAACTCTGCAAGGGACATGTGTATCGGCTCCTTCTTCCGTAACCTCCGAACACCAGTTTTCTGTCTTGCCCCTTCTCCCACACTGGCAGACATCGAATTGTTTTCTGAACCTCCAACAGCCCCTTTCACATCATCACTCATATCAAAAGCACATTCATTAGATTTAGAACTAGATGCGTCCACCAGAACAGTTTGTAAACTCTGGTCAATGTCTTTAGAAGAGTCGCCCGGAGAGAACTTGCCACGGCCACCCAATTTCAACATGGACGCCTTCTCTTCCAACCTTGCAATGGTTTCATCCGACACTCCTTCTTCAGCTTTATCATCACTTAAGAGGCTGTCCTCATGGGCACTCTCATGAAGCTTAATTACAACAACATTTTTAGCACAAGTTTGGTCCGAATTCCCATTACGATTTGTTATCCTCCTCTCCACTACTTCTATTGAATCAGCATCAACAATGGAGTGAAGACCTGCAACACTGCTGGCATCATTCACAGAGTCTTTCTGAGCCATCTCCTCAACACAAAGATCCGGATCAGAACATTCAGGAGTCTGTATGTCCGCACTGGGGTTTTCTGAATGGGGGTTTTGAGCATGAGGTTCCAATACTTTGCTTTCAGCAATAACTTTTGAGTTCGATGTCTGTACAACAGTTTTGTCGGAAACAGAAATGGCAGTGTCACATCTTATGTTGTCCTGTCTAAATTCCTGTGACTTCACACTGTGAGCAGAATCTTGAGATGCTGATGCTTGTGAATCCTTGCTCTCCTCTGATGGAGGGCTGTTGTTCAGAGTGGTTCCTTGGTCCCCACTTAAGCACATTTTTGAGTCAGGTAGAGTTGCAATGTATTTGGTATCACTGTGACAAGCTTTCAAACTGTTTGTACAATTGTCTTCAACACTTGTTTGAGCAACATCTTCATTATGCTGAGATCTCTCTGCAGAATCCAATAATGTTCTTTCAACAGTTTCACAGGTTTCTGTTCCCAATGAAGAAACTTCTGTAGCTTTGCTTAAAGCAACACTGTCAATAAGCTCAGAAGTCCTAGAATCGGAAGGCTTTTCAAAAACAGCACATGCCCCTGCGTCAGTAACAAGATCCTCCTCAGATTTGATAGAAGTAGAACTGGACTCAGTTTCAGAAGATAATTCTGGACATAAAGGTTCTGGTGTTTGGAGACATTCAGAATTATCTCCCCCTACTTCTCTGATACTGCTAATGCTGGCGACACTATCCTGTGTAGCAGACTGGCTAAGTTCCTGATTGGCTGAAAGAGTGGTGGAAGTAGAACAATCATTGTCTGCAGAATGCTCTTCTTCTGTTCCAACTCCACTCAACCTGGCATTATTGTCCAGGTAGCCACGGTCAGGCAGGGGCGGGGCACCAGTGTCCGAGTCCACAGAGGCTCCCCTTGAAGGTTTCAAATCACTATCAGACACTGACTTCTCTCCAAACCTATTGGTATCAGATAGAGACTTAGTGGCCGAATCATCCACTGCAATAGTACTTGCGGATACTGATTTACTCTGACCCATCCTTGACTGTTTCCTGAACAATATTTGAGGATTCGCATAAAGGTCTGAGTCTGTGTCACTTTGTAGTGGTTTGGTTAGAACACTGTCTGAGCTGTACCTTTGTCCATCACGGAGGGGTTTGGACACATTTGAAGCTGGGCAGCTGTTGAGCCTCTGAATAACACCCCCCACATCCTGGTCATGTTCACCTGTGTCTGGCTGGCTAGACTCCTCTGTCAGTGGTGTATCACTAAACATAGAACTTGTAACACTGCGACTCGGACCATCTCTCCCACTCTCTGGACTCTCCGTAGTTGGGGTGGTAATACCACTATCTCTACTACTTTCATTGGGAGGCGAACCATCCTTTGTCTCGGGCAAAGAATCAGGCTTAGCCACACCAGCAGTCTCAAATTCAGCATGATTTGCAGTGTTATTAATTGTTACCTTTGCTGCTTGTGATCGCTTAGCTGCATCTTCTGCAGCCTGCATTCGAACTTTCTTCCGAATCTCATCCAGAGTTTCATACCCAGGATCCATTTCAGCTTCAAATACATCATCAACATCTAGTGCAGCCTCTGCTCCTGCCACGGAATTTTGTTCTGAATATGCAGGAGAACCATTTTGTTCTGTGTTCACCGGAAAACCACCATTCACTATATGCACTATCATCTGCTCCCTGTCCTCGGGAATTGATTCACTGACACTTCTATTTGGTAACAGTCCAACTCCTGATTGTATTTTACTTTTGTGAATAAGTATGACATCTTCCTTATCAACATGAGATCGCCTGGTACCCCGCAAGGATGTTGCCCTGGACATTATTTTACGGTTATTTTCAAAATTATCCACTGGCTCTTGAGACTGATGTTGATCAGGCTGTACGGAAGTGACGTTGTACCTTCCTTTACTCCCAATCCGCAAACAACGTTTCAGTTTCGTAAAGAACCCCTCGCCAGAGGAGTTTGATATAGGCCTGCTGTTTGCTGGTAGCGTAGTAGCTTTAACTTCCCTTCTATGAGAATTAGACGGCATACTAACAGACCGTGAAACATCATTACCCTTTTTTTGTGCTGTAGCCATATCGCAACAAATGACAATATTACACAAAACGATCAATCAATTTTCTTACATAACATCCATATATATCAGTCAATTCATTGATTCCATAATAAATGACATCACAAACAGGCGAGTACCAGACATATCCCCCTGTGTAGTTTCATGAATATGAAATGAACTTCTCCAAATTAATTCAGGCCAGTCAAAAACATTCCAAGCCAAGTGATGATCTCATGAAATATTTCCTCTGTTTCAACATATGAAATACATCCTTGATGAAACTTGACATTGTTGATGAACATGTTTACATTCCTTCATGGAAAAGGAGACACATGAGTTGGACATCACTGCACATCAGGTTGGCTGTGATACATAGCTTTCAGCCATTACTGAATCTCTTGTTGATAAAGGCTTCAGGGTATTGGACCTGCTTCAGTCACAGTGGTGTTATCAGTTCAGTGGGACCCCATGAACAAAGTCAAGCCGGGGCTGAAACACAACCAGGATTAAACAGAGGTGGCTTATATTAGTCATACTTAACTATTCCTGTTGTGTTATCATTGTGTTGGCCACAAAGCTGAAAATATATACCAATGATTACACTACACCCTTTCCTGAAAAGAGATTTTCTGATAAGCTCATTTGGACAGTGACTTATATTTTTGTAAATGTTGTAATTATATCTAGGATGAAATAAGGAAGAGAATTTATGGATGTCAACTTGTTATTATGAGGAAACACATTGTTTTGGAATATATGCTTACTCCTGTATCGGGTGAATTCATCTGTACCTTACGAAGTTTTCAGTCGTCTGGAGACTGTTTTCAGCCAAGTAACGTTTAGACAACGTTTGTAATTTTTTTGTTATGAGGACCACGACGTTTGTCTATTGCTGATCACCTATCAGCGCCCATTATCTGTTGGCTTCCCTTGTTGAGTTTCCACCTCTTGTTATCTTATCACTTTTGTTGTTCTTACATGTACATATATATGCTCTCTGCCTCATAGCTGGTCTGTCTTAAAGACCCTGATACAAATATATATCAAATACAGCCCATGCAAGTCTATAATGTTTGGCAAGTCTAGATCACTGCAGTATCAGGGTCTGTACAAATCTGCTGAAAATGAAGAGAGTCACTGGGCTCCTTTTTATTATATTTTGATTAAGATAACTGAACAACTGGTTTTTTTATGTACGATATGTTCATTTCAGAGACTAGATTTTAGTCTACCTCATAGCATTCATTCACCTGATGAAGGAGTAAGCATATACTCCAAAACGTTGTGTTCCTCGTAATAAAGAAGTTGACATCCATAAATTCTCTTCCTTATGGGTATCACTTCTAAATGCCTTTCAAAGACTAGGATGAAATAACATGGGAAATGCTAATCCTATTACTAAAATCTAAAAAGTGTTTTGAAACTGATGTGAAAATAGTTGAAAGGTCATCATGTCTAGACCTGCCCGCAGGCATTATTGTATCGAATCCAATGTTAAAGTACCTCTGAATTTAAAAAAGAAAATGTTTCCCCCAATTTGCCTGCCAAGGGCACTTAGTTTTGAATTTTAGCTAAATCCCTGTCATATGAAAAATTGAAGCTGTACCATTTTCGCATGATAAAGCATAAAGAAATATAAACATTTCAAAATAAATTATTACATTGCTTTGTTTTCCGGTAAGGTTAGCATGGTTAGACCAATATATCAAATTATAATTACAGACAAATCTACCATAACGTTTGCAAAGAGTACAAGTCATTGCATGAAATCCCCATTTAAACATCCTTAATATTCAGTTTAAAAAATGCCCATTCTATTAGGGCTGGGACGGGTAACTCGGGTACCCGGGTCGGGTGGGTACTGAGTAGGACCCGAGTACCCACAGGACTACCCGGACCCGTGGTTAGTCATGTGATATATTGTTTAATGACAAAAATTATCTAGAACTCTATGATTACACTACAAGTCACTAATGTTCGCATTTCTTTCTGACTGTGCACCCATCCCTTCTGATTTTTCATATGGTTGAATAAAGAAATAACTTAATTCAACTTCAGTGTATGAATGACCAGATTGTTTAATACGTGTATCTTAATACGTTTTGCCAGGGCTATGCTAAAAATGTTCCCAATCGGACGTTTTGAGACATCTCTTGAGACCTACAGTGGGTACCCGGGTAGGGTTGGGTAATAGAGAGGTGGGTACCTGGGTAGTAAATTCGGACTCGTCCCAGCCCTAAATTTTATTAACATAAATACCCTGGACACATTTGCCACCATAGGTGCATTTTTGAAGGGTTGAAACCCATAACCGATCAGAGTGCAACTTCTGAATGCAAGTCTGGCATCAATCTACTCAAAATCAGCATAATTAATGGAATCTGAAGACTGTCTTAATGAACTATTATCTCCAAAGATGTTTTACAAAGTGGCATGAAGTCATGTTGAGTACTGGCAATATTGACACGTTTTTCCAGTCATTAAAGAATGGTACAATTTGATTGGCCATCTATCTTAGCATGAACGTGTCTCAAAACGAAGGTCTGATGATGAAAAGGTCCAGAATTTATCATAAGTATAATGGAGACATGCTTCTCAAGGTAATCAAGGATGCATTACTATGAGTTGTTCATCTATGTCTTTGAGATGTTCTGCTATAGTATTCTAATCAAGGGACCCCATAAATCTTTAATTCATGTCATGACAAGGACAACATGATTTTCATCCTTAATTTCAAACACTGAAGCAACTAGTACCTTGAGTCCTAGGTAAGCATGGATGACCACAAATTGCAGTACACAAGCTAAAACATTTTGTCCCTATTAGTTTCTGGACCTGTAGCCTTTTTCTGAAAGTTATCATTTATCATATTTCCACACTCCTTGTTACCAGTTTAAATTAGTGTTCAAAACACACATAGAGCCCTGGCCTAACAAACTGTAAATGGAAATTTCATCAATGTAATACCTTCCTTTCAATCAACACAACTATCAACAAACAACTTGTTAATGATCAATAGGCTGATTGAAGCTATAATAAAATGTTAATACCTTCTTAAGTACTGTGATGATTATTGGAGAGGAACTAACAGCTTTGAAATAGGACCTATAGTCATGATAGTCATGACAGTTGCATTTGGTTATTGTCTAAATATTTTTTAAAATTATCTTTATCAATAAACAAATCTCTACCTTATTTACATGATTGAAAGTTAATAAATAATAAAATATTTTAAGGACATGAAACATGTTTTAATTATTTTTGGCACTTATTTGTATATTCATAATGTCTTATCTGATCATACTATTATTTACATATAATACAAAGGATTCGATATTTAAATGAATATAAATCTACCTATCTAATTAAATTTACAAACAAAAAGACACAGAAACGCGCAAGTTAGGAGAAATGATATCGATGATATCGATGAAATTAGGCAAAAGGAGTTTTTATTTAAACTGGTAAATCTACTGTCTGAAGTAAATTAATTAAGACCCTATACTCTTATTCATTTTCTGCATATCTGTTTTTTGGGTATGTAAATAATAATAAAACAATAGTGATATATATTCTTTTCACTTTCTTATTTTATTTTGATTCTCGATGTCTTACAACAAGATTTACATTAAATGTTGAATAATTTGCTCAGCGTATACCAATGCTTGCTGAAGGTAGAATATCATCAAAACGATTCCAGTTCTGTCAAAACAACGGGCACCTGCTGCAGGGCCGTCAAAACACTGGTTACTCCTAATCGAAAGGCAAAATATAGAAAATGCTGGGGTAGTATTACCTTATTTATCCGTGGAATCGAAGAATAATCTCCATACAAAGATATATCCATTTTTTTGTATTTTTGGTACGATCCTATCCAGTGACCATCACACGAAACCCTCAGTGTCAGGCTTCCTAACAGGAAGTGAAATAAGATAACTTACTTCTCGCGAGATCAAAAACTAGAACGAGATGTCACGCGAATTCAACCAGTTCGTTCTAAATTGTGCACGAGTTTCCTATTCCGGAAAAACACATGAGAACATGTATAAATGCATCTTTACACGTATACATCGTGACATGAAATACTAATAAAGTAAAAATAAACGACATATCTTTCATGAACAAGGTTGTTTAAGTATGGCTCCTATATCAAGCTGAACAAAATCCAAACGGGTTCTAAACTATCAGGGGATAAAAGTATACACCCATGGTTGATGGTGGCTCTAAAATGAATCAATAGCATAGGCGGATACAGTTTTTTTGAAAAGGGTGTGTGGGGTGGGGGTGGGGGTGGGGTGTGTGGGTGTGTGTGTGTGCACAATTAAGATCTATTTATTGTCTTTGGTGGTAATTTATACAGAAATAAAGATTTTTTGGAAATAAAAAGGGGGTGGGGGTGTCCTTATGTGTATCGTTTCTAAATGCCTTTCAAAGATTTGTAATTTTTGTTTTCAAATCCAGTTTTCAAGTGTACACTTTCTTTTGCACAACAATTTAGTTGTCTATTAATTTTTGTGATGCGTTACTCGCGTGTTGCAATTTGTTTTGAAAACTGGCAGTCCTAGAAAGATAGGGTATAAAATTTAATCAGTACTTTTCTCGAAAAATAAAATTCTGACCTTATCAGCCTCACTAATTAATTAATTAATTGATTAGGGCCCAATCTCCACGTCTAGACATGAGTGACAATGGACTCCAAGTCGCGCCAGGATTGAAACGCAATCTGGTCATGCAAGCTTGTATTACATAGATGCACCAATGCCGGTGACACAAGAATGTTTAAAATATATTGCAGCCACAGTTTATTTTATTGCATGGATTTGATTTATTTACATCATGATCACTAACCTTAAATGATGATGAAATAAGGGCGGTTATGTAACACGTGCTGGTTTTGTCAACTGTCACTAAGTCACGTAAATGACAACCTGGATGATCAACATGTCTGTGTAGATTCTAACACGTACAGTTATCAAACAAACATCGCCAGTATTCGCCACAGTTGTATCAAAGACGGTGATTGTCCATACTATTTGTAATCAGTTACAGATATCAGTACTCCTATATTCCACTCAAATGCCTCATTTCTGTCACTTAGACCGCCACACCTGTACAATCTGTACAACTATACAACTGAGCTCTTTTTTCCATAGTCAAATGAAGATAATGTTTTTGCTAAAATCAGAACTTGCATGGAATGTTCAGGAGTTGATAGAAATATGCTGAAATGTTGAAAGTAATGATGGCGGTTCATCCTTTTGATTAAAGTTGTGGTGAAATGTGCCATTTTCGTTTTATTTTTGAGAACTTTTCCATGTAACGCTTGACGCATGCGCAGAAAACGTATTAAAACCTCGTGGTAAATTTTGCAAGTAGATCAGCGAAGATGTTGGTGTTATTTGAAACACCGGCGGGTTACGCCATGTTTAAGGTATATAATGTGCAAAATAGAAATATGTGTTTATTATGTCATCGTTGTCATTGTTCCAGAAAGTGTCATTTGCACGTGTTGCAGTTTTTAGTGATGTAAATATCAGGTTGATAAAATAAGATGCTGCTTCTCGACACGTGGTCGGAGTGATTCGAAAACACATCACACGCGTCATGAAGTTCATGAAGAATCAAAATAGAATTCATGTTTGCAACATTCTACCCGTGTTGTCATTTCTTAAAACCAGCATGACGTAGCCTTTCTGCCTTTTTGTTCCACTTAAACTTGACTTCCTTCGTGCTCAATATATGCAATGCATCAGCTGAATATGGACGCGTCCAATTATTATGCCATGATCATTCAGGGCTTGCAAGATTGATATCGTTGACACAGACAAATGTTTTATTAATAATATCGGATACAGCTACCCTTTCCAAATGTTGTTTAAGCAGTGATGTAAATCCCAACAACCATAACCCTAAGATTATTCATTATAATGCAAACCCCTTTCACATTGCTGTTTAAATGGTTAATGGGTTCATAGGCCAAGATATAAATGATTGGCTTATAAGGAATATGTGTAAGGGTGGGAGCTTCTATCACCTTCAGGGGCGATTGGGTACCCAGGGTACATTTCGATTGTATATAGATCAAGAGTAACCCTATCAGCCCATGATATTGCTAAGAAATGGCAGAAAACTCTGTTAAACACAACTCGCTTACCACCATTTTGTGTTTTAAATGTAACAACAAACAATACTATATTGTTTGAAATACTAATTCAGTAATTTCCTTTTGGTCTGCTTTGATGGGCATGTTCATCATGCATTTTGCAAAGTTTGCTATCAGCATTAAACCAACTATCACATTCATCATTTCTTATCTTGTCTATTTTATTTATCTTGTGTGAAACCATTTTATCATGTTTATCTTGCAGCTACTAAATGAAAAGAAATTATCGAAAGCAGATAACCTATTTGAAGATTTTAGTAGTCCAGAGGCAGCAAGTAAAGTGTGAGTAGTTTCATTACAACCTTTATGAATAAAATCAGTGCAGATCTGGGTTAGAATAGGTCACCAATGTTTGCCATAAGAGGCGACTGCTTCATATTTATTTTAAGCTGTGTGGCACTGCAGAGATTCTCTACTTTGGCATGGGTGGCCCTGTCATCTAAGACACAATTTGTTGTGCAGTGTTGCATCCCTAGGCATGCCAGAAACCTATGATTGTGGATTTGAATCCCAGTTTGCTCTGATTCAAGGTTTGTCAGCACCATAACTATGATTGTGGGTTTGATTGAAGTGGTAAAAATACCAGCATAACTCTGTACTTTCCAAACACATGGAGCTAATATGTCATATTATTGAAGTTCTGTTCTACTCATTACTTTCCAAACACCAGTCTAATTTCTGTGAACATCAACAGAATCTGTTTCCAACAGTTAACCATCCCAATAAATAATGGAGAGGTCTCCCAATAATTTAAACATTTATGCTTATTGAATGAGGAATGGTTTAAAACCTGATTTGCTTACTTGCAGAGTCAATCCCAATAATTGAAACATTTATGCTTATTGAATGAGGAATGGTTTAAAACCTGATTTGCTTACTTGCAGAGTCAAATTGAAGCATTTTCAAAAGTTCAAGGACATGACAGAAGCATTAGCAGGTTGGTGGATTAATGTTGATCAATTTATTGTTCTTAAATCTTTGTGCTTGGGTTAAACACGTTAAGGCACTGGCCAGGTATGTAATAAATAGAATGAAAACATTAGTAGACATTAGTATATTACAGTGTTGCAGTGTAGTCTTGCAGTTTCTGTTATTATGTCAGGGAGCAGTTCTTGTGCCTGTTAAAAACTTCTTTTGTTAACCTTTGAGGCATACACCCATCATATCCCCCAAAAGAAGCAGAAGAAAAACACAGCCCAGTTGTACAAATGTTGACATTCTCAGACATTTTCAGAAAGAAAAGCACCCAACATGTAGAACAAAAGGATTTTGAACACATTGAACTGGCATGTTTCTTTAATTTTATTGTTTTACCTACGATTTTGTTTATTATGGGAGTAAGAATATGACTATTCAAGCTGTTGTTCATTGTGCTGAACTATGAAAAATCTGAAAAGTTGATTTTTATAAGATGGAAAACTTTCAGACGAGTTAATATTGTTTACTCACCACCCCCAAAGTAATGTTTGTATCTGACATCAAATTTTGAACTGCTCCTTTACTGTCATGGTCATGGGCCTTGTAGCTTGCAACATCTGACATTTGTCATGAAATTAAGATTAGTTTTAAAATACAGATGGCTTTTTGTCATAGCTGTTATGTCTCATGTGTGAGGGAATGGTAATGGTTCATTTGATTGTATAATGAATAGTGACAGAGGAGGATCTTCATCATTCTTGATATATTGAGTCTGCAAAAACAGTAAATTGGATTGATTGCACCTCTGCATTTGTTGACTTTGTTCTTTCTGTGTTCAGCTGCAACAGCTGCAATCGAGGGGAAGATGAGCAAGACCCTGAAGAAGATGATGAAGAAGATGGTCGCCCAAGACATTCAGGAGGAGCTGGCTGTAGCCGATGCCAAACTGGGAAATGTCATCAAGGTAGGCAAGTCAGGATATAGAAGGGTGATGAGTATAGTTCGGACATAAGACCAAATATTTGCAAAATCCTGGGCTCTCTTGTTATCACAATTATTCAAAGATTAAATGTCCAGCTCTCCATGCAAGCTTGTGTCATTGAAAGGTGTCCACCTGTCTTTGTCAATAAATTTTAGTGTTAGTCTCTAGTCCTCAGTATTTACGTAGGATATTTAAATATTAAAGTTGACTGCAACTTTTAAGTGTCTGTCTTTGTTGACATTGTAATCTGTTGACTACATATCCAGGTGAGCTACAGACAAGACAGCTGCAGCCATTTTATGTTTAACTATTATTTTGAGAACAGTTTGGTTTCTATTTGCTAATCTTTGAATCACAGATTATATCTGATTTTCACTTCTGGGTTGTGAACTGCAAAGCCTTGCTTTTGGGTTCAGTATTGGGATAAAGATCTACTACCTCATGAGATATTCTGTCACTTTCACTTGGTGGTGAATGGGTCCACGGTCTTTATCCAATTAGAATGGACATGCATTGTGCTGGATGATTAAGGATTCATCCTGACCTCAGTGATTATATTACATGAAAGTAGTGGACCTATGTACACTGAGGACACTTCTATGTGATGAGAGGTCCGGGTAGCAGGTGCTTGTTTATGCAATGGTGACTGGAAACAGTCTTCTAGATGCATGCTATGTGTAGATGCTACCAATTTGGATAATTTCTTTCAGAGTTTCTGTTTTATCAATAGCCTTAACATCAGTGAGTTCTCTCATCAACTGTACAGTGCGATTTCACATTATTCTGTATTATACAACCCGTGAAGATTCCGGGGTAGAATAGGTCTTCAGCAACCCATGCTTGCCGTAAAAGGTGACTATGCTTGTCATAAAAGGCGACTAACGGGATCTGGTGGTCAGGCTCATGAAATTGATCACTGGATTGTCTGGTCCAGATTTAATTATTTACAGTGAGCTGTCAGATAGCTGGAATATTGCTGAGTGCGGCGTTAAACAACAAACCAACCAACCAACTGTATTATACAAAGTGTGAAGATCTTTGTGTCTACAATATTACTTCATTAGCTTTGAAAATATTTATCCTTTATAATGAATGTTTTGCCTAACTCTTTAAGAAAAGCTAGTTTTCTATTTGCTAATCTTTTTTGAATCGCAGATTATACCTGGTTTTCATCCTAGGTTCTGATCTGCATACAAGTTCTTAATTAATGAATTGATATTACAGTACACACCTGTGCACAAATGCATTCAAAACTTTGTCCAGATACATTTTCAAATTGGTGTCAATCATTGGCTGTTATGACTTAGGACAGTCAAATCTTTTAACCAAGTGCACACAGCGGAAATAAACCTTTTGCATCGTTTGTAATTATCCCCCGCCCAACAAAGTTTCCGGAGCATAACTCAGAAACCGTTCAATATTTTTTCATGAAACTTTGTAGGTTTGTCAGGTACATGCTGAACTGGTGCCTTTTGCTACATAGAAATTTTTATTTTTTACGCTTCCATGGCAACAAGATGGACTTAGGTTCCAAACTCTTCTTTTTTTATGATTTCCATGACAAGTTCCACCTTGGTTAAAAAAGGTTTTGTTTAGATTTAATTATGTCATAAATTATGTCATAAATTATGCAACAGGGGCGGGGGTTATAGCCACGTTATTGGCAAACTCTTGTTATAATTGGAATGTAGAAGCAAAAGGCTGATGACCTAAGGCTAAGGGTGTTAAAACAGCAAGTAAAAGGAACACAGCTATACAAGTATTCTAACCATGGGATCTGTCCATGTCTTACTGCCTGGGCCAGTCATTCATTAATTGTTGTCATATTGATTGGTTTGGGGGTTCAAGCTCACGAGCGGGATATTCTGTCACTTGAACTTGGTGGTGAATGTGTCATGGTCTTTATCATAACAGAATGGACATGCTTTATGCTGGATAATCAAGGATACTGCATCCTGACCTCAGTGATTATATTACATGAAAGTAGTGGACCTATATACACTGAGGACACTTCAATGTGATGAGAGGTCAGGGTAGCAGGTGCTTGTTTGTGCAATGGTGACTCGAAAACAATCATTTCAGAAATTCAGTCATTAACACAATGGCCAGGCAAAGTTCAATGCATATCTATCTCCTAGATACATGCAATATGTATGCTGATAAATAAGAGTTAGGGATAATGAATATGAGAACATTCCTTAATATAACTTAAATATAGCAAGTACTCTGGGTTAGAATAGTTCCTCTGCTACCTATGCTTGTGGTTATAATCGCAGGAGATGTCTGAAATATTGAAGCCACAGATATTATGAAGTTCACACGCGGCTTTAAACACCATGTCATGGAATGTAACAATTCAGAAAGGGATCTAGAATTAGAAACATTTGGGATGTGCACACTATCGCAAAAAACACCTCATAGGGATACAAATGAGGTGTAAGGCTAACATGTAGTCTCTAAAATAAAATATTTTGCAGAAGAAAACATTTGTTAAATTAACATAATGTAATATGCTAAAAAGCAGCTCAGAGACTCTCTTCAATGCAGTGATCTAGACTTGACAACTATTAATATTATTGACTTCTATGGGCTGTATTGGATATATTTGTTTCCGGGTCTGTATGACAGACTGGTAAGGTGTCTGAAATCCATCCCCCCCCCCCTGATAGTTTGGATGATTAGTCACCGCAATCACTGGATGCTCAGGTCCAGGAGCTTTACAGGTTGCCGTCATACATGTCATGGAACATTGACTGGTGTCAACCAACAGGCGAAGCAAAAAATCCATTGAAATGTTAAGCCCAAATGACCTGCTCACTCTCCTATCCAGAGAGATTGTCAATGATATTTGTGTTCCAGGACAAGTTTGACGTTCAGTGTGTGACAAACTCCAACATTCAGGAGCTCATGCGAGGTATCCGGTCACAGATGGACAGCCTCATCACAGGGTTGCCAGAGAAGGAGATGTCAGCCATGGCCCTCGGTCTCGCCCACAGGTACCCATCGACTAATTCCCATTTAAAAGACTCTTGTTGTGTTTGAATAGCCACGTCCTTGTCCTTTATCATTGCATTTGGCAAAGTTAGACAAATCTCGTCTTTCAGATTTAATCTTAGGTTAGTCTTAACTAGTGAAAAGTACGTAACGTTATCAGATAATGTTTGATATAGAGCCCCTAACTAAATGAAAAGAAGTATTGGTCATATATGTTGAATATCAAATAAAGTGATTGTTAAGAGTTAGTACTTGGAAGTTGTACCACTTGTGTTTGGGTTGAGTGATGTTTCTGTGACAGTGACTCTTGTTGGAATCTTGTTAAGACATAATTTGGTAGAGCCTGCATTTTGTAACATCGAAGTATGACCACTTTAAAACTTTTTGTGTAAGCAAGTTGAGTTATTGCACAATCATTTTAATTTTCAGCCTGTCCCGCTACAAGTTGAAGTTCAGCCCTGACAAAGTGGATACCATGATTGTCCAGGCTATATGTAAGTATCTCGACGACACCTGAGGGTGAAGATGTAATTGGGGGACTTCGTCACCTTTCTCACGAATAGGTTCAACAATTTTTAAAATTCTATGAATTATGATAAATTTCTTAATAGTGTTTAAGCAGTAAGATGAAAATACTGCTGTTGCTGCGACAAGCTGAAGACAATCTTGAGCATGTTCAGTCTTCTCTGTTTCTTGTTTAACACCGCACTTGACAATAACTCAATAAGATTAACAGTAGCCATTTTTGTGCTGTTAGTGTTACACTAACAAGAACAAGGCTATTAATCTATGACACAGTGTCATTGTTTACTAGTCTTGTTCTCTAATGTTTCTTGGGGCACGGGTGGCACGGTGGCCCAGCCGCGATTCGCTGTGCAGAGTTGCGTACCTTGGGCAAGCCAGAAACCTATGATTGTGGGTTTGAACCCTGGTTCGCCCCGATTATGTTTCTAGGTTTGTCAGCACCATACCCGTGCTCGTGGGTTTCACCGAAGTGGTGAACATATGAGACCTGCATCACTTCGGGCTTTCCTCCCACATTAAGCTGACACACCGTGATATAACTGGAATACTGTTAAAAGCGGCGTTAAACCCAACTCACTCACTCACTCACTCACTCACTCACTCACTCACTCTAAAGTTTCTATTAAAATGCTGCAGTGGTAAATGAGTTTGTGGAATATGTAAAACTTCTGAAAAGGCCTAGTCAGCGTGTTTCCAATCTGCTGTGTGATTTGCAGCCCTGCTGGATGACTTGGACAAGGAGCTCAACAACTACATCATGAGGTGCCGAGAGTGGTATGGCTGGCATTTCCCTGAACTTAGCAAGATTGTCACTGACAATGTCGCATTTGCTAAAGTAATCAAACAAATAGGTAAGGAGGACCCTAAAGTTTGTGTGCTAAATTACCAAGAAGGATTAGTCCTCAAGTTTAAAATATGCTCATGACACTAACTAAAGTGGTTGCTGTTCGGAAGTAGCTTTTGGTTTTCACTATGTTTAGGAAATGTTTAAAAAACAAATGTTCTTATTATTTGGGACAGGAAAATTACTTGCATTGTTAGTAATTTGAAACGTCTGTAGAACGTTTGGTTTCCTAGACATGAGTTTTCATCTTTTTGAAACTATTATTGTGCTATCCTAAAGTAATCATTCTGTGAACAGCGTTTTATGTGAAGGTAGTCACAAAGTTTCATGCAGGGGTAGAAAGTGTTATTTATAGAAAATATGCGTTCCTAATAGTTTTGAGGCTTAGATGTTCCTGTTCGCTCTAGAGATGACTTTTGCCCTTTCGTCAGGTGATAGAACTAATGCTGTCTCCTGCGATATGTCGGCTATATTACCTGAAGATGTCGAACAGGAAGTGAAGGATGCCGCAGAGATATCAATGGGAACTGAGATATCGGAGGAGGATTTGTTGAATGTAGGATACCTGTGCGATCAGGTACATGAGAGAATTACATTTGTAACCACAAGTACTTTGGGACTGATTTTCTTCTAAAGTAAATGTTGCCATTATTGTTCTATTAAGACTGCCATCATGAGATTCTGGGGCAGAATAGTTCCCAGTACCTTGTACTTGTCCCAAGAGCCGTCTAATAGGCACTTGTTATTGTGCCCATTGTTATACAAAGGAAATGTGTGACTGGTGTCAAACTACAGCTTATCATTTACTCTTTGATTAATAGTAAATGATAGCTTCATATCTTCATTTATCAGATAGGTATTTGTGGGTTTGTGTTAAAACATTTGCTCACTTGTTTGATGTACAAGGCTCACAAGCTTAAATAAGTGCCCACTCACCTGAGATATGTTTGTGTGCATGTTGCAGATATTAGAAATCACTGAGTATAGGACCCAGCTGTACGACTACCTCAAGAACAGAATGGTGGCGGTGGCCCCAAACCTGACAGTTCTGGTGGGGGAGCTGGTTGGAGCAAGGCTTATAGCCCACGCAGGTAATTGGTGTATATGTAGCATGTGTTAAATGTACATGTGTGTATGGATAATGTCCGACTTAAGAAACACACAAACCCCACCCTGCCCTATATTGGTTATAGAAAAAATGATAGGCACAGAGCTCCCTATAATCATGATAATCTGCATATTTGGGTAAAGTACGCAAAATAACTCTCCATTACCCATTTATTTTGAGTTACTTGCATACAAACATGCATACAAAATTTGAAGAAAAAAACCCAAACAGTAATGCACTGCTTTAATTACCCTATGTAGCCTTTTTAACTTGTGTACTAGCATTTCTGTATGGATATCTATTAACTGATTGAATCACATCGCACATACATAAAAAACTACTGCAGTGAGTGAAAAAGGCTCAACGCCCTGCTGTTCATTTGAAATATGTATCGCTGTTTGTGCAACATGCTACACACTTGTAGTAGCACACATACAAATACATATGATATTAGAAGTCTCCTCAAACAGCATTTTTAAGCAGAATTAAGAAAAATGTTTGACCTGGCTGGATTTAGTTTGTTTGTTGTTTAACGCCAAACTCAGCAATATTACAGCTTTATGACGGCGGTCTGTAAATAATCGGGTCCAGACAATCCAGTGATTAATATCATGAGCATCGATCCATGGAATTGGGATCGATGACACGCATCAACCAAATCAACGAGCCTGACCACCTGACCCTGCTAGTCGCCTTTTATGACAAGCATAGTCACCTTTTACGGCAAGCATGGGTTGCTGAAGACCTATTCTACCCCGGAATCTTCACGGGTCTGACCTGGCTGGAAAAAGGGTGGGTTTCAATGTGACCTGGCTCTGGGATTGGGTGATTTTCAGTGTGTGACCTGGCTCGGGATTGGGTGGTTTTCAATGTGTGACCTGGCTGGGGATTGGGTTGTTTTCAATGTGACCTGACTGGGGATTGGGTGGTTTTCAATGTGTGACCCTTGGGATTGGGTGGTTTCCAATGTGACTTGGGTGGGGATTGGGTGGTTTTCCATGTGTGACCTGGCTCAGGATTGGGTGGTTTTCAATGTGGCCTGGCTGAGGATTGGGTTGTTTGCAATGTGACCTGACTGGGGATTGGGTGGTTTTCCATGTGTGACCTGGCAGGGGATTGGGTGGTTTTCAATGTGACCTGACTGGGGATTGGGTGGTTTTCAATGTGTGACCCTTGGGATTGGGTGGTTTCCAATGTGACTTGGGTGGGGATTGGGTGGTTTTCCATGTGTGACCTGGCTCAGGATTGGGTGGTTTTGCAATGTGACCTGGCTGGGGATTGGGTGGTTTGCAATGTGACCTGGCTGGGGATTTGGTGGTTTGCAATGTGACCTGGCAGGGGATTGGGTGGTTTGCAATGTGACCTGGCTGGGGATTGGGTGGTTTGCAATGTGACCTGGCTGGGGATTGGGTGGTTTGCAATGTGTGACTTGTCTGATTGTGTCATGCTATGCTATTAAACATTGGTTTGCTGGAGACAGGCTTAATTATTTACGGGCTGTGAGGCTTCACCTGGAAAATATCCGTGTAAAACATGCACTGCAGATGTATTATGACAATGCTGAATATAGTGACTGTTGACACTGTAAGGGGGCTACAGTCAAGATTTTACTGTCAGAATGATGTGTTATGTAAATGTCATCCTGTCTGTAGGTTCTTTGCTCAACTTGGCGAAGCATCCGTCCTCCACAGTACAGATCCTGGGCGCCGAGAAGGCTTTGTTCAGAGCCCTCAAGACCAAACACGATACGCCCAAATATGGTCTCATCTATCATGCATCACTCATCGGCCAGGCAACTCCAAAGAATAAAGGAAAAGTAAGAGAATGAACCTAGAGTTGAATGTATTTCAATCTCGCAATTCAACCATTGCAAGACTAAAACTGGATCTAAAATTTGAACAACTTAAGTATTCTTAATCTACCCGTCATGCATAGTAGAGTTTACAAAGATTTTATGTCCATGTGTTATACCTGATCATAAATTTGCCACAGACATCACATGTTGCACTGGTTTTGTAGATGTCTCGAATGCTGGCTGCCAAGGCGGCTCTGGCCATCCGAGTGGATGCGCTGGGTGAGGAGACGAATGTTGAGCTGGGCTTGGATCACAGAGCAAAGCTGGAGCAGAGGATGAGGGCACTGGAGGAAGGAAGTGTGAGTGCTGGAGATTCTGGTTATAGCATGGCATGGTGGAGATACTGGTTATATAGTGTAGCATGGTGGAGATACTGATTATATAGTGTAGCATGGGGGAGATATTGGTTATAGCATTGTGTGGGGGAGATACTGGTTATATTGTGTAGCGGGTGAGGGGGGATACTGGTTATAGCAAAGCGTGGTGAGAAACTGGTTATAGCATAGTGTGGTGGAGATACTGGTTTTATAGCATGGCGTTGGGGAGATACTGGTTATAGCATAGCGTGGTGGAGAAACTGGTTATAGCATTGTGTGGGGGAGATACTGGTTATATTGTGTAGCGGGTGAGGGGGGATACTGGTTATAGCAAAGCGTGGTGGAGAAACTGGTTATAGCATAGTGTGGTGGAGATACTGGTTATAGTATAGCGAGGGTGAGACACTGGTTATAGCATAGCGTGGTGGAGATACTGGTTATAGCATAGCGAGGTGGAGATACTGGTTATAGCATAGCGTGGGGGAGATACGGGTTATAGCATAGCGTGGTGGAGATACTGGTTATAGCATAGCGAGGTGGAGATACTGGTTATAGCATAGCGTGGGGGAGATACGGGTTATAGCATAGCGTGGGGGAGATACTGGTTATAGCATAGCGAGGTGGAGATACTGGTTATAGCATAGCGAGGTGGAGATACTGGTTATAGCATAGCGTGGGGGAGATACTGGTTATAGCATAGCGTGGGGGAGATACTGGTTATATAGTGTAGCAAGGAGGAGATACTGGTTATAGCATAGCATGTGGAGATACTGGTTATAGCATAGTGTGGTGGAGATACTGGTTATGGTGTAGCATGGTGGAGATACTGGTTATGGTGTAGCATGGTGGAAATACTGGTTATAGCATGGCTTGAAGATACTGGTTATGAAGCGTAGCAGGTTGGATAAACTGGTTATGATAGTATAGCAGGGTGGCTAAAGTGGTTATATAACCACAGCAGGGTGGCTAAACTGGGTATATAGCATAGCAGGGTGAATATACTGGTTATCAGTGTGTTAGTATCGCAGAACAGATATTTTTCCTCCCACATTAAGCGTTCAACCTAAATAACACAACTGTTCAAAGCAACATTTGACCCAACTCACACTGATTGATCATGTTTGTTTCCAGGCCAGGAGAATCAGTGGAACAGGCAAAGCCAAGTTCAAGGCTGAGAAGTACGAGAACAAAAGGTAACAGTCAAATCATCACCGTTCTTCGGGTGTCGTCATGTAAAACAGATTGTCCAGATTGACCAGCAGTACTAATGTTAGTTGTAAAAGCCTGTTCTGTCACTATCTACGATTTGCTATATTATTAAAGCATGATTAGGATTATCGCATGAAACAATCTTGAAATATAGTTTGTTGTATAGTGGTGTCAAATGTGTCTGTTATGAGGAATGATGTGTGTAACACAGTGTAAGTGGACCAAGCAAATTTAATATGAACCCACTTGTCAATTAATCAAATCTTGTTTGCTTGCAGTGAAGTCAAAATGTACAATGTTGGTGACGACTCCACATTGCCCAGGGTTGCTAAGAAGAGGAAGTTTGACGAGCAAGAGGAGGAACCTCTCACGCCAAAACAGATAAAACAAGAACCTGCCGAAAATGGTCAGTGGTTTATTGGTGGATATTTACACGGAACTCAGTTGTTTTCAGAAATAGGTTTTGTAATGACAGCTTATAAAGTTTTCCTTGAAATGTTGTTTGTGCCAATGATGTATTATTGATACTTACTGACAACTTGATGAGATAGTCAACTTCGTCACTACCTCTGAGGCACAGCATATTCCTTGGGAATCTCATATGATGAAATGATCCAAAAGTTTTGGTGTTTTTTACCTGTCAAATGGGACGACTTTAATGTTTTGGTGGAATTTATCTGCTGTCGACATCTAGAAAATGAACTAGGCAAAACAATGACTGATAATTTATCTTGTTAGCGGTTTTGATGCAGTTCACAACTATACTTGTGGGGAAATTAGGAACTTTGATCAGTGTTCTGCTGTTTTCAATATGTGCGCAGGGGCGGTCAGATAGCCTAGTGGTTAAAGCGTTTGCTCGTCACGCCGAAGACCCGGGTAAAATTCCCAACATGGGTACAATGTGTGAAGCCCATTTCTGGTGTCCCCCGCCATGAAATTGCTGGAATATGGCGTTAAACCATACTCACTCACTCATTATGAGTGCATGAATCATGTTTTGGTTTGAAATATTCATTTAAGTGTTCATTACATGGATATGTAATGTATGCTCAACACATGCATGGGTGTTTCAGGGTCAAGCAGTGCGGAGGAATCGGAGAAGAAGAAGAAAAAGAAGAAGAAGAAGAAGCATGAAGACGCAGATGTCAGCCAGGAAGCTTTGGGTGAGTTAACAGCGTCGACCATTGTCGGGCGGTTTGTTCAAGATGTCAATAAGCACCGCTGAATTTGTTATGGTGATCTAACAGGTGGCTGTATTACAGGTATACTGCATTTTGAAATACTATTTAATACATATCACAATACGTTTGGAAAAATACTGGCAAAGTTTACATATCTGACATGCCGAATTGAAATTATGAATTTCATGAATTTGCAACTGTTACTGTGATCTCAAAGCGAAACTATTCGCGACCAACTTGACTATGAAGTTATCAAAATGTGAAGAGGTAGTCCAATGCATAGGTCGATTTGTATTATGCCCACCTCCCTAAGGTCCAGACCTCAGTGATTATATTACATGAAAGTAGTGGACCTATATACACTGAGGACACTTCAATGTGATGAGAGGTCAGGGTAGCAGGTGCTTGTTTGTGAACTGTGTAAACAAGCATTTCTGAAGTATGGGTTGTAAAATAATGATAGAAACTTCAAATGCATGCCTGTTTTCTGTTGCAACTGTGGCGATCTGGATATATGCTTAGAATTGTAATTGATTGCTTCAGCCTTATGGGGATTCCTTGAAATGCATTTTTGCCTCATTTTCACTTCACTTTGTTTTTAGGTTAGAGTGAGTTAGGAAGTATTAATCTGTAAACTCACTCTTTACATTATCAACTTTGTGCAATGTGGGTTTGAAATCTCCAGAAAAGAATGACCACGTGTGGATTTATTTCAACAGTTCCATCATAGATAAAACTACTTAAATCTTTGTGTCATCATACCCAGGGAGCTTGGGACATTGCACACAATATCAATCATTGGGTAGGGCTGGTCCAGACGTGAATATTGACTGCTCGTCGTTATGTAGCTGTAGTATTGCCAAGTGTGGCATTAAACTTGTTGGAGTCACCTGACTTTAAATGTTTTTATTCACTGATCTAATTGAGTGTTTGAGACTACTATAAAAAATTGTGTGGAGTTTTATGTTATTCAGATCATGTTGACACAATGTGTAAATATAGTATATGAAGTTTTCCTTGTGCCAATGATGTATTGTTGATACGTACTGACAACTTGATGAGATAGTCAACTTCGTCACTACCTCTGAGGCACAGCATATTCCTTGTCATTATTTCAAATTTCAGATGATTAAGCGACACATGAGCATTTTTGCTGAGTCCCATAAGTTGTCTAACTCTACAGCAAACTATGTTTGTATCATGGATATAATGAACTGTTTTTGTGGTCCTGGCCATTTGCTCTATATATGCTTATAACGAACTTTGGTTTTTACAAATTAAACAATGCTAAACTAAATGGCCCATTTGAGTTTGTTATAACCGTAGTTTACTGTACCCCTATAACTGCTCTTGTTTGAAGCAAGTTTAAGATGTTTTCTACAACAGGTTATGTTGTTACAGGTTCACCCAATGGAGATGTTGCTTCAGAGAAAAAGAAGAAGAAAAAGAAGAAGAAAGCTAAAGAATCAGACAGTGATTAGTTCTGTGATCTGTAAATGTAAACTCTTGTACTTTTTCTGAATGAACTGATCCTGGCTGTGTGCATAGTGCTGTCAACACATGGCACCTGGAGAGCTGGTAGTACCTCATCATGTACATGCGTTGAATCCATGTACAGGGAGAGAAACTGTCTGCCAACACATGGACGTTAACCGGGTATGGAGATCATCAGCTTCAGTGCATTATTATTGAAGGTGGATATCACATTTTCTGTTGGGCATTAAAGAAGTGTTTGCCGAATTTGTGAAGATTTTAAGAGGTCAAGTGTCACAGATGTTCCAGTAGCTTTATCATGGCAATGTATACCACTCAACATTTGCTAAAGACCAAAATAGTCGTCTTTAGTCGAAGGTGTGGTCCTTGGCAATATATGGTGGTTGAGAAATGAATAATATCAGCCAGCAGATATACCACTCAACATTTGCCAAGGACCAAAATAGTCGTCATAAGTCAAGGGTATGGTCCATGGCAAATGTTTGTGGTATATATGCTTGCTGAAGTTATTCTTTTCTCAACCTCTATATACTTTAGCTTAGGAATGTTACCTGTTCTCTTATTCAAGAAGTTACATGTTGTGGAGGGCAAGTTAATGTCATGTCAGTTTGTTGTCTTTCTTTTGAAGATGTGTAGTGAGAAGTGGAAATTTAGGAATGGTACGAGATGAAATAAGCTGTAGTATTTGTTACTATTTGTTGTTGCTGAAATGACACTACTTTATTGAAGGATAATCAGTGTTGAATATTCACTCAAAATCTATCCGGACTGGCAACTCAAAGTTATCTGCCCTGTTAGAAAGTTGGCAGTCCAAATTTTATACGAATGTTTATTCATATTTACATTATGGCTGAAAAAGTCAGCACGGCCAACGTGGTGTGCATTCTCTAAAAGTTGACTGCCCAAGACAAAAACAGCCCTTCTTGGACAAATGGGCAGGCAGGCATTTCCAATGCTGGGTTAATGCTTTCAGACATAGGAAGCCAAGGCCCATCTATGCGATAGTGCGGGATGTGTGCACTTGACCTATGATATTTGAGAACAGTGACAGGTATCACCAGTAATATGCATTTATTCCTTGTAAATAATGAACCTTGAGTCAACTGGACATATATTTCATACCTTTATTTCAAGTTTGTAGAGTATACACAAGTTTTTGAAGCTGTTGAAGCTGTTTTACATCCCTGTTAAAGGTTGCAATTTTAGTTCATCAACTTATTTTAGTATGATCTTTTTATTGAGGTAAGCAAGTGTTATGTTACTGTTTAGTAAAAATGCAGATTTTATTAATGATTTGTTGACATTAGAAGCTATGAATTTGTGAAAATGGTTCCAAGTTGTTTTTGAATGCTTGACGGTTTGTCAATCATGTGAAATAGATTTTACTTAAGTCGATTCCATATCATTCATTCATGACTGCAGAGGTACTACCGTACAGCAGAGGTATTTAATTGTACCTGAGGAAAGAGTTAGCATTCCAAGTCACTGTGTTAGAAAGTGTTGATCTGTTTGGACTTGTAGTCCACTTCAGAAATGTCATTTCAATCCTTCAACCCTTGATAATGTGTTGCCCATGGCATCAATCTTGTCCTGTATTCCTCTGTTTGGTAACCTTGGTTACAACTTCTGACTTAAGAACTTCACCTAGGCTTTACATACCAATATATCAGAAAAACTCATTGTAAATACACGCCCATAACTTTCAAATTCTGTAAATATTTTCCATTTCCCAACCTATTAAGACATTTGAGTTCTACGCTGGTTTCTGCATGAATATACATCCTGACTGCTACAGAGTGCCGGCCTTCGTGTGTGGTGGGGTCATCAAGGCTTTATATTTGTCATATTTCATACATGAGAACAGTAAAAATATCAAACGTGTGTGTTGTATTTTCATTTACCTTCCAAGACTGGCCTTTCAGCATATATTGATAGACAAGAACTAATTTTGTAAGATAGCTTTTCTGGAGGCAAGATCTCGTGGATCAAGTTGCTGCAGACTTGTCTCCCTTTTGCTGCTACTCCGCACCTCCTTCCTAGCCTGTAACACTTTCATTACAATCTCGGCAACATTGCTGCCCTCAGTGTGGAAGTGGCCGTTACAGGAATCTTGAAATTTGCCCTCTAACCCCAAATGTAGTTACGTTTATATTTTTGTTTGGGAATGCCAGCATGGTGAATTTTGAAAGGGTTTAGGACTGACCAGATTTTCCAGATGAATTTACCATTTTGTGTTTGTTTAATCAGATTGGTTCGAAAATCACCCAACATTCCCCTTAACATTCTTACTATACCAGTTACATGATGGTTGAAATGAAATAGAAATTCAAATTGAGAAAAAAATAAAATCATTAAGCTGGGGTAAGAGTATTCGGCATCACGGCAGTCATCACATGTTTGTAAACAGAATGGCCAGTCTGTTGGAAGTTCCAACAGCAAGCATGTTTATGGCCACCCATCACAGTGGGGAGCTTTGACTGGTGGCAGTGATGGTATAGAGAGCTGTGAACGCGCTTTGAGGAGCTTGGCTGCCAGGATTATTGAGCAGGGTTGGTTGGTTTGTTGTTTAACGCTGCACTCAGCAATATTCCAGCTATATGACGGCGGAGATCACTCCAGTGATCCCATGGTAGACGTCTGCAAATTGTATGAATTTGGGGGTTTCCCCCGCATTATTTGACAATCTTTTTATAAAGAAAAACAGTCTTCACAGAAAGGGTTTGAAGACTACAAGCTGAGGTTCAGGGTTTTTTTCAGTTTTCATTCATCCATAGCAATATTTCAACATCACCAGTCCGTAGGTCTTATTTGGCACAGACAAACCCAAGAACCAATGATAATGGTGTTCTGCAAGCAGCCAGGATCCTCAGTGCGGTCCTTAACTATTCTGACCGCCTCCCCTGTCTTGTGGTAGAGCAGAAGACGTAAAAAGATGGTAGGTGTTGCCCTGCTTGGCGCTTACGTTTAAGGGGGCCAAAACAAGTACTGGTCGGGTGTTTGTGTTAAACTGCGGCATGGTATCTCAGTGAGCTAGCACCACTGAATCGGCATTAGACCGGACCAGTACAAGCAGATGCGCGTTGCTATAAAAGTGCAATACTCTTGGACGATACGATAACATGCTTCAACCAAGTCCGCGAACCTGACCACCCGATCCCGTTAGTCGCCTCTTACGACAAGCATGGTCGCTGAAGGCCTATTCTAACGCAGATCTTCAGAGGTTCACGGCTACCTGACTGCGGCCTGTAAATGATCGAGAGTGTCTGATATTGTGAGCTGTGTTCAACGCCCTCGAGGCAAGGTGACTTGCAAGTCGCCGAGTCGGACCACCCGACCCATGAAGTCTCATACGAAAAGCATAGGTTGCTTAGGAACAATTCCTTCCCGGATTCCCCAAGTGGGGTGATGACGACAAACACCGGGCGAATTTACAAGTGAAAATTTACCATTTTAAAGGGTTTTGCTGTACATGTTATTTCGGGGACTAGTAGACTAAAAATGATAGTTCCTACCGCTGCCATGGTCGTAGTGTAGTTGAATTTGTTGAAATGGCCAAGTACAGAAACAATACAAACAAACCTTGATTTTCAGTTTTCATCGTCATATTCCATAACAACTCGTCACAAACCATTCAAAATTTCGATATACGACCTGTCCTTAAATACTTATGAAATACGAAACGTAAAGTGTATGCATGACTGTCACTAGAAGTGTAACAAATCAAATCAACATATTATACAAGCGGAATCTGAAAAGACGAGATCACCCGATACCAGATTACATATTACTGTCTTTTTCCATCAATTGAAAATATTCTTATCACGATTTTCCCAAGTCCTACCGACTGCAACTATGTCCTTCGACATAGCAGACAGGGCTAATCATCAAGACGTACAATGACTGAAGGTGTCATTAAAACAGGGTCATTGGTTGTTTTTATACATGACGACAAACGGTATCAACCTATCATTTAGTTTCCTGTTTGTAGTTCTTCAGCAAACCATGCTTGCCGTAAAGGCCGACTATGCTTGTCTCAAGAGGCGACTTACGGGATCGGGTGGTCACACTCGCTGCCTTGGTTGATGCATGTCATCGTATCCCATTTGGGTGGATCGATGCTCATGATGTCAATCACTGGATTGTCTGGTCCAGACTCGATTATTTACAGACAGTCGTCATATAGCAGAAATATTGCTGAGTGCGGCGTTAAACAACAACAACAAAATGTTTCAAAATATGTTGTAAGATTATCAAGATTTACTATTCATAAGGTTAACGCAAATTCGAGTGGGTTATGTAACATGAGAAGATCTTTTGCATACGGAGGTACAATAGCAACAAATAAAGACAAGAAATGTATGAAGATAAATTTACAGATAATACCTATAGCTGAGCCGTCTGATGTACTCCAAAAAAAACACTTTTCTGGCCGACCATCGGACCAACACATGCATCAAACAAAGTCAGCGAGCCTGATCACCCGATCCCGTTAGTCGCCTCTTACAAGCATAGTCGCCTCTTGCAACAAATTCGCACGTCTTTGAACATATTTGATGGCTTTGTTTTACTCTAATATATGCGAGCTAATGGTGTCCGTGATGTTGGTCTACAGCAGAGCAAAGCAGTCAACTTCATATGTTCAGATGGTGCATTGTTATAGATATTATTGTTCCCTATGTTGTGCTCCGGGCATGTTAAAATAGCTGACAACTTGGGGGCTGTTTTGTCCCGGAATTCCTACAAAGGTTTATTACCAATATGAGCAACTGAAGTCTCAAAAAAGTAACCGGCTGAACGTTCATTAATTTAAAAGCATTCTGGGACCAATCTTCATGATTCTCATTTCAATACTCGTCGAATGAAAGTTAGGTAATGTGTTCCAAAGAAAACTGTATTGCCCAACACTTACCTTACATCATACAGACACTGATAATTTGCATTCCGTTTGGTTGTTCATGTACGCACGCTGACGGGAATATTTTACGTAACTTCTATCAGTAAAGCACCTGCATTAAGAGTTACCATTTTAGTGCGTTTGATTGCCGACAGGCGGTTTCAATTATTTATCAGACAATTTGATTGGTCAATAATCGCAGTTCCAGCCAATGGCAACCTATCTTACAAAGCTGTATACATAGTTGCATGTCTGTCTCGACTCGAAGCAATCTTAGAAGCAACAAGATGAAAAACTCACATGTTCAACGAAATTAAGGACATGTCAGAAACTTGCAACTGGCAATGACATAAACTTATAAGTACGTACATTTCTCTATAATTCATTAATTGCAACATGTTCAGTGAACGAAAAATGTACCATTAGAAACAAAAACTGTTCGATTGTCGATATGTCCGGCAAAAGGCTTGTTCACTTTTAGATCTTCTGCTCGTGTGCAGTTGACAGTTCTAAATACACAATCAGTCTGTGTATATTTACGCAATGGCCCTACATCGTCTTGTCCGTAACTCAGAAGTATTTGTTGGTTGTGTTAGCATCAACTACCGGTATCAATTATAGCTGATTGTCTCTGCCCCGACTTTCACAAACACTGAAAGAGATCAGAGCGGAACGACGAACGTAACTCCCATCAGCTGAACATAGACTCACGATAGTCTTATCGCTGAGACAATCTTTGTTCTAATTGGACCTGAATACTAGTAAATTAATTGTTCATATTTTTGCAAATTTTAAAGGGTTCCACAGACAAGATATAATCAATATTGGTAAACGGAAGGCTTACATTTATTCTCAGCTATCACACACTTATGACATGCTTAAATATTATTAGAACTGAGATGTGTCAATACTTTGGTACCTGTTAGAAAAAACTTCTTGTCTCTGAAATGAACATGTTTTACAGATAAAAACAGTTGTTGTATTATGGTTATGAAATATAATAAGGAGGACCTCTGATGCTCTCTACATTGCATTAATCTGGATTTGCCAAATATTATAGACTTGCATGGGCTATATTGGTTATTTCTGTTTCAGCGTCAGTCTGACAGACTAGGGTACCTACGTGAAATAGATATTAAGAGTGAGTGTGTATGGTTTTTACGCCGCTTTTAGCAATATTCCAGCAATATCACAATGGGGGACACCAGAAATGGGCTTCACATATTGTGCCCATGTGGGGAATCAAACCCAGGTCTTTGGTGGGAGGAGTGAATGCTTTATCCACAAGGCTACCCCATCACCCTGTTATTAAGAAGTGAGGGAGTTGGGCTTAACACCGCTTCTGGGGGATAGCCTGAAGGGGTTGCGGTAATGTCGTAACCCAAATGAAATTTTCCCCCTAGAAAGATTTGAAACTAAAAATAATAAACTTCTTACCCAGCGTTAATTGGCACTTGTCCTATAGTCCTTGCCAAACTGCCCAATGGTAAAGGTATCATAAGGACCAGTAGACATTTGCCCTTTTCAAGGATTTTGCTATATGTTATCATTATAAGGACTAGTGGACGAAAACTGTAAGTTTCTAACCCTGCTTAACCCTATTTTTTATTTCTAAATATTTGTTTATATAAGATAATATTATCAGTAATTCATTGCTTTTTGCATTGTCTATTTCTAGGGGTAAAAATTAATTTGGGTTATGAATTTACATACACCCGCCTGAAGTGAAACAGGTCTCTGATGTTTTCCACTTTGGTGAAACCCACAAGCATGAGTTTGTGCTGACAAGCCATGAATCTTTGTCATGTTTGTTAGGGATTTGAACCAACGATATTAGGTTCCCAGCAGTTTCTTCTGAAAGTTAAACATGCTTTAAGACCCGCTGTCATAATCCAATCTCATTAAAATCAGATCTATATCAGAGATATCACCACTTTCACTACCATAGAGACATCATCACTTTCACTACCACAGATACATCACCACGTTCACTACCATAGAGACATCACCACATTCACTACCATAGAGACATCACCACGTTCACTACCATAGAGACATCACCACTTTCGTAACCAAAGATACATCACCACGTTCACTACCATATAGAGATATCACCACATTCACTACCATAGAGACATCACCACGTTCACTACCATGGAGACATCACATTCACTACCATAGAGACATCACCGCTTTCACTACCATAGAGACATCACCACTTACACTACCATAGAGACATCACCGCTTTCACTACCATAGAGACATCACCACTTTCACTACCATAGAGACATCACCACTTTCACTACCATAGACATCACCACATTCACTACCATAGAGACATCACCACTTTCACTACTATAGAGACATCACATCACTACCATAGAGACATCACCACATTCACTACCATAGAGACATCATCACTTTCACTACCATAGACATCACCACGTTCACTACCATAGAGACATCACCATGTTCACTACTATAGAGACATTACCAGTTTCACTACCATAGAGACATCACCACGTTCACTACCCATAGACATCACCATGTTTACAACCATAGAGACATCATCACTTTCACTACCATAGACATCACCATGTTCACTACCATAGAAACATCACCATGTTCACTACCATAGAGACATTACCACTTTCACTACCATAGAGACATCACCATGTTCACTACCATAGACGTCACCATGTTCACTACCATAGAGACATCATCACTTTCACTACCATATATACATCATAACTTTCACTACCATAGAGACATCACCACATTCACTACCATAGAGACATCATCACTTTCACTATCATAGAGACATCATCACTTTCACTACCATAGACATCACCACATTCACCACCACAGAGACATCACCACGTTCAAAACCATAGAGACATCACCATATCCCTTATCACAGAATTACTTTTTCTTATTAGCTTCAATCAACAACCAGTCTAAACAACTCTTCTGAACATGATTTCCATACAGATTAACATTAAAAATTGTGAGTTCTCTATACACTCAGTCCATACACAAAACTGTTATAAATAAACTTTTAGCATGTTCAGTTGTATTCCGGAGGGACTGCCTCCGTGGTCTAGTGGTAGACAGTATGCTCGGAGAGCAGAAGTTCGGGAGCTCAATCCCCGGTCGCGTCATACCAATAGACGTTAAAAGATGGCACTTGTTGTTACCCTGACAGGCACTCAGTGTGACTGGGCATTAAGGGGCGAAAACAAGGACTGGTCAGCTCGGAGTCCGTATACTCTGTCTGAGTGGGGTATTCATGAGCTTGTGTCCGTCCAACTAGATTGAAAACAAGGCTATGGTGTTAAATGGGTCCAGGGTATTTATCATAATAGAATGGACATACAGTACACTGATGGAGGATGCACTTAATACAGTGCATTTGTATTCAAATTATAAGCAGAAGCTGTCAAATTACTTGTGCATTGGACCATAGACCAGAGTAGAAAATCCATTCTGTTTGTATTTTACATGATCAGAAATAAATACCTGTTTAAGTTCAATAATAATTTGCTTAAGTACCATATGCAGGATTGTTCACATAGTGTACATCGTTTGTTTTATTGCAGAAGCATGGAAAACTTTGTCCTGTATGAGGAACTTGGAAAGGGAGACCACTCCGTTATTTACAAAGGACGACGCAAAGGCACCATCAACTTTGTTGCAATACATTGTATTGATAAATGTAAAAGGGCCGAAGTTACGAATACGGTTTGTCTTTTTTGTACTGTGCAATGTATTTCTGAAATTCATGTCAATGTCAATTTAAACTGCTAAAAAAATACAGATGCTTCTGAGAGTGCTCACACATCAAGTTTATGATGTATCTTGAGTTGAGTAAAGTTGTGATGAAGGTCCTCATCCAGAGGGCCAGAAGGGTAGCCAAGTGGTTAGCATTTAGCTCATCACACTGTTGGGAGCTGAAAATCAATCTTATCTAAATCAGATCTTAGTTCTCACTACCGCTAAACAAAGATCTGAGGACATCCCATTACGGGTCACGACAGACCGACCTTGCGCGAACTTTGACTGACCGATGGAATGACCAATCAGAAGGCAGCTTTCTCGTGCTTTACGGCACTATTTTCAAATTGGTGACAACACTTCGAAACATATTTTGACAAATTCTCGATTAAAAATTTGAAACTCGAACAAAAGAACATTCTGGAATCACTAATAGATGGACTAGATTGTATGGATTCAATCGTTAAACCCGTAACTATCGTTCGGATCACCCTGTGTTAAAGTTAATGAAAATGCATGATCAGAAATCACATTCGGACTGTCACTTTCATGATCTGGTAAGTGACGCTCTGATTGGTCTGATGAAAGGTCGTTCTGACGTGACCTCTACTGGGATGTCCTCAGATCTTTGTTTAGCGGTAGTGAGAACTAAGGTCGGATTTAAATGACATTGGCTGAAAATGAAAATCAAGTGCACACTGATCCACTGACCCCATGAAGTGGTGCGGGGGATATGGAAACAGAGTTTGGCTGTCCATCTGTCTGTCCTTTCACTTCTCAAATGCAGGGGTAGAAACTAACATTTTTAGTCCACTAGTCATTATAATGATAACAGATAGCAAAACCCTTAAAAATGGCAAATGTCTACTAGTCCTTATGATTCCTTAACTATTGGGCACTTTTGCAAGGACTACAGGACTAGTGCTAATTTCTATTGCTGAAATGGACTAATTTTCTCAAAAACTATTTAAGTTGGAGAAGTGAAATGATATTACTTGTCATTGTTTCGAAAATTGGTGTCTTAAATTCATTTTGTACAGAGTTATGGCCAATGCTCCATGCTTTTCAACTCTGAGTGTAGTATGTGCAGTAGGGACAAGTTTTCTCGGAAACTACTGAAGTTACATGAATGAAAGTTTTCATGCTTATCTAAGAGATACTTATCGAGACTGAGTTATTTTTGCCAGAGCAGGGGACTTTTGTGTGTATTAATTTCATCATCACACCAAACACTTGCATTACATTCCTCACATAAGAAGAATTCTCAATTCTCGATGTCCCCATCCCAATGAGATGTTGCTGAAAATAGCAGAGAACCATATTCACTCTATCACTTTCATCAGTTGATTTTCAGTCTCAATACTATTCAACCGGAAATAAATTTCACTTTCACAAATTCCTGTTGCATTACTGTAGAAATGAAGTAGTTGTTTCATGCACTTTGTCATCCCTAACTACCTATGTATTTTCCAGGTTCGTATGACCCATGACATTAACCATGAGCATGTTGTCAAGTTCTACGAGTGGTATGAGACTTGCAACCACCTGTGGCTGGTTGTGGAGCTGTGTACAGGGGGCAGTCTAAAGACACTCATTGTACAGGATGGCAACCTCCCCGAGAGCTCTGTCCGCACATTTGGCGTCCACCTCGTCATCGGGCTGCACTACATTCACTCTCTGGGAATTCTCTTTCATGATCTCCGACCATCAAAGGTATTTTTGTCTCATGCCTGTGTCTGATGTATTGGCTTCGGCTGAAATAATAACAATTTATTTGCTGGGTTTTTGGGCACCCTGTCATCAGCAAAAGCACTGATTTCAGACAACATTTTTTTTCACGCCCGAATGATATAGGCTACCTTCCCACAACAGTTTACACATGTGTTTTTCTGAGAGCTGATATCATTTATTTCAGCCATGTGTTAAGGTTATGATTTTGCTTCTCATTTTTATATGTTTATCAATATATATTGGTATGTTGTAAATCTTTGAGATTTCAGGGGACAATTTCATGTTTTTATTGCCACCTACACCTGCAACCTACCGTATATGACGCCATGCTTACGATGCTGAATTCAAACTGCGAGTCTTCGCTCCAGCTGATATATTTTCTCACGGGTCCATAATTCTATATACACCGACTCACAAAATGGCGCTTGGTTGTTGATGGCAACATATAACGATCATTATGAGATTAAAAAACCCACGAGAAACAGCTTCCCACATTATGAAAGTGGATGACTGGTTTGTTAAATCTTTATTCGAAATAATAATGACTTTTTCAATATAATTACAACGTTTTTCATCTTATATTTTTTAATATCTGCGAGTACCGGCACATGTCTTTCAGTCCGACTTCGCAGTGTTTTTTGTCTTTCAATTCCTGATTCGGCTTATCTGCGGGTCATATCATTTTCTTTCGTATTTCAATGGTCAAATTAACACCTCGGCTTATCTACGGGGTCGGCTTATCCGCGGTCATATACGGTACAGAATAAATCAGATTGCAACATGTTAATGTGATTAGAAGTAGCAGTAGAAACTAACAGTTTTAGTCCTCTAGTCCTTATAATGATTACATATAGTAAAACCATTAAAAATGGAAAATTTCTACTAGTCCTTATGATACTTTAACTATTGGGCAGTTTGTCAAGGACTACAGGACTAGTGCCAATTTCTAACGCTGTTAGAAGTATGTTCAGTTCTGTTAGTGGCTGAAATATTGCTAAACAATGCATTTTTTAACCCACCTCACTGTGTGTGTCTCCACAGATCCTGCTGGACACGTCTGGGATCCTAAAGTATGCTGACTTTGGACTGTCCAAGATCGAGGGTGAGAACCTTCATGAACTGTTCCTTAAGTTCTCCGATGCCGGCGAGCAGTGGAACTCGGAGACTTTTGAAGATGATTTGAAGAAAATCAAGACAACTGGTGAGTAGCCATGGTTTCAGATGCCAAAGTGATTCTGCGATTTTATTAACTGATAATTAACATGATTAAGAATTATGATTTTCAAACTGGTTACAATTTCGGCAGATTTGAAATTCACCTGATTCCACTTCTGTGATACCCTTGAAGAACTGGGTTAGAATTGGTCTTCAGCAACCCATGCTTGCCATAAAAGGCGACTATGCTTGTTGTAAGAGGCGACTAACGGGATCGGGTGGTCAGGCTAGTCAGGGTGATGCCTGTCATCATATCCCAATTGCATAGATCAATGCTCATGATGTTAATCACAGGATTGTTTGGTCCAGACTCAATTATTTGCAGACTACCGTCATGTAGCTGGAATATTGCTGAGTGTGGCGTTCAACAACAAACAAACAATCATGTAGATATTCCATATCTATACATTCTGAGTAAACAACATTTCTATGGATGCTGTCTGAACTTAAGGTCAATAATCATGAAAATTTGTGAGGAAACTAACCTTTAATAATGGTAGAGCCTTATGTCATTCCTCATGATGATATATCTATGGTAAACATGGTAAAAGCTTTAAATCTTAGTAAAATCTTGTAGTCCTACTTTAACCATGATATATATAAGTAACAAATGTGAACCCACCAACACTGATATGTCAAACTGATTCTCATATGGAACATGATACAGTGATTTGCCCTTGTGCCAGGAATTTGTCCCAAGTAATATAAGGTTATTACAGGGGCTATAAAGGTATGTGTGTATGAATAATACTTGGATGGTCACACCTTGGCTGTTATGTCTCTTAGTGTGTCATTGTAGCTGGAAGCTTGTGAATTTGTAATGTCTGTAATATTGCCAACTACAGCAGACGTGCTGATTTCTTCACTACATACAGTTGTTTTTGTTTTGCAGGTAGCGTCACCTATATGGCCCCTGAAGTGATAGATGGAGCTGAACCAACTGTACTCAGTGACCTCTGGGCTCTTGGATGCGTCTTCTACGAGATGTTCACTGGTAAAGAAATACAGTTTCTAAATTATTGTCATATTTCACCCTTGGTTATCAATGGATGTTGTAGAAATACTAGAATATCCTTCATTTGTAATTCTGAATATGTTTCTGATGTGCAAAATGATTTTTCACTAGATATATATTCATAATTTTTAAACTTATCCTGTCTCACACTATGTATTTCTTCTTTCTCCTTTTGATCCTGGTGTGGAAATGTCCTTAAACAAAGTTTCCTGCTTCTAAGAACATTTTGCCAAAGCATGACCAAGCCTCACCATAGTCACCATCCAAACAAATTGGTCTTGCACTGTAACCCCGTGCACTGTGACCCTACCTGGCTTGATCACCTGACTACCCCTGCAACATCATTCCCTTTCTCATCGCCAACGTGTGGGAACGCGTTTTGAGTAGTAGAGAATTGATCTTTTTTTTTAAAGAAAAGCTTCCTCTTACATTTTATCACCATCTATGGCGAAACATAGGAGCTGCTCAGGATAAATGTCCGGCCTTTAAGAATTGCATATGTACCTTTTCATGAGCCTATCCACCTATCCATCTGCTGTGGTCTTTGCTCGCAATGTTCCCAGCTGCCTGCGGAAGCCTTTCGTACTTATCTATGTAATTGCTAGAAACACAATGTCGATTGTCGGTCTAAATCTAAAGATGCGGAACATGGACCTTCACCATCAAAAGAACCAAGCAGGTGACCAAGCCAGTTGTTCCCTCTACGATTGTCAAGAAACCTCCAGTGGCTATATCCGTTGAAGAAGACATTGTATGCACAGTTCTTGTTAAGGATAGTGTCTCAACTACAATTACAACATCTACTGCTATCAACCCTCCCTCCATTCCCCGACCCTCAGCTGAATCACTGTTTAGTGCTGTTGGCACTCAAACACCCTCTACCTCTTCGCCAATGGCAACAGCTGCTAGGTCTTGTGACGTTAACACAAGCACTGACAGAGGGTCAACTCCAACTCCAGCCAATCCAGTACTTCCTCAAGCCCTACCTCCAAGATGATAACTACCGGGTTCTGATCAGCCTCCCAGTATCACTACACTGACATCTCCAGTGGTGGCTACTGAGGTCGAATGTTTGCTCCAGAGTCTCTTGCAGCTCTTCAACCCTACCCATCACTTGTTCGTTGACGCCTCGACCGTGGGCTGGGGAGCTCACCTCCAAGGTTGTCCAATGGCAGGGCGCTGGTCCGACAATGACAAGAGGCTCCACATCATTAACTTGGAATTCAAGGCAGTCATTCATGATCACAGCTGCTCCGTGTGTCACAGCTCATGATCCAGTCAGACAATCTGTCAGTCGTTTGGTTCATCACCAAGATGAGCCCCATCAAGTCAGCGTCGATGGCTCTGGAGTTCTTCTGACTGATTGATTCCTTGAGCATTCAAGTCCAAGTGGGGCACATCCCTGGATCCACAATGTCATAGCAGACTCTGTCCCTGTCCCGACCAGACCAACCATTTCTGATGGAATGGTGTCTCCCTACGATGATTTTTCAGTGGATTTTTTAAAGCCCTTTATAAAAGCCCAAACAGCAACCTCTTCACGACACGGTTCAATGCTCAGCTCCCAAGGTTTGTCTCCTATATGCATGGGACCACGACGCACTGGTCATCTCGTGGGAGAATCTGAACACCTACGCCTTTCCCCCGACAAGCTATCTATTTTGGGTACTTTAAAAGGCCGCAAACACCAACCAACTTTGACTGCTTTATGTTGCCCCCTATTGGCCAGCGCGAAATTGACTCACAGTACTAATAAACTTTGAAGGAAAAAGACACCGTCCTCTTTCATTTCGAGCCAATCTCCTCCAGCCTTACTCCCACTTGCTACACCCGTCACCGCACACCCTCCATCTCTACCTTTGGCTCATCTCCAGAAATCACTCTTCGCCAAAGGGTATTCAAAAAGAGGAGATAGGACAATCACTGAAGCTCATAACACCTCCACTCAGGCCTTGTACAATCACAAGGCCTTTCAGGGGCATTGTTGTACATGTGGTATCACCACACCGACCACTGCTTCTCCCTAACAAGTTGCCTAATACTTACAGCACTTCAGGTCTACATGGAAGCTTAAAGGTTCCACTTTGGCTGCATATCTTGCAGAAATAAGTTCAGTAATTGCCACTACCACTGACTCGAAGATCTCAACGAACTACAAGCTCTCGTCCGATCCTACAAGCTCTCGTCCGATCCTACAAGTTGGCTGACCAATCATCCTGGTTTTGTCCCCCTACTTGGGATCTGAATGTCATCCTACGCCATCTGACTTCGGAGGACTATGAACCCTCGAAGAGAAGAGCTTCGAGTATGACTCCCTGAAGATGTTTTTTCTCCTGGCCCTTGCAACAGCTGCTCGAGTTAGCGAGATACATGCTCTTGACGTCACCAGACTCTGGTTTGTGAGGCTGCGTCGTGGGAAGGTTTACTTGGGACTTTGTTGGGATAATCAACTTCTGGGCCCACCAGATAGACTGTTCATCATCCCTTGTTTGGCATCCATCGTGAACCCAGATGACCATGAAGACATCTCCTTATGTCCGGTGAGAGTTTACCTCAAGGCTTCTTCGATGCTACGATGCTGGAGGGAGAGGCACTTCATCCCAAGATGGCCACCACAGAAGTCTCCCGTACCATGGTCTCCTTCTGGCTTCGTTTGATGATTCTTTGTGCTGGATTGCCTCCTCCTGTTACATCCAATCCACACGAGACAAGAGACACAATGGCTCTACGCAGCAACTGCATGTTATCAGATGTAATGGAAGATTGCTTCTGGAAGCTTGATACTGTCTTCGCTTCCCACTATCTGTGTGATATCTCAGTGTACCATGTACCCTCTTCAGAAGCACAGGACACCTTATTATGTACAAGTGGTGTTCATTAAAGATTTCCCCTAAACCACTTAGGGTTATCATATTTGGTTGAAATTTCACATGTGTAATGATACATGTATCTATGGGTTATTTCTGAATTTGCAGCACCAAACTATTAATCTTACCACTTTTACAGGTGTTATGATCGAGTAGGGTGTGACAATGGAGCCAGTAGAATACCGAGCAGTGATTAGGTTTTTATATTTGAAAAGTCGCACACGAAAAGAAACTTTCGATGAAATGAAAGCAACTTATGGGGAAGATGCCCCATCATTTGACATTGTTAAACACTGGCATCGCCAGTTGAAGTGTTATCGGACATCTGTGGAAACAGCTGCCATTCCTGGTCGCCCCCATTCAGCCATTGATGAGGACACTATCCATCAAGTGGAGACTGCCATTTTGGCAGACAGACGTATAACTGTTCGCCAGTTAGCACAAGATGTCAAGGTCAGTGTAGGGTCTGTGGAAAAAATCATCCATGACAATTTAAACATGCATAAGGTGTCTGCACGATGGATTCCCAGGTTGCTCACACCTTTCTAAACGCAGGAACGAGTCAATTGCTCAAAGGATCTTTTGGACATGTACCAAAAAAAACAGGCAAACTCTTTTGACAGACTTATCACATAGGATGAAACATGGGTCCATCACTATGATCTAGAGACTAAGTTCAGTCGATGCAATGGAAGCATGTGGAGTCACCACCCCCAAAGAAGGCACATGTCCAACCCTCTGCAGGCAAGGTCATGCTCACAGTGTTTTGGGACCAGCACGGAGTAGTGATGATGGATTTCTTGGCAAAGGGTACCACAATTACAGGAGCTTATTATGCTTCACTGCTGCGGAAATTGCGGGACGCTATCAAGCTTAAGAGGCGTGGCATGCTGACCAAGGGTGTCCGTCTCCTGCAAGACAATGCTCCAGTACACAACTCTCATGGTGTCCAGACAGAAGCGCGGTCCTGTGGCTATGAAATCCTTCCACATCCTCCTTACTCTCCTGGGGCGGTCGGGTAGCCTAGTGGTTAAAGCGTTCGCTCGTCACGCCGAAGACCCGGGTTCGATTCCCGACATGGGTACAATGTGTGAAGCCCATTTCTGGTGTCCCCGCCGTGATATTGCTGGAATATTGCTAAAAGCTGCGTAAACCATACTCACTCACTCCTTACTCTCCTGACCTTGCACCATCTGACTTCCACCTCTTTCCAACCATGAAGTCATTTTTGAAGGGAAAATGTTTCACAGATGATGAAACACTGATTTCTGAGGTGAAGTCCTGGTTTGAGACGCAAAATGAGGGCTTTTACAAGCGAGGTCTCCATAGTTGCATAAAACGATGGGAGAAGTGTGTAACTCTTGGTTGTTCCTATGTGGAGAAAGACTAATACCTATGCCAAGTTTCATTCCACTAGGTCCATCGGAAGTGGGTCAGGGGAACTCTTTAATGAACACCCTCGTACATATTGAATAAATATTGGAATGTCACTCCCTTGTTTTTCATTATTATAACTCGGGTTCCCAGATTGAGGTCACAGTGCACAGTGTTGCAGTGTGTGACCCATTTGTTTGGGTGGTAACTATGGTAATGCTTGGATGTGTTCAGGTGAAATGTTTTTAGAAACTGGAAACTTTTTTTTAGGACATTTCTTCACAAAGGATTGAAAGGAGAAGGAAGAAGTGCATAGTGTGAGATCGGACTAGTATAAAAAAGTACAATTTATTGTAAAATTTTCAATTTTGTTTTGCGGATTATAAATGTCATAAACACAAGATAAGACAAATGTCTTCATTGCCTACATCTTTATCATACTGAATCATAGGTTCAGATCACTGTTGTCAATATGGATTATTTGTGTGGTAACTATACCATATAATGTATTTCTATTGCAGGTCATCCGCCATTTCTTGCCGATTCTGAAGAACAACTAAAGGAAAAGATAATGAACAAAGATTTTCCTCCACCGAGAGTGAAAGGTGTGGCATTTTATGGTGGTATTAGAACCTATTGGGCACTAAGTGCTTGTTGTAAGAGCTAAGTGAGGAACAGGTTGTCACTTGGCCGATTGCGTGTCATTGTACCCTGATGGTTTGGATTGTTTTTCATGATAGTGATTTCATGACTGGATTGTCTGGTCCAGACTTGCTATTAACAGGCCTCCATCATATAGCTGGAATATTGCTAAGTGCGGTGTTAAACAACCAACAAACACCATCATTGAAAGCATGGATCATTGATGGTGCCGTCAATCACTGGTTTTCCTTGCTGGGATGAGATTATTTAACATGCCTCTATTATGGGGAAGGAATATTTAGAGGTTATTATATGGCAATATTGTATTTTTACAGGAAGCAGATTTTCAGGAATTGCCTCCCCTGATTTCTTGAGTATTTTGGAGGGTTTGCTGTTAAAGGACCACATGATGAGGTAAGGCCATGTGTCATGTTACATGACACAGCAATGGAATTGTAGTTAGCACGATGACAGTGGCTGGAAATATCCAAAAACAATTGAGATTAGTTTAACTTCAAGCTCATAAGTATAATATCACTGGTTTTTGCACACTGGAGCACGAACAAAACTTGCATGAAATCATTTGATTATCATTGAAGAAACAAACATGCTTACTTTGTTTAGCAAACAGTTTCTTACCAAACAAGCTTCTGGATTGTACAAGCATTTCATTGCCTGAGAACCAGTTGTTATTAGTGATGTGCCTCCTGTGGGGAATCCAGGGCAGAGTATTTCACAAGCACCCTGTGCTTGTTGTAAGAGCCTACTAATGAGGATCAGTTTGTCATGGTGAGATCCGATGTAGAATAGGTCTTTAGCCACCCATGCCTGCCGTAAAAGGCGTCTCTGCTTGTTGTAAGAGGCGATGAATGGGATTGGGTGGTCAGGCTCGCTGACTTGGTTGATACATGTCATTGTATCACAATTGCCTGGATCGATGCTCATGATATCAGTCACTGGATTGTCTGGTCCAGACTTGATTTTATACAGACCGCCATCATATAGTTGGAATATTGCTCAGTGCAGTGTTAAACAAGAAACAAACAAACAAACAAACAAACAAAGAAACGTCATGGTGTGTGACTAGGTTGATGGAATGTCATCAGACCCTGATGATGTTGATTGTTGCCATTGTTTTCAGTCATTGTCCAGAATCCATTATTTACAGGCCACCTTGATAATATTATGGCTAGAATCTTGCTGACCTGGGTGTAGGAAATTAGCCTCCCAATATCTCACTATTTGTTTACTGACTGTTGCAGACTTGGGTGGCAAGGCCTGGTGAACCACTCGTTCTGGCAGGGTGAGTTGTCTCACCTGGCGAAGGAGTTCACGGTGAACCAGGACATGGGGGACAGTGTGGTAGAATCCACCAGTCGGAGCAGCGTCTTCGACATCCGTGGAGGTTCCTCCCTCGGCAGAATCAAGGGTGTGGATCCTCGTAAGAGCATAGCATCAAATCTGGACCAATTTGATGCTACTAACAGGCCAGGTAGCTACTGACGAAGCTAGTTTCATTTGCTATCCGATGAGGAGTTTCTTTATCATGTGGATTGAATTATTGCATTCATATTCCTGTTGTCATATCTACTGTATAGATAACAGATGAGTTGTCATTCATTGTCATTCACTTTCATTCACTGTGGATCACGAATACAGTTCAGTATGTTGTGTGAGTGCTATCTGTGAGGTATTGCGAGGGCTTTCTTTTACTGAATGTTTTGCCAATTTTATAAATAATAGTTAATTTAGGTAGGCTTATGTACCAAGCCTAACATATAACATATTGAAAGCCCACTGACTACCTGTTCACAGGATCTACACTTGGTGACTATATGCGGCCTAAGACAGCCCCAGGAGATGACGGCGGTGGCAGCCTCTTCACACTCAGGTAGGATCTGTAGGAATTATTACTGTGCATGGGGAGCACTGGGGTAGCTTAGTGAATGAAATGATTGCTCGTCATGCTGAAGGCTTGTACATGAACGTATAAAACTCATTTCTATTGTTCCTGATATTGCAGGGATATGCTACAAGAGGCATAAAACCCTCGTCTCTTATTTTGTGTGTTTGTATCAGTCCAACTCAATACATGGAGACACTACCAACTTGTGTTGTATCTTGACTTTTGGTAACATTATGAATAAGGTTTCTGTTTGTTATATTTTGTACTCTCAATGTAGAATGTGATGGTATGAAGTGCTGCCTGTTGCTTAATGCACTTTATTGTTGGTCATGGTGCACTTTGCTCAGAAGAGTTGTTCCCCTTAGCCATGATTAAGGATCTGATGCTGACAGGTTCGAATCCAAGATTTGCCTTAATTATGATCCTTACCATTTTAGCATCATACCTGTTCTTGTGGAATTGTTGTACCATTTCCAGCTTGCCTCCAATATAGAGCTGATATTCTGTGATATAATCTGTATCTGATCATAGTACGAAACCATCATGACCCATTTGATTGATATGGAATAGTTTGTTGATTGCATTCATAACTGTTTCTAGTGCTCGTCCTCACACTGCCGTCCCGCCTGAGGACCGACTTGTCCTGAACACCAACTCAAATGACCAGGACGAGACTGACGGGACCCAGATTCAGAAACTCATCTACCACACATCCGACTTTACTGTCTCCCCCATTGTAGATAACCACAAGGTAAACTGTCCCCTGCGGTCCTGTTCTTTCTAATCAGCTATGTGAGCACCACATTGGTCTAGTAGATAGTGTGTCTGCTTAGACAGCAGAAGGTCGGTGGTTCGATTCCTTGGCCGTGTCGTACCTGTCCCCTGCGGACCTGTTCTTTCTAATCAGCTATGTGAGCACCACATTGGTCTAGTAGATAGTGTGTCTGCTTAGACAGCGGAAGGTCGGTGGTCCGATTCCTTGGCTGTGTCGTACCAATAGACGTTAAAATTTGGTGCTTTTTGATATGTGTGTTATCCCTGGTTTTGTTTATTGATTATTTTGTGCATATAAATGCACAGGTCTGTGAATCACGGTGTTGTGTGGTTTAGATGTTGTAGAAAGGAGATGTGTGTGATACACAATATTGAACCACATCAAGGCAGTCTGTTGTTGTATATTCCTGATTTCAGATCCAGAAACCTACCTCTGTAAAGTATGACACCAAGATCCTGCCAGTTCCACCATATAGTGGTGAGTTGTAAGAGCTGCCATGAACACATGGACTGAAGATAACAGCAAATGTCACTCGATGATTTATGAAGAATAATCTGTCAATTATTTATATTTTCTGGTTTTGTGGTGATGAGTGAGGTAACCTTGTCTCGAACATACTGTAACAGCCATGACTCTGTGACCTGTGTGGGTTGAGTGAGAATGATCACATTGGTGAGGCTCGGTGACTCACTCGCTCGCTCACTCACTCACTCACTCACTCACTCACTCACTCACTCACTCACTCACTCACTCACTCACTCACTCACTCACTCACTCACTCACTCACTCACTCACTCACTCACTCTGACCTGTAGAACCCCACACTTTAACAAAGACAGGGTATGACAGTGAAAGGGTTAAGATCATTTTGTGGAATAGGACCAAGGTCATATCAGACTTTTCCTCACTCCGCTGCATAATGAATGTATTTCCATAATCTTCATCCATCAATTGTGACCATGTTTTGCAGTAGAGAAGTTGTCCTCAATGTCTGAGAAGGACCTGATGAAACATATACGGCAGATCCTGGACAATGTGGCGATGTCGGAGAAAGGTCCCCCCTCCCAGAAGCGCATCCATCTGCTGCACTACCTGGTGCAGGTGACGACCACGCCCTTCATGGCCTCCCTCCTGCTGCACAACAACGCCATCGCCATCATGGGGAGACAACTCAAGGAGACACAGCACATTGAAGTGTGAGTTGTGCCTGTAGCAGCTCACTCCATAGTAATACCATCACAGCAATTTGCTGCAACGGGAATAGTTGAGCTTACACCAGTTTTTTTGTTTCCACCTTCACAATTGTCCGGGGCGGATGGGTAGCTTTGTGGTTAAAGTGTTCGCTCGTCATGCCGAAGACCTGGGTTTGATTCCCGACATTTGGGTACAATGTGTGAAGCCCATTTCTGGTGACCCCCGCCTAATATTGCTGGAATATTGCTAAAAATGGCGTAAAATCACACTCACTCACTCACTCACTCACAATTGCCCCTGTGGTCTTATGTCCCTTGTGGCTTCCTCATGCCAGGATTCACCCTGATTATGATCCCCGGTTGACCCAAGTTCATACTTGTTAGTTTCACCAAGTTGTAATGATCCACAGCAGTCGCGTTGAGCTCACCATCCCCGTTCTGCTGACATCCTGTTATATATACTTCTCAAAAGAAATTAAGGACCAACTGATTCTTTCATGTTACTATGGTTAATCTGTCATGCAAGGCAGATTAACTATAGTAATATAAAGGACTTAATTCGTCTTTTACTTCTTTTGAGTATCATAATAAGTTTACTGCTGAATTAAACCCACTTTCTCACTAATGTTTTTTTTGTTTTTTCTTAAGTAAAAGGGTTGTTTAAGTCAGAATAAACTTGGACGTTATTTTACTTTCCTATCAAGATTGATCAAAAACATCCAAGAAATGGGTTTTCAGGATTGTATTTCTGAAATCTACCCCTATCAGATGTGTCATACTGCAGCTTATTAATATGTATGTAAACATATCTATTGTTGTCATGCAGGCGACAGAAGCTAGCTCGGGTGATGGCTCTCATTGCTTTACATGGGGAAGCTCTGGATGAAAACTTGAACATGTCTGAGGTGAGACTGCTTCTTATTCTCTCCTTTGTATCATTTTCTATTATTGAAGGTGTCTTAAAATCTCAAATGTGTGCGGTAAGTATATATTGGCTGACATCAAGGAGAGAATCTTCACCTGACCTATGTACTTTCATGTTACTTTATATCAGATATGTTGGGTTCGCTGCTCCATTTGCTGTTAGGCAGCGATTAGCCAAAACATGAAAGTTATGTATTGCTTGAACTTAAATTTACTGAAAACCCAGAAAAGGTGATTACTGCAGACCTGTTCCACCCTCCCCCTTCCCCAGCACTCTCCTCCCCCTCCACCTCTCCCAATACAATAAAAAAACAAAAAACATATTGAATTAAGATCTTTATCCAATGTCAATATTAATGAGCTTTTAAATGTTTTAAGCTGAAGTGAAATTCTGTTACAGGCACTGACAGCTTTGACTGAGATTATCCGAGAGCATGTGAAGAATGACAAGATGAAGCAAGGCCTGCTCCCAGCTCTGGGGGAAATACTCTTCCTTGTGGCTAAACAGGTGAGTGTAGGTCTAGTAAACACGTTCACACTGGGTAACAAGTATATAACACAGCTTTATCTGATGTTCATATGTTCTATCAAATAGATGCTTATACATGTAATGAAAATAGACACTATTTCTTCAGACGTTAAATCTTAGCTTTTTGTCCATTATTGACAGTTTTAGTTGAAATCAATCTTATCCAGTACAATACATGATACTCAGGTAGCAGGATCACCCAAGCAGAACAAACCAAACTAATTTTGGATTTATTTGATTGTTTTGAACCAACATGTTGATGTGTGATTCAAGCAACCAGAATGGCTGCCCTAATGATTACTTGTCAGCTTCAGCTTATAAACTAGGAAGTCTTTCCATCGTCTTGGTATTAATTACAGAGATAATATTATTTTGATCAAGAAATGTGATAAAGAAATATTAATGAAATATGGAATTTACTGTACAAAGAACATCATTGTGTATTGTCTTGAGTGTGTGACAATGCCTTGTATGTCCAGGAGCAGGACAAGGGAGTGACATATGACAGCTGGTCTGTGCCCTCCATGACCTACACAGTGATAGCGCGGTGCTGCCGAGATGGGGTATGTACTCTCACCCACGTGCTGACCATATCCAGAGTGTGTTTATATTAAAGAATTGAAATGTAATCAGATGCTTAATGTGGAAGTGTACCAGACTGATGGATGATCCATAGATCCAGAATTGTCATAGTTAAAATGACATGTTGTTGTAGCTTTTTTCTTGAATATTTCAGGAAGACCCTGTCGTGAACCACATGGCAGCCAAGATTGTGGAGAATGTGGCATCCACTAAAGGCCAGCATGCTCAGGTAGAACGGGGAGTTGATTGGTTCACTGGGAATGTCCCCATGGGGATTTTCTGGGTTAGAATTGGCCTCCAGCAACCGATGCTGGTAGTATTTGGTTTGTTTGTATAGATCCTTGCAGTTTGGATACGATGACATGCAAAAACAAAGTCAGCAAGCCTGACTGCCTGATCCAAAAGTCGCATCTTACGATACGCCTTTTAAGGCAAGCATGGGTTGCTGAAGACCTATTCTAACCCTGATCTCTATGGGTCAGATGCTGGTATTATGGGTTGGTTGGTCAGGCTCAGTGACTTGGATGATAGTGTGTTCTCGTACTCCGATGGCATGGATCGTTGCTCACAATATCGATCTCTGGATTGTCTGGTCCAAATTTGATTATTTGCAGTAATAAAGCTAGAATATTGTTGAGTGTGGCATTAAATAACAAACAACATACTGTGAATGTTGTTTAATGCCAGTCAGCATTATGCCAGCTATATCACGGTGGTCTGTGTACAATAAGGCTTGGACAGTAACTGAAAGCGTGAGCCACGCCATCAGGCCTTACTGCCTGGTACCCATTTTGGTTGCTTCATGACAACCGTGAAGTGCTGAGGAGCTTTTCTGGCCCAGAATCCCCACAGAGGTAGTTAACTGAGAAGATGTTTTTTTATAATCGTGGTCATTGTCAGCGATAGAAATGTGAATATCTACCTGGGAATTATGTTATGCCTCATTAGATACTATTTACATTAACCAACATTTTCATATTGAATTTGACTACCAGACCATGTGGTGTGTGAATGTATAGATGAGTGAATTTGATCCAGTGTATACTCAAGTAATAGTTGATTGATTCTATTTTCCAGAAATTTGTCAGCAATGAGATGGCCCAGTCTCTGTGGTACCTGTTCAAACATTCTACAATGGACTCGTTGAGGTGCACTGCGTTGTCAGTAAGTAGTTGAAAGAAGGATGTTGAAAGAACGATGATGCTCTAAATATCTCAAAGTGCTCTCAAGTTGTATTGATATCTTTCATCAACAAGATCAAACATTTGACACATATGACTTGTAATTCAACTGTTTTCTTTAAATAACTTTCTTATGAGCTATTTTGTAATCAGTTTCATTGGAATCGCTTTTATCAAGGCCTAGTGAGTAGAAAAAGCATTCAATTTTGCAATGGTTTAAAAATCAAGACATAAATCTTACAGTGGAATCACCCAAGCTAAAGAGATTTTTGAAATAGACAGGGATTAGTACATCACTAAAAGTTGCTTAGATATACTGTTAAATGTAAGAAAACTGTTAGATGCAAGCTACTATTTTTCTATCTAAGTTGGAATTCCATCTTTTTGAACTCCAGGCTTTCTCCTCTTTAAGGTGGGTGTTTGCAGCTCCCAAACTCCTGGCTTTTCAGTCTATTTTTGTCACCCTTCAATCATATGCCTGTTGAATATGTTATTCAGTTACAGTGTGAGATGGAGACAGGTTTTCATGTTGTGTATTGCACAAGTCTGTAACCCTGTACTTTTGTTTCAGGCACTGTGTAGACTCACCTGGCACAAGGCGTCAGTGTTTCAGAATGTGATCGACACAGTTGGCCTATCTAACATCCTGGGTGCCCTGACACTGGGCATCTCACGGCTACAGCAGGCAGTGGTCACCATGTTCGGTGCCCTTCTCTCCAGCGCGTCGCACCAGTCACGACTAACCCAGGACAAGGTCTGTCACTGTCAGGCTGCAAATAGAGAACTGTTCAGCAGGGCTGCAGATTGACACTAGCCCACTAGCCATGATCAGCTTGTCTAATGTTAAAAGTAACCAGCTGGCTAGTAGGATTTCAGGCTTTTGAGTGTCTGGCTTGATATGTTGTAACTGTTGTAAATGTATCAGGTGTTGTTGTATCCCTGTATTACAAAGGTGTATTATGCACTCAACTCATGATTCTTTGTTAAGAATATTACTCAAAAGTTCATGATAAAGATAAAATACAGGTAAAACAAAAGACTTGTTTGTAACTTGTTTCTTCTGTTTAGGATTTCCTGCAAAAGATGATGCGTTTATTTGAGAGTCCATCCACTATCATCCGAGCTAAGGCTTTCTACGTGATTTATGAACTTGCCAGGACCAACTGGGACATGCTGCTCAGTAGCTGTCAGGCCAGGTGAGAGGGGAGCAGTGTTAGGGGTGGGGAGAGGTTTGGGGTCAACGGGATTGGGCAAAAGTTATCCAACTTAGAAGGCCCTTTCCCTACTCTATATGTACAGACAGGGAGAAGTGTTAGCGAGGGGGAGGGAGAGGGAGAAATGTGAAGGGTGGGGAGGGGGAGGGAGAAGGCTGGGAAGGGAGAAATGGAAAGGGGGGATAAATGTGTGGGATGGGGAGAGGGAGGTAGAAATGGGAGGGATGGTGTAGGAGAAGTGTGAGGGGAGGGGGGGCTTGGGGCAGGACTAGCCTGGACCAACTGGGATTTGCTCCTCAGTAGCAGGGAGAAATGTGAGGGTTGGGGAGGGGGAGGGAAAAGTGTAACGGGTGGGTAGGAGGAGGGAGAAGTGTTAGGGAGGGGGTAGTGTGAGGGAAGGGGGAAGGAGAAGTGTGGGGCGTAGGAGAGGGAGAGAGGGAGAAGTGTAAGGGGGAGGGAGAAGTGTGAGGGATGGTGAGGGGGAAATGTCAAGGGGTGGAGAGGGGGAGGAAGAAGTGTAAGGCATGGAGAGGGGGCAGTGTGAGGGGGAGGGAGAAGTGAGTGATGGGAGGGCTTGGGGGCAGGACTAGCCTGTAACAACTTGGACATGTTCCTCAATAGCTGGAAGGCCAGGTGAGTGGGGAGGGTCATGGGTTGTACCAGGCAGGGTTAGGTTGAGTTGGTGGCAAGGCTGGCCAAGCACAGGTCAGACATGAGAGAGACCACGGTGTTGGGTAGGATCAGGGTTGGGTTAGATTGAGGCAACTTGCCTACTCAGCAGCTGTCAGGTGAGTGAGAGGGGTGAATCAAGGAACACAGAGGGACATAGTGTCCTGATAGTTGCACATTGGTGCATAATAGAAATGTCTTGTGTATTGTTACTGACAATATTGAACCTTTGGCCATTAATTTACTGTTCTTAAACATATGGAAATGAATGCCAGCCTCTCTGCTGTATGTTTCAGACTTGTGATGTATATAGAAAGAGACAGTCGGCGTCAAACACCAAGAGATCACAGCACCGAGAACCAGGAGGCCGCATCCTATCTCTCACAGTGTCTGGATATGCTCATCTGTCTGCTGGTTGATACTGTGCCCAAAATATTTGGTAAACTACAGTAACACTCTACCCTGAAATATCTATAACCAGTGAACAGGAATAGTCTCTGGCAAGATTTGTGATATAACAGATGGCTACTTATAATATTTTATGTCAATGTTGACATTTAGCAGCATACTTACATGGTTGCGCATCACTTGCTAAGTGGTCTCAGCGTTGTGATGTTTGTAATTCTCATACTTTAACATTGAACTAAACCAATTGTAGTGCAAAGATTGTTTTGTGGAACGGGGCCCTGATCTATTGAGATTAAATGCATCTTCTTCATTCAGGAATCACAGATCATTTGTAAATTCTACTTTGTGTATGAGCTCAGATCATTGAACAATTTACAGAGAAGATCCTGTCTGCATTACAAGACATCTCGGGCAGGAAGCACCCGTCAACCGTCCAAGTGCGAGAACTCAAGTCTGCACTGCCCTTGCTACCAGTGTTCCTCCATCTAGTCACTAGTCAGGTGGGTTCTGGTGCTTAGGTTGAAGGGGGGACTGGGTGGGGTTGATTCGGAGGGTTGATTGGGAGGCACTGCCCCTGTTGCCAGTCTTCCTCCATCTGGTGGGGGCACGGGTGGCCCAGTCGTTTAAGGCGCAGTGATTCGCTGTGCAGAGTTGCATCCCTTGTGCTTGCCAGAAACCTATGATTGCAGGTTCAAATCCCGGTTCGCCTCAATTTTGTTTCTAGGTTTGTCAGCACCATAGCCATGCTTGTTGGTTTCACCGAAGTGGTAAACGTCTGAGACCTGCATCACTTCGGGCTTTCCTCCCACATTAAGCTGACACGCCACAATATAACTGTAATACTGTTAAAAGCAGCGTTAAACCCAACTCACTCACTCACTCCTCCATCTAGTCACTAGTCAGGTGGGATCTTGTGCCTGGGTTAAGAGGGGACTGGGTCGGGTTGATTGGGAGGGGTGACTGGGAGGGGTTGATAGGGAGGCACTGCCCCTGTTGCTAGACTTCCTCTGTCTCGTCACAAGCCAGGAGGGATCTCGTGCTGAAGGTAGGGGGTGATAGGGTGGGGTTGATTGGGAGGGGTGACTGGGAGGGTTGATTGGGAGGGGTTGATAGGGAGGCACTGCCCCTGTTGCTAGACTTCCTCTGTCTCGTCACAAGCCAGGAGGGATCTCGCGCTGAAGGTAGGGGGTGATAGGGTGGGGTTGATTGGGTGGGGTGACTGGGAGGGTTGATTGGGAGGGGTTGATAGGGAGGCACTGCCCCTGTTGCCAGACTCCCTCTGTCTTGTCACAAGCCAGGAGGGATCTCGCGCTGAAGGTAGGGGGTGATAGGGTGGGGTTGATTCAGAGGGGTGACTGGGAGGGTTGATTCAGAGGGTTTGTGCTAAGTGTAATGGGAGACACTTGTAATTGGACTTATCTCCCCTTGTACAGTTAGCCATGTCATTCAAATATGTGTATGGTCATGGGCTTCAGGAAAGTGGACAACATCTAATACTTGTACCACTTCGGGCTTCATTCCCACACAAAGCAGACATGCAGTGATCAACTGAAATACTGTTTGGGATTAGGATCAACAAACTCACTCTCGATGAATGTTTTAGTTTGTGGTTACTGGCTGTGTTGCTCCCTTATTTAGTGATCACTCTGATATCTGGGACTCCATCAACACCTGGTGTCTGAAGTACAGATGCAGCTGTGTGTCCCATGGGGATGCAGGGTTAGAACAGGGTTCCAGCACTCTGTGGCTTGTCATAATAGGTGACTTAATAAATTGGGTGGAATGGAATGGAATGTTGCTCATAATATCAACCACTGGTTTGTCAGGCACATACTCAATCATTTGCATGCCTGCTTCATATTGCCAGACTGTATCTTAAAAGAAAACCCTTGTAAAGTTCACGACAGGCAGAGTTCTGATATTTGGCAAATGGGTTGATAAGGATTCTTTTTCATTATGCTGCTTAAACAATAAGTTAGGTTGATGAAGAGTTTACAAGGTTTCATTTCCATTCTTTGTGTTGCGTTCAGGTATTCAGGAACCGTGTTGTCACAGACAAGTTCATGAGTGACCTGTCCTCGCTGTTGAAGCACGTCCACAGCATCGAGACCAAGGAGACCAACATCGAGTCTGCAGCAGGTCGGTCTCCTGCATCCAGCCTTTCTTGTATTGTGATTGTTCTACTTGTAATATTTATCCGTGAATCTTCTGTCTGTGATCTGTTGAACACTTGAGGACTTTCAATTCAAATTCTGTAGTCCCTTAGTTTAATATTCGAGAATGACAAACATTTTGCCACTGTGATTCATGATCAGAGAATGGTTGCTAATATTTTTGCATCATGATTTTTAGGATTGTTATAAAATGTTGGTAAAGGTATATGCCCAAATTCTCACCGACATTCACACACAAACATTTCATTGAAGTTGTAATGGTCTTTGACCTTCATCACTTCAGGCATTCATCACATATAAGGCTGAGAAGTTGGGATGTAACTGAAATACTCTTCAAAGCCAACCAAAAAACCCTCATTATTGACATGTATTTCTTCAGCCACAGCACTATGGGATGCAATTTCCGTGCCTCATCTCCAATCCACTCACTCACTATTTCTCACAGACTAGCATCATGTTCGGGATACGTAGGGTTCTTGGGGGGCACGGGTGGCCCAGTCGTCTAAGGCGCCGCGATTCGCTGTGCAGAGTTGCATCCCTTGGGCATGCCAGAAACCTATGATTGTGGGTTCGAATCCCAGTTCGCCCCGATTATGTTTCTAGGTTTCTCAGCACCATATCCGTGCTCGTGGGTTTCACCGAAGTGGTAAACATCTGAGACCTGCATCACTTCGGGCTTTCCTCCCACATCAAGCTGACACGCCGTGATATAACTGGAATACTGTTAAAAGCGGCGTTAAACCCAACTCACTCACTCACTCACTCACTTAGGGTTCTGGAATGGGTTGTTCCCAGATTTCTGTGGAAGGTGACAAAAGTGGGGGCAAGTGTTGCTACACCTGGCTTGTGGAACACCTGGGAACACCAGTTCCTGATTGTTACATGTCCTTTGTAGTGTGTGTATTCTAACAGGACTTCTCTCACTGTTCGGCAATTTCCAGACTGAAATGCTCATCAGTGTGCAGGCTGCAGCCTTGTGAATAATGTCAGTCATTCACTCACATGTTTTAATGAAATTATTCTAGATTTTGTAGAAAAGAGAATATCTATATCGTTCAGGCAGAACTGATCATTGTGGATATTGGGTTTCAATGCCTGAAATGAATAATTTTATCTTATCCTGACTCATACTTATTACTCATTTGTATGAGTCAGGATAAGTATAAATGATATTTTTACTCTAAAAAATACATATTTTATCTTATCCTGACTCATACAATTGAGTAATAAGTATGAGTCAGGATAAGTATAAATGATATTTTTACTCTAAAAAATACATAATCTTTTCTTGAAGGTAAAGTCAATAAGATGTTTATATATTTCTGTGCTTTAGATGTTGCACATGTGCTCTGTGTATTGACACTATTGGCTACAAGACACACCTGCAATTTCCAGACTATTCAGTAGTAATGGTTTAGTGATACTGCCTTTCTGACAGATGTTGTACTATAATGCTGTCTTCATTTCTCTCAACAGAGAAGATGAAAGGTATCACATTTGTATTGTATCTAATTATATCTTCTCTGCTTGAGTGATGCCTACTGTATGAATAGATTTGGTCCTCTTTTTTTCTTTCTCTCCTTTTGCTGCAATAGAAGCAAAAATGTTTAAAATATTTAATTGATGTGTAATGTTTGTTTTGTAAAAAATAAGTATTTCATAATAAAGGTAAATGAATTGTCGTTTTTGTCAGCATGATAATTGAAAGAAGACTAGTCAGAAGCGCCTTTATGCAACTTGAAGCATTTACTTTTAACATGCTTATACACAAATGTTTAAAAATAATTCAAATACAAATACAGGTGTCTTACTTGATTTGTAATTATATTATAATATGAGCTTCATATTTTCATGTTCACTAACTGTTTGTAATCCAACATATTTCTTTGTCTTTGTATTGGCTTCCATCTGTTCTAGTGTTGCCACAAGATAATCATCTCTTTGTCTTAGATTTATGGTATTTTTTTTACCAAGCATGAATGGAATAATTATTAGGTTTATGAATTTGTAGTACCTCTTGTATTGTTTTATGATTGCCTTTTCAACTTGGTGTTCAGATCTGTAAGCTTATTATCATGATTGTAGTGATATGGCTAATATCAAAGAAAAGATTTTCCACAAGAAAGTTTCTTGGTAATTTATGGTGAGGAAAGATCTCCAGTAACCTGTGCTTGTTTAACTCAAAACAGCATTGAAATCTCTGTCACTCACCTGTGCTTCTAAGAGTTGTTCAACTGTATCTGTAACAGTTTGTAGCTTGGCTAATTGTGGGTCATCGTACCTCAAAGCCAAGGGTAATTTCTCATCCTTCCAAGAGGGGTACGATTGACCCTCTCATATAAGACATCACAATTTGCTGTGCAGAGTTGTGTCCCATGCTTGTGCCAGGAACCTATGATGGAGAGTTCAAATCCTGGATTGACTCAGCTAATGTTTCTAGGTTTGACTGCACAATACCCTTGTTTCACCGAAATCGTAAATGTCTAAAATCACTTCTGGCTTTTCCTAATGAAGCTGACATGCCATGATATAACTGAAAAACTGTTCTGGCAATAAACAATCACTCACTCAAACCTGCACTGAAGACTAAGCGATGCTGCTATGTCTTCCTGCTTGTGGTGAACAGTAAGGCTAATCTGACCACTGTGCAGTGCCTCATGCAAAGTGTTTCCCGAATCTAGTTGATCCACACCAGAATAGGTCCCCTGTACCCAATGTTTGGAGGATCAGTGGTTATAATGTGTGACCTAAGCCTCAATCCACAAAACTATCTTAGTGCTACGACTGTAATAACTCTTGTGTTAACGTAGGGGAGTTACGATTTAGGTGAACAGTCACTCACACCTGTCTCTGTCTGATGTGTAACAGCTTCTATCGGTGTGGGAGAGTTCGTCACTACAGTCATGTCCATCCTGGAAGGAGTATCCCAGCATCCCACACTACTCATCGAACATCATCAGGTTGTCATGGGAACCATTCTTCCGACTCTAGCAGGTCTCATCGGTACTCAGAATGGTAAGAAGGAAGAACTCATGTTAGGCCAATGGAGGAGGGGTGTCATCCATTAGTTTCAGTTTAACTGATGGATATTTAGTGTAAGAAGATTATGCAACTGAGTTGATAATAGTACATTAGTTGTTCTACAGTTGTGATCAGAGTTTTACAGGATGCCATTCTCATGCATACAAATGAGAATAAGTGTGAACAATATGAACTATGAGTTCCATGGGTTGCAAATTTCAAATCATTTGGACATATTTAATTGTAGCATTTAACTCAAAGTTTATCACGTCCATGTTGTTTCTTTGTTCTCATGTCGTCTCCATGATCTCTATGCCTGGATGCTCATGATATCAATCGCTGGATTGTCTGGTCCAGACTCGATTTTTTACAGACCGCCGTCACATAGCTGGAATATTGCTGAGTGCGGCGTTAATTACATTAAGTAATACGTTACCACTGTTATACCGAGGCTGTTGTCTCCCACAACTGCTGCTATAGCGAAATCTACCACAGAGATCTCAATTACCTCATGCAGCACGTGCGTAGCCACCTAGCTGCCATGTGACACCCTTCACTCTTGTCTCCTTCGTCTGCTTAGCAAGACGTGTTTTCTCCTGCTGAAGCGTTCCTTGAAGATTTGGTGATATTTATTATAGTTTATTCTCTAATAAACTGTGCTTTTATGGGGCGTTGCGGTAGCTACGCTTGGTTATAATTTTCCCGCCAAACGGAAAATTTTTCCCGCCCTTTTTTCTATATACTTGCGGGGTTCGCGTATGCACGTTGTGTTTTACGTTTCCCCTGTTCTTGTATGTTTTGGGGGTTAACATAACTTATTTCTTTAATAAAAGTTATATGTGTATGTTATATGTTCACATTGCTCGTTTATTTTCTTGTGAAAATGTTCGTTTGTGAATCATTGTGGTGCGTGCTTTGTAACCATGTTTTGTTCTTTGTTTATAGCAAACAATCAATGTCTGACATGGATCTGTCCCCAGTATCCACCCCCTCTACCCCTGCTCCTCGGAGTTATGGGGTGTGCAGAAAGTTTTTGTCGTCCCGGGATCCCCACGATCGTTGCCCGCGGTGCAGGGTTCCTTGCGGGGACGCCCGGTGCATCCTGTGCGAAGGTCTGGGGCCTGCGGATTTTGAGCGGTACCGGCTGTACGTACAGTCCGTCTCCACCCCTGTGGTGGCCGGTTCGTCCGGTCGGGGTCCCCGTGCGGGTACCACCTCCTCGGCTGCGGCGGATCCCCTTGCGGCCCTCGGGCTGTCTGGGGATTCCGTCGCCGCATTGTTGTCGAAACTTGTGGATTCCAAGCTGGCGGCCTTATCGCAAGATAGGCCGCTGGCTGTTCCGTCCCCGGCCTCTTCGGTGGCCGCGGGGTCGGACGCGGGGTCCACCGGTAAAGCGGCGGATCTCTTGGCGGCCCGTGTGCTGTCCGGGGATTCCGTCGCTGCATTACTTGCATAACTTGTGGACTCCAAGCTGGCGGCCTTATCTCAGGATAGGCCGCTGGCTGTTCCGTCCCCGGCCACTTCGGTGGCCGCGGGGTCGGACGCGGGGTCCACCGGTACGGCGGCGGCTCCCGTGGTCACCGGTCCTTCCCCCGAACCGTTGCTCCCGCTATCGGTTTAGGACCGCGTGGCCATGGTTTATGACCTCTTTGAGGACATGCCCCGGCCGGTACCGCGGGGAATCCACGACTGTTGGTTCCTCCGAGGTATACGATGAGTCTTCCGACACGGCTTTCCCCGCATCAACCTTGCTGCGCGGTTTCAAGCCTTCCTTGGAGAACGCCTTCGCGGCGGCCTCCGGTCGGGGTCTCCCGTTGCCTCCGACGTCGTGGAGAAAGGGTTTATTCCCGGTACATGACCTTGCCTTTCCCGAGGCTGGTCCTACCGCGGAGGCCCATGTTGAGCGGTTGGGTGTCCGTGCCCCACCGGCTGCTACGGTAACGCAAGCTACCTTGCACCAGCTGGACGCCCTCGCTCGGCACTCCATGTCTCACGGAGACACTTACTTGGCTGCAGCGGCCCGTCTGGTCGAAGGTTCTCCCACGGACCGTGACCAGCGCATTTACAACTGCCTGCTCAGTTTAAATGCTTCCCTGGAGTACGTTGCCGAGGACTCTCGGCACACACTTGCTCTTGTTGGGTCCCTGCATAGGCGCCTGGGTGCCGCTCCTAACCGGAGCGCGCCCCAGGCTGCTGCGGCCGGTAGGTCTCAGGGGTCGGGTTCTTCTTCCTCTGGGAAGTAGCCCCGCCCTGAGGGCTCCGGTATGGGCAATCAGCTGCCCTTTCGCGGGAAGACGGGGAACTGGGGGAAGCCCAAGTCGTCGACGGACGGCAAGGGCCCCTCCAGGTGACTCTCATTGGAGGGGTTCGTATGCCGACAGCGCCAACTTCGGTTGGCCCTTAGGCGAACCCGAGTCACTTGGCCCTGGACAGTTGCGCCTGTCGCAACCTGTCAGGGCCCCCTCTCCTTACCCAGTGGGAGCCAGACTCCACACTTACTGGGAGAATTGGGAACAAGTGTTCGACGACCCGTGGGTGGTCAACACGATTCGGTACGGCTATCGGCTTGATCTCAAAGCGAATCCGCCGCTCACCGTTGCCCCGTTGGCATGCAGGTTTCGATTCGGAAACCGATCTTCCCATCCTCGCCGATGCCATCGGCAGGTTGGTGGAGAAGGGGCAGTACGGGAGTTAGCTCTACCAGAAATAACACCGGGGTTTTACTCCAGGATATTTCTCGTTCCCAAGTAGGACAGTGCCGAACTCAGAATGATTCACACGTCCGCTCCCTGGCTGTTCACCCGGTTAACCACCCCCATAGTGGGGTTCCTCCACAGGAGGGGTGTCCGGTACTTCGCGTACCTGGACGACTCGCTAGTAGCAAATCGAATGACGGACACCCTGTCACGCCATCTCGATTTCGCACGTCGGCTCTTGGAGCAATTTGGGTGGATTATCAATCTCCCCAAGAGCGAGTTAACCCCTTCTCAGAACTTGCTGTTCATCGGAGGTCGGTTCAACACGGTGTCCCATCGCCTCTTTGTCCCCCCAGACCGGTGGCACAAAATTCAGGCGATGATTGCCAAAGTCTTAGCGGTGCAACAGACTGTTCACTTTTGGGAACAGCTGTCAGGGCTACTTGTATCAGCCCAGGACTGCACCGCACGGGGTCGTCTCCAACTCCGCCCGCTGCAACGGTTTTTAATCCAGTTGTTAGCAACGGAGGTGAACAGTGCGACCGTCGCCCTCCCGGATCGGCTCCGACCGCATCTGGAGTGGTGGACGGTCCCTTACATTGTCTTATCAGGAGTCTCTATGCGGCCCTACCGGGCCACGTTGACCCTGTATACAGACGCCTCTCTAGTGGGCTGGGGCGCCCATCTAAAGGGGGAGGTGAGCTCGGGGCTGTGGTGCTTAGACGAACTAGGTCTTCACATCACTTGTCTCGAGTTCAAGGCAGTGATCAACGCAGTCAATCACTGGAAGCATCGTCTCGTCGACGCCCGGCTCATGCTGGCGACCGACAACACGACGGTAGTGTCCTATGTGAACAAACTGGGGGGAACCCACAGTCACTCGCTACTCGATCTCACGTTCGAGTTTTACGCTCTGGTGGACAGTGTCCCGTGCCAGATACGCGCCCGTCACATCCCAGGTGTGCGGGACGTACTGGCAGATGCTCTATCGAGGCCTCAGGATCCGAGCCCCACAGAGTGGATGCTGAACCCAGTAGTGTTTCAGTGGCTGTGCGAACGTTTGGGTCGTCCGATGGTCGACCTGTTCGCAACGCGGTTCAACAATCAACTCCCGTTGTTTGTATCACCAGTCCCGGTCCCGAGGGCCATCGATCACGATGCTCTCGCGTTAGACTGGACGGGCTTGGTCGCTTATGCTTACCCGCCGACAGCGTTGATACCACACATTCTAAGCCGGCTCCGAGGAGTTCGCTGTCGAATGTTACTGATCGCGCCCATGTGGCCGAACAGATCGTGGTACCCCGACTTGCTGACCCAGGTCACGCAGTCGCCACTTCCACTGCCTGTGAGACCGGATCTCTTGATCCACCCTCACACCCGTCAGCTTCATCCAAACGCAGGGCAGTTCAATCTGCACGCGTGGATGTTGTCACCGAGCGTCTGAGGAGTAAAGTTTTTTCTCGCCGGCGTCTCGGGCATACGTTAGTATGCATCGTGATTCTACCCAGAAGGTGTATAATGCACGTTGGGTTATTTTCACGAAGTGGTGTTGTAAACATCACATTCATTCGCCAGATAAGGTATCTGTGCAGGATATTGCTCGTTTCATGTCTCACTTGCGAGAGTCCCGGAAACTCTCCGGGGGTTCCATTGCCAACTATGTCTCGTCCGTTGCTACGGTACGGGACGTTGCTATGGGTACCAGTCTCTCCAAAGAGCCGGTGATACGGGGTATTATCAAGGGTTTCAAACAGCACGATCTTAAGAAGGGCCGCCTTCGGGCACCGGCCTGGGATCTTTCCCTAGTGTTGCAATCACTTACGGAAGCTCCGTATGAACCCTTGCATAGTGCTTCGTTCCGGCATGTGACTTGGACAACAGCATTTCTCCTCTCCTTTGCCACGGCGGCACGTGTATCCGAAATTCATGCACTCGATGTCGCCAAGGTACGATTCGATAGGGGTGACGAAGGAGCGGTCCGCCTGGGCCTGCTCATGGGCTTCGTCGCCAAGAATCAGAGAGTCGGGCAAACGGAGAGAGAATTCACTGTAAGATCACTCAAAGAAATCTTACATCCTGCTGATACTGAGGACAGAGCGCTGTGTCCGGTTAGGGCCCTAAAGTATTATCTTAAGGCTTCGAATGAACGTAGACAAGGGCGTGACCGTCTGTTCATATCGTGTAACCCTAATCGCACGGTTGACATAACTCGCAACTCGATTGCGTTGTGGCTTCGTTCTGTCATCAATCTGGCGTACCGGTCTCGGGGGTTACCGGTAGCGGGGTCAAACCCGCACGAGATCAGGGCGCTAGCGGCAACATTTGCCCTACACTCGAATATCTCTGTTCGCAGAATATTACGAGGTTGTTCCTGGCGTTCTGACTCGGTTTTTGCCAATCATTACCTCAAACAGGTCGCTGATGCCGTCGTGGAGAGTGTGCACCGTCTTGGCCCGCGGATCGCGGCGCAAGCGGGCACCTAAGGGGTGTGCCCAGCGCAATTCCGAACTCCTCAGGCGTCTGACCTTGCACGGTGGTCAATCTGGGTCGACTCCATTGTTCCCACTGCCGTGGGTACAGGAGTTGGGGTCCCGCAAACCAGCGCACTCACACCACAGGTGAGGGCGGCTTTTTGTGTGCTTTGTCCTTATTTGTATTTTGACAATTATGTCTTTAATTGTCTGTCGTGTATCCCAACCTTGTGATGCATGCTTACAAATACTGGAATTAGGTCACGCGCCTAATGCATACTTTAAGTAGGCTTGCTCTGGGATATACGGTCTGAATGAAATTAATTTCCCTCTTTTCGACTGTTTAACCTGATCTAAGATTAAGCTCACGCGGATACAGTGTTCTCATCCGCTGCGGCGATGAAATACCTATCCAGTGGGGCCGTTTGGAGTCACCAATCGTTTTGGCAATGACGATTGAGCCTTACGGTATGCGCTTGACAGTGCTTTGGTATTCCTATAGGGTAACGCCTAGCTAGGTGCATGCGCATCGAGTGCTTCCGCCTTGGTGTTTACTTCCGCTGGTCGGAAGGAACGCTAGCAGTCAGGATTCGGGTTGTAGGTGCTCCCCACCGCCTACTGTGGTAGTCAGCCTCGGTATAACAGTGGTAACGTATTACTTAATGTAATTTGTAGAATTTTCCTATTCGGAATATTCTATAAGTAATACGTTACCACTGGGCTGCTGCCCGCCCGTCCATCCCCCGAGCACTTGCTCTCGCAGGAGACAAGAGTGAAGGGTGTCACATGGCAGCTAGGTGGCTACGCACGTGCTGCATGAGGTAATTGAGATCTCTGTGGTAGATTTCGCTATAGCAGCAGTTGTGGGAGACAACAGCCTCGGTATAACAGTGGTAACGTATTACTTATAGAATATTCCGAATAGGAAAATTCTACAAAACAACAACAAACAAACAAACAAGTAAGGCTTAGACCATGTACTGTGCTTTAATGTAAGACTCTTGGAAGTCAAGTGTAGTGTGTCAGCTGGGTCACTGATTAGTGATTACGCTTCGATCACATTCAAAGTGTAGGAACTCCATGAATAGATAAACCAGGTTGTAGTTGTTAATGTAAGCGTCTGCTTCTGGTCTTTAGTTGACACGAGAGCGCTGTCCCTGCGTCTGCTGTCGGAAATCGCTGCTGTGTATCTGAGCCAGGAGCAGTATGGGGAGGTGAAGGTCAACACCAAGCAGCTCCATGTCATCATCTCCCAGCATCTGCTTCCGCTGTGAGTACAGATGAGTACACACTCCACATTATACCTCCACCTCAAGTCTTATAGCATTTGTATGGGCGGCCATCCAGTCAAAAAATACACAGTGGAAATAAACGACAAAAGTATGCAATAATACTCAATTGTTATGAATAAAGAATGAATGTTACAAATAACGGTTATTGTTAACATACAAATAGTTAATTCAAACTATGAATCAATTCCAATGAACACCTCAAAAACAAAAGACATCATATGTAAAAAGAAAAACATGTACTAAGAACGTCAGCACACAAAAAGGACACCAAACTGCTAAAGGAAAACGTTGACAATAAAGAACGACCGAATGGCTGCCCATAGTAAAGCTCATTATTGGTACGGCCTGCTGTAACATTGTTGGAATATTGCTGAAAGCTGTGTAAAACCAGCAGTTATTGTCTTGAAAATGCAGATGTTTATATATATGAAGTCTCAAAGGTAACTTTGTTCTTTCCAACATATTGTCTGCTGATTCTTCTAAGGTTAGGGGTGGTCGGGTAGCCTCATGGTTAATGCATTCGCTCGTCACGCCGAAGATCCGGGTTTGATTCCTGACATGGGTAAAATGTGTGAAGCCCATTTCTGGTGTCCCCTTCCGTGATATTGCTTGAATATTGCTAAAAGCGGCATAAATCCATACTCACTCACTTCTAAGGTTAGTGTGTTTGCCAGACTACTATTAACACGCTGATGTGATACAGCTGGAATATTGTTGACTGTGGTTTTAAGCAGCATTCCCTCCTTCTGTTCCAGGTGCGAGCAGATCCTCCTGGATGTGGACCCCCTGCCCAGCTACGGCCTGAAGCTGCTGCTGGCTCTCCTGGAGCAGAACTCCGCCTTCATCAAGCAGTTTGAGGAGAAGGGGCTGGTGGCCGTCGTCTTCCAGGTGCTCATGGTGAGTGTGTCTCACTTCACTCACAGCTGTGATCGTGGCTTCTCATAGTCTCACTGATTATGTTTCCTGGTTCGTCAGCCTCCGGGTTTCACCAAAGTAGTAAATGTCTTTGAGTGAGTGTGTGAGTTGGTTTTAACGCCACTTTGAACGGTATTCCACTTATAACACGACATGTCAGTAATATGGGAGGAAATCCCGAAGTGATGCATGCCTCAGATGTTTACCACTTTGGTGAAACCCACAAGGCAGGTATGGTGCTGACAAACAAAAGAAACATAATCGGGGTAAACCGGTATTCAAACCCACAGTCGTTTCTGGCATGCCCAAGGGATGCAACTCTGCACAGCGAATTGCGATGGCTTAGACAACTGGGCCACCAGTGCATGTCTTATACTTAGACATCTCTACAGGCTTTCCTCCCACAACAAGCTGACAAGCCGTGATGTAACGGAAGTACTGTTCTAAGTGGTGTTAAACTCACTCCACTCATTCAGATCCTCCGTGGTGGCCTTGTGAAGGTCACATCATGGTATGTCTCAGGGTTTTAGATGAATTAATATTGTATTGGATGTACAAAAGGAAGAACGAATGGAATCGTGTTTACATAATATGAAGAGAAAGAGTTGCCACTTGACAATTACATCATTTTGTTTTTAATTCATCGATATTTGTCTTTGTTTATTTCATTCAGAAATTTTGTATCATTTTCCATCTGTCTGCCTTGTTTTGAGTAGAAAGCTAGCAGTAAGGCAGTAGCTTTAAGTTCACAGAATGCATTGCAGTTATTTTAGTCTAATCATGCTTGTTCCCTATCAGCAAAATTGTCAGCTAGAAACGGGCCTTGTGAGTATACGTTGATTGTCTCCCCTTGGTGAAGGTCATCTCGATGCCCTTGTCCATCCCCTGCAGAGCTTTTGTATCTGTCAGATGTAGTTTTTAGTGAAGCATTTATTAACTTTATCTCATTGTCTGCTTGGTAGGAAACAGTAACATCATTAACAAATGTACAAAGAAAGTTGTCTCCATGGTGATTCAGTGCTGGAATATTGGTGACCATGTGACAAAGGACACACTAATGGACAAAATGGCTACTGTCAAACTCATCATTGTGTATATATCATGGTCACATCTCAAAATGTCTACAAAGTCTCCCTTCCGTGATTACCAGATTGTTTGTGGCAGTTAAAGGGAGTCCAGTGGTGTGGAGACTGGTTGCAATGTCTCTTGCTGGGTCTGCTACAGAGTGGAGGCCATGTTGTAAGAATAGCATGCCCTGTGTCATGTGATAGTGAATTGTGGGAGATCTTGTGGGCCAGAATATCCGCTATTGATGCCCTATTGATGACATGCTGAACTCATCCACCTAGTCCTTTATTGTCTTTTGTTGAAAATGTCACTAGAATAGGATGATCATCTTACCTGAAAGACATAACAGTATATTTGTTACAACTTGGAAAGTTTCGATTAAATTGATGGACAGACGGTTTCCTATATATTGAGTACAGGTAATGTCAGCATCTGCTTGCTGTACAAGCTTTCGGGACTTCTGTCTCTCCATGTCTGTGTACTAACACCAGCTTTTAGACAATATACTGAGAAAATCAGGAAACTTGATACCAGCAGATACCTGCCCCATGTCTACTGTTCTAATGGTCATTGTACACTTTGTAAATAAACCTGCATGGTTGTGGTAACAGCAAATGTTGTCTCAACAAGAATAACCGTCAGTGTCTGTATCTCTAGACAAACTGCATGCTCCTTTAACCTGTGTATAGAAAATAGGTTGTATGTGAGACCCTATCTGTGATTCTCTGTTGTTGAAATTTTCATAAAACGTTCATGAAAATAGTTTGAAATTAATTATGTGATTTATGCAAGAAACTTCTGCCATGTATTTATAACTCAAACCGACTTTTTGCAATCCTTCGACAGTTCATCACATACCCTGGCTTATTAGTGAAATTATTGGAATTGTTGAAGGAGACATTTATAGAGAAGTAAGAATATGACAAGTTGTATGACTGTTAGTAACCAGTTCATTCTTCAGAACATGTTCTGGTTATTAACTCATACAACAAGGTAGTGAACATTCTTTGACTTTTATCAACATCAACATAATAATTTTAAATTTATTTTAAGATCTGGGTCTAGTCCCCACCGTTGCAATTCTGGGAAGAGGATTAGGTTACCTGCACCTCATGTTGTCACAAGTCAAATACAGTGAGGATTTGTTAGTCACTCTTTGTGACCTGGCTGATACTGTGTCATCAGACCCTGACAGAGGCACGTGTTGCTCATGCTATCAACCCTTGGTTTGTCTGACCCAGACTTGATTGTTTACAGGATGCTCTGATATAGGGGCTTGTTGTTCATGCTATCATCCCTTGGTTTGTCTGACCCAGATTTAATTATTTACAGGTTGCTGTGATATAGCCAGTATATTGTTGAACAGTAGCTGTGATCATATCAGTTTATTAATAACTTGAATCTACACGTGATACACATGATATGACCTATCAATACAGACCTACGTAGCTTGATGCTGTTTAAATGTGTCGGACAGAAAGACACACATTTTCCTTCCCTTTCAAAGTGCTGTGCACCTCAAACAGGGAAAGTAAATAACCGAACATTTCACCTTAATTTGGGTAAAGAACACAAAAATTGGTAGGCAGAATATAAATTTGAAATTTTGAATTTGTTTGAAATGTTAATTTGAAAAATCAAAAGAAACCCACAAAGTTCCACAAAGTGATCTTAGTGCTAACACTTCGCAGTGACCATTGTCTTAGCACTAAGATCATTGTGTTGAATTAGGCTGTGTATATAATTCTTCAAAGAATAAGAAAGGAGTCCCTGATAGGCATTTTGAAGTTGGAAGAACATGCAATCTCATTAAAATCAGATCTTAGTTCTCGCTACCGCTGAACAAAGATCTGAGGACATCCCATGAGGGGTCACATTAGAATGACCTTTCATCCGACCAGTCGGGGGCACGGGTGGCCCAGCCGTCTAAGGCGCCGCGATTCGCTGTGCAGAGTTGCGTCCCTTGGGCACGCCAGAAACCTATGATTGTGGGTTCGAATCCCGGTTCGCCCCGATTATGTTTCTAAGTTTGTCAGCACCATACCCGTGCTCGTGGGTTTCACCGAAGTGGAAAATGTCTGAGACCTGCATCACTTCGGGCTTTCCTCCCACAATAAGCTGACACGCTGCGATATAACTGGAATACTGTTAAAAGCGGCGTTAAACCCAACTCACTCGAAAACCTCGAAAACTTTAACACTGAGTATTCCGAACGATTGTTACGGGTTTAACAACTGAATCCTTACAATCTAGACCATATATTTGCCATTCCAGAATGTTCTTTTGTTCAGGTTTCAAAATTTTAATCGAGAATTTGTCAAAATATGTTTTGAAGTGTAGTCGCCAATTTGAAATAAGTGCCGTAAAGCACGAGAAAGCTGCCTTCTGATTGGATAATGTTGACTTCTTGTCAGTCCTTCCATTGGTCGGTCAAAATTCGTGCAAGGTCGGTCTGACGTGCCCCGTAATGGGATGTCCTCAGATCTTTGTTTAGCGGCAGCGAGAACTAAGATCTGATTTGGAAGAACATGAAGACGTGAAACTTTTATTGATAACTTCTAAATTGTTGATAAAGACATTTCATGACTTTTATGGATAACTTTTAAATTGTTTGTTAAGACATTTCAGAGCTACTTCTTTTCCCTTCATTAGGTGAATACTGAGTAAGTGTATTGAGTTGGGAAAGGAGTTTGGTGCTCTCATAAAGTGACAATATGATCAATGAGAATATGATCACAGTTACTTTTGTGTTTCAGTAGTATTCAAAGAACTTGTGTTGATTTGAATGACCTGCTAGAGTTGGACCTGTTTAAGTATGGCGTCTGCAGCATGAACATGTCTTGTTGCAGGATCACCAGAACAACCCTCTGAGCAGTTTGATGCAGAGCATTGTGGGGATCCTGAACTGTCTCCTGTCACACAAGGACACCGACGTGAAGGAGCTGTATGACCAGGGTAGGTGGGAAGATCTGTGGGTTTAGAGAGCTGTATGACCAGGGTAGGTGGGAAGGTCAATGGGTTTAGAGAGCTGTATGACCAGGGTAGGTGGGAAGGTCAATGGGTTTAGAGAGCTGTATGACCAGGGTAGGTGGGAAGGTCAATGGGTTTAGAGAGCTGTATGACCAGGGTAGGTGGGAAGATCAATGGGTTTAGAGAGCTGTATGACCAAGGTAGGTGGGGGGAACAGTCTGTGAGTGGGAGAGCTGTATGACCAGGGTAGGTGGGAAGATCGATGGGTTTAGAGAGCTGTATGACCAGGGTAGGTGGGGGAACAGTCTGTAAGGGGGAGAGCTGTATGACCAGGGTAGGTGGGAAGATCAATGGGTTTAGAGAGCTGTATGACCAGGGTAGGTGGGAAGCAATGGGTTTAGAGAGCTGTATGACCAGGGTAGGTGGGGGAACAGTCTGTAAGGGGGAGAGCTGTATGACCAGGGTAGGTGGGAAGATCAATGGGTTTAGAGAGCTGTATGACCAGGGTAGGTGGGAAGCAATGGGTTTAGAGAGCTGTATGACCAGGGTAGGTGGGGGGAACAGTCTGTGAGTGAGAGAGCTGTATGACCAGGGTAGATGGGGGGAACAGTGGGTTAGAGAGCTGTACGACCAGGGTAGGTGGGGGAACATAGGGTTAGAAGGCTGTATGACCAGGGTAGGTGGGGGGAACAGTGGGTGAGAGCTGTATGACCAGGGTAGGGGGGGGAACAGTCCATGAGTGGAAGAGTTGTATGACCAGGGTAGGTGGGGGAACAGTCTGTGAGTGGGAGAGCTGTATGACCAGGTTAGGTTGGGGAACAGTCTGTGAGTGGGAGAGTTGTATGACCAGGGTACGTTGGGGAACAGTCTGTGAGTGGGAGAGCTGTATGACCAGGGTAGGTGGGGGAACATAGGGTTAGAAGGCTGTATGACCAGGGTAGGTGGGGGGAACAGTGGGTTAGAGAGCTGTATGACCAGGGTAGGGGGGGGGAACAGTCTGTGAGGGGGACAGCTGTATGACCAGGGTAGATGGGGGGAACAGTGGGTTAGAGAGCTGTACGACCAGGGTAGGTGGGGGAACATAGGGTTAGAAGGCTGTATGACCAGGGTAGGTGGGGGGAACAGTGGGTTAGAGAGCTGTATGACCAGGGTAGGGGGGGTGGGGGGGGGGGGGGGACAGTCCATGAGTGGAAGAGTTGTATGACCAGGGTAGGTGGGGGAACAGTCTGTGAGTGGGAGAGCTGTATGACCAGGTTAGGTTGGGGAACAGTCTGTGAGTGGGAGAGCTGTATGACCAGGGTAGGTGGGGGAACAGTCTGTGAGTGGGAGAGCTGTATGACCAGGGTAGGTGGGGGAACAGTCTGTGAGTGGGAGAGCTGTATGACCTGGGTAGGTGGGGGAACAGTCTGTGAGTGGGAGAGCTGTATGACCAGGGTAGGTGGGGGGAACAGTCTGTGACTGGGAGAGCTGTATGACCAGGGTAGGTGGGGGAACAGTCTGTGAGTGGGAGAGCTATATGACCAGGGTAGGTTGGGGAACAGTCTGTGAGTGGGAGAGCTATATGACCAGGGTAGGTGGGGGAACAGTCTGTGAGTGGGAGAGCTATATGACCAGGGTAGGTGGGGGGAACAGTCTGTGAGTGGGAGAGCTATATGACCAGGGTAGGTTGGGGAACAGTCTGTGAGTGGGAGAGCTATATGACCAGGGTAGGTTGGGGAACAGTCTGTGAGTGGGAGAGCTATATGACCAGGGTAGGTGGGGGAACAGTCTGTGAGTGGGAGAGCTATATGACCAGGGTAGGGGGGGGAACAGTCCATGAGTGGAAGAGTTGTATGACCAGGGTAGGTGGGGGAACAGTCTGTGAGTGGGAGAGCTGTATGACCAGGTTAGGTTGGGGAACAGTCTGTGAGTGGGAGAGTTGTATGACCAGGGTACGTTGGGGAACAGTCTGTGAGTGGGAGAGCTGTATGACCAGGGTAGGTGGGGGAACATAGGGTTAGAAGGCTGTATGACCAGGGTAGGTGGGGGGAACAGTGGGTTAGAGAGCTGTATGACCAGGGTAGGGGGGGGGAACAGTCTGTGAGGGGGACAGCTGTATGACCAGGGTAGATGGGGGGAACAGTGGGTTAGAGAGCTGTACGACCAGGGTAGGTGGGGGAACATAGGGTTAGAAGGCTGTATGACCAGGGTAGGTGGGGGGAACAGTGGGTTAGAGAGCTGTATGACCAGGGTAGGGGGGGTGGGGGGGGGGACAGTCCATGAGTGGAAGAGTTGTATGACCAGGGTAGGTGGGGGAACAGTCTGTGAGTGGGAGAGCTGTATGACCAGGTTAGGTTGGGGAACAGTCTGTGAGTGGGAGAGCTGTATGACCAGGGTAGGTGGGGGAACAGTCTGTGAGTGGGAGAGCTGTATGACCAGGGTAGGTGGGGGAACAGTCTGTGAGTGGGAGAGCTGTATGACCTGGGTAGGTGGGGGAACAGTCTGTGAGTGGGAGAGCTGTATGACCAGGGTAGGTGGGGGGAACAGTCTGTGAGTGGGAGAGCTGTATGACCAGGGTAGGTGGGGGAACAGTCTGTGAGTGGGAGAGCTATATGACCAGGGTAGGTTGGGGAACAGTCTGTGAGTGGGAGAGCTATATGACCAGGGTAGGTGGGGGAACAGTCTGTGAGTGGGAGAGCTATATGACCAGGGTAGGTGGGGGGAACAGTCTGTGAGTGGGAGAGCTATATGACCAGGGTAGGTGGGGGAACAGTCTGTGAGTGGGAGAGCTATATGACCAGGGTAGGTTGGGGAACAGTCTGTGAGTGGGAGAGCTATATGACCAGGGTAGGTGGGGGAACAGTCTGTGAGTGGGAGAGCTATATGACCAGGGTAGGTGGGGGGAACAGTCTGTGAGTGGGAGAGCTGTATGACCAGGGTAGGTGGGGGAACAGTCTGTGAGTGGGAGAGCTGTATGACCAGGGTACGTTGGGGAACAGTCTGTGAATGGGAGAGCTGTATGACCAGGGTAGGTGGGGGGAACAGCCCGTGAGTGGGAGAGCTGTATGAGAGTTATATATCGTGATGGTGAGGAATCCTGTGGTTAAGGGTATCCCTTATCAAGCCAAAGGCTTTATTTCCATTTTCCATGTGGGTCCATACTGTGAAGCTCCTGATGTTGCTAGGTTTGGTGGACTACCTGTCAACGCTCTTCTTCGATGTGTGGACTGTGTGTGTGGAGGGTTCGGATGGCGGTCGTGACATCAAGATGGCCAATGCTACATTGCAGATGTTGCTCGATACACTGCACACCCTCTTCAAATATGTGTCGGAGGTTGTCCGGAGAGCACTACAGGTATGTATTTCTTCCTACTGAAAAAACCCTTGTGCTGGTGACACAGGATATTCCTATCAGTCAGAGCATGGCTGTATGGAAGAAAAGGCTCTATGAGAGGGAGAGAGCACGACCCGGTAATTAGATGCAGTCTTCAATGCATTCTAATGTGATGACCACCTGTGTTTAAACCTATCATGACACTCACAATCCATTTTAGTTATTTATGTTTTGTTAAAACTATGTGGACATTTCATCAGGAATCATGAGTAGAGCAAGATTGATGTCTTTACCCTCCTGTATCTGTTTCCTAGGGCTAGTTATACTGCTCGACATACACTACTGAGAGTGATGTTGTTTAGTGGATCTGGTTGGTTACCCCTGCTTGTCATTGGGTCGTCTTGTGCAAACCGGTGAATGTCCTGTCCGTGGCATGTATGTACAGATGAACTCAGCCTGTCTGGGAGCCACTCAGTCTTGTTGCAGTGGCCTGGCTGTTGCCACTTGCTGCTGCAATTGCTGGACTGTACACAGTAGAGTTGACATTACCCCATAGCTGGCATTATCCACTGGTTTCACCACAGTTGTGGCTGGTGGAGAACTCAAAAGGTGTTCTGTCTCTACTAGTAGCTGACACATTTTGTGTAAAGAACCTTATATTGTTTTCTTGTCAAACCTTGAGGCGTTTCATGAATGTCTTCAATTAACCTGTCTGTCAACCAGTTTCTGGGAGAACAGTATGGTCGAGTATCACTCTTATTACCAGCGTAACAGATCCAAGTGTTGTTTGCATCTTGAACTTCAGCAATGGCTTGTGTGGCCTTGAGCCTTTCTTCCTCAATGATGGCATCGGGTGACACGGGCTGTGTAATAGTGCTGGAACCTCGCACTCCCTTTCTTCTGATAGGAGGCATGATCAATTTGTAAACAAATTCATACCTGTGGATGGCAACTGCTGATGGTGATGTGTTGGAGATTAAACAATATATTCTCAGCTCAACAAAACATACCAACATAGCAGATAACAACATTGCAGCTGGACATGAGCGGAAAAACCAAATATAGACAGCTTCTCAAACAAATAGTTTGCGAATAACAAAATGGTGATTACCTGGCATTGACGAAGATACGTGTGCACACATTATTGAAACATTATGACAGCAGATAAGATATACAAAACGTGATCAGTTTTCCTAACATAAACAAAGTGAGAAACTAATAACTCTGTAATATGGCTTTACAAGACATTTTGAAGGTGTTTGCCATGATTGTTTCTAAGCCCATTATCAAATTGATACTGATTTGAAATCATCCGATATACCATCCCATAAATAAAGTCGTGATTTTGAAAGAAAGAACCACAACTAACTGGCAAACCAGTAATACTGTGCACCCATAGCCTCTGATGGCATTGTATCTCATGGAAGTCACTGATGTTTCCGGTATTTGGTGAAGGAGAGTGTCAGTCTCTGTAATGGGGTCATGTGGCCCAGTCTGATGCCATGATGTGTCAGTAGAAATCCAAGGTGAAGTACTGCCAACATGGTGGGAATGACGTAGTCCACCTGGACTGACACTGATTGGACAGACTGGGTCATGTGACATGTTCAGGGACATGGACACTTTCATTGGCCAGGATGTGTCATGTGATTTTACTGAAGGAGATACAGGAAAAGGTTGGTAAATTGGTAAAAAAAAATCAATTGCCAATACATCCTATTTAGAATACAATATATTGGACTTCAGGGCTGAAAGATCTCATAGATCCTGAACTATCTGGCATGCCTGTCCTGTCTGAGAGAGTGAGCAGACTCACATTGAACTCATGAGTCGGGGAAGGGCATCACCTTGGTCCTGGTATTCTGTAGTGCCCATACTGGTCCCAGTTCCTCCTGTAGGCCACCATACACTCTGTACATATGTACATGGACAGGCTAAACTATCTGGCATGCCTGTCCTGTCTGAGAGAGTGAGCAGACTCACATTGAACTCATGAGTCATGGAAGGGCATCACCCTGGTCCTGGTTTTCTGTAGTGCCCATATAGGTCCTAGTTCCTCCTGTAGGCCACCATTCACTCCGTACATATGTATATGGACAGACTGGACTGTTCTTCTAGACTTTTCAGTGGTTCCCATAATGCTTATGTTTCTGTTTGGCTGTCGACCCCGACTAGCAGTTGCCTTCTCTTTGCACTTGCCTCTGTAACCGGACCGCTGGTAGTAATAATATTTTCTTTCTGATTGGCTTGTCACTGTCTTCCTTTTGGAGCGACTGTAGCATCTCCCCAAGTTTCTCGCCCACACTCTGCTTTCTCTCCCTTTCTTTTGCCATAATGAAAACAGCCAGTATAGCTTATAAGTAAGCAAAATGAGTAAAGATTGGCCACCATAGCTTGCTGCAGGTAACATGAGCAATGAAAAATGCAAAAGATGAATTCGTACAAAGGTTGACATCGCTCAAAGTAAAAGACAATTTAAAAAATAAAAATAACATGTACTCATGAAATTTGCTGAAAAGAGATTCTTTTTTTCCCTGTTCACTTTCTATAAATATGAAAGCATTGTTTATATCGCAATCACCTGCCCTCCAGAACATGCCTCAGGTGTTTCTGTCTGACACAGATTCCTTGTGGCTTGCATGCTTCTGGTCATAATAAGATCTTGATGGAACTTCACTCGTACTAACCTGCTTTGTGGACCCCAAAAGGACAAAATAAGTTACCATACCAGGAAGGTTCCTCTGAGTTCCCTGATACCTGGTAATCAGACACTTCCCTGGTGCCAAGTCTGCTGATGTGTGGTTGTCATGGTGATTGTACTCGTCTGACTGATCAACATGAGGGAAAAATAATAGATTACCAGTGTTGTACAATATGCAAAAAAATGAGTTAGTATTATATTTAAAATGTGAAGAAATGTTCCTATTAGTTAGCTCAATTGATCACAGACTGGTTGAGTCCTTTAAATTGGGAGGTGTCGGCATTCAGTCCTGCAACGTCAGGATGATTGTCAGCTCAACTGTTCACAGACCGGTTGAGTCCTTTAGATTGGGAGGTGTCCTCATTCAATCTGCAAGGTGGAGTTGATGAAAAGGTCAATGAAGGAAAGTAACAAGTAAGCTGTCCTTATTGGCTGGTGTTGCCTCTTACTTCTTTATGGAAATCTTTCTTTGTTCTGCTCAGAGCGTGCCTCTCATTCCCTGTCACACGCTAACTCTGGACTGTTACAAGAAAAGTTAGGGATCTTGTTGTTTGTTGGTGATATGTACTATTTATATAATATGGTAAATACACAAAATGAATCAATCACTTACTTTCATTATCATCATCCAGAAAACGCACGGAGCCAGATGGGGAAACTAAACCCCAGTGTTGGGTAAAAGCAACAAGCCATTCTTTACATATTTAGTAATGATTTGGGACAAAGCTTCACGTCACCGAAACCACATGACACAGTAGCAAGACAATATTAAAGAAAAATAAATCTTTTAACTAGTGATGCACCGCAATCGGGCATGAACATTAAACAAATTAAAACTCCTGATATTATAGGGGTGGTCGGGTAGCCTAGTGGTAAAAGCATTAGCTCGTCACGCCGAAGACCCGGGTTCGATTCCCGACATGGGTACAATGTGAAGCTCATTTCTGGTGTCCCCCGCCATGATATTGCTGGAATATTGCTAAAAGCTGCGTAAAACCATACTTACTCACTCACCCCTTATATAACACTACACAAGTGCCCCCTGTAACCAAGTTCTATTTCTGTATCCTAGTGTTACATGCTCATTCCGAATTGAAACATGAAGGTTAATCCAGAAATCGGCACATACAGAACTAGATTGTTAAATTAGTAAATAACCACACAGGATAAAGGAACAAATTATCTTGACATACACAGGATAAGGTTTACAATCATACAAGGCAATGCAATAGGTCAAAATATGTGGCAACAGCAATATACGATAACAGGCCCTATTACCATCTTCCCGAGGCAAGAGAGTAACTGACTATAAAATCCAGTTTCCACCCTTGCCGAACTAGGCTGGGATTATGGAGTTACATTATGGCTGGACTAACGAGTCTATGCATAGTCCAATCAAAATCGCGCACCGAAATCGAAATCCGGTTCATAATCTGTCATGCAGAGTTTGGTCGATTGCAGGATTTGCAAAGCAGGTGCATCGCCAACTTGTTGTCAACGATATTTTCCAAATCTTTTCATGTTTTTAATCCAGGTGCTCAAGTGATTTGATGTACTTCGCGAAGTAAGAACCGTTTTATCACAAAATAGATGTTGATTATCGATCAGATCGTCTTGACTGGGCGCCACCATTTTGTTTGAAACAAATGCATGTGATACGAGAGGTGGAATCTGATTGGTACAAATGGGAGAGGCATAGAATGGACATAACTCGTAATAGCCACTGGTGGTGCTACGATCGAGCCCAGGAATTCTAGGCTAGTTCGGCAAGGGTGGAAACTGGACTTGTAAAGTCAGTAAACGCTCTTGCCTCGGGAAGATGCCCTATAACAGAAGTCAGTGCACTCACAAATGTCCAGTAGTTGTCACACTTGAATATCTTAGATGAGGCACATGCTCTGTTTTTGAATCCAGGAATTAGTGTGGGAAACAGGCAGAAAAGTGGGATGTTAGTATCTAATCCACACTGGGCAAGTAAATTGATGCAAGTTAGGTTGCCTCAAATCTCCCTCGTCTCGCTCTTATATAGTTACAGCCACCCTTCCAGAAATACTGCCTCGAATTGTCTGGAATAATGTTGTCCTTCACCAACTGTAAACAAGTAGTAGACAGTAGACAAGCTCCTCAGCAAAGCTCTCTATACTGGTAGGTTATCAAAGGTGTCAAACACTGGGACAGAGTTTGGACAATATGAAGGGAGGTCACTCTATAACAAGGTCACTACCAAGGTCAACATTATATGAGCACCTCAATCAAATTGACACTTACTATCACCAGAGTTACGATATACACTGCCACAGAACACTAGGAGAAAGTAATTTCCTTATTATTCGTCCTTCAAACAATAAAACTAACATTTCTTCTTCAACATTAACCACAATAAACAAACAATATTGGAATCCTCTTCAGTGCACCACACCGAGACTCAAAGAACATGCAGTCTAGAGGCCAAGTCGACACTTTCAGACGCTTGTCAACAATCGTTATATAGCCATTCTCATCATTTTCCCTTTTCCACTGACTGTGCCTGCTGATGGGAGACCATCTCTCTTAATATAGTTTTAGTATAGTCTACTGTTTTTTTAATTTAAAAAACTCTTGCACAAACGAACCTCAAGTTGATGTTCAACTGCTTGTGTTAAACCCTCAGTCCTCACAAGTCATGGAGCTCTTTCTGTGAATTTTGAACTTTTTTTCTGAAGACAAAATATGTGGGTTTGATCTATAATGACAAAGTATGAAAGTTCATGACAGCTAATATGAAAATCCATCTCTGCCTTCTGAAAGGGTAGATGGGCATATGATAAAAGATAGGTGCTACTGCTGAAATGTTCCCTGGGTACAAGTTGTTTTTTAACGAGAACTCCAAAATCATGGTATGCTTAGATATGATCTGGGTACAAATGATATGGCATGAAACTCAGGCTATAACTTGACATATTGTTTTGTACCCAGGGTACATTTCAATGGTAAACCGATCAAGAGTGACTATTATATATCAGCAACACTACAGTATGCTGATTGGCTTGAATTCTCTATATTGTCCCAATGTGAAGGGTATGATGAACATACACTTCACATTGCTGGGGATGAAGACAAACATTGCAATGTTGTAAATGTTTGTTTTTGTCTTCAGGCCAAGAAGAGTGGAGTAGAAGGTTCCGCCATGGATGCTGAGGCTGCGGAACATCTGCTGCTGAGGAATAAACCACTGACAGAACTGACGAGTCTCCTCACTCAGCTGGTGAGTAGCTGTGTGTTAATGATGCTGTGATTGCTTCAGTAGTGTGTTAATGATGCTGTGATTGTTTCAGTAGTGTGTTTATAATGCTGTGATTGTTTCAGCTGCGTTATGATGTTGTGATTGTTTCAACTGTGTGCTAATGATGCTGTGATTGTTTCAGTAGTGTGTTTATAATGCTGTGATTGTTTCAGCTGTGTGTTATAATGCTGTGATTGTTTCAGCTGTGTGTTAATGATGTTGTGATTGTTTCAGCTGTGTGTTATGATGCTGTGATTGTTTCAGCTGTGTGTTAATGATGCTGTGATTGCTTCAGCTGTGTGTTAATGATGCTGTGATTGTTTCAGCTGTGTGTTATGATGCTGTGATTGTTTCAGTAGTGTGTAAATGATGCTGTGATTGCTTCAGCTGTGTGTTATGATGCTGTGATTGTTTCAGCTGTGTGTTATGATGCTGTGATTGTTTCAGCTGTGTGTTATGATGCTGTGATTGTTTCAGTAGTGTGTTTATAATGCTGTGATTGTTTCAGCTGCGTTATGATGTTGTGATTGTTTCAACTGTGTGCTAATGATGCTGTGATTGTTTCAGGAGTGTGTTTATAATGCTGTGATTGTTTCAGCTGTGTGTTATAATGCTGTGATTGTTTCAGCTGTGTGTTAATGATGTTGTGATTGTTTCAGCTGTGTGTTATGATGCTGTGATTGCTTCAGCTGTGTGTTATGATGCTGTGATTGCTTCAGCTGTGTGTTAATGATGCTGTGATTGTTTCAGCTCTGTGTTATGATGCTGTGATTGTTTCAGCTGTGTGTTAATGATGCTGTGATTGCTTCAGCTGTGTGTTAATGATGCTGTGATTGTTTCAGCTGTGTGTTATCATGCTGTGATTGTTTCAGTAGTGTGTAAATGGTCCTGTGATTGCTTCAGCTATGTGTTATGATGCTGTGATTGTTTCAGCTGTGTGTTATGATTGTTTCAGCTGTGTGTTATGATGCTGTGATTGTTTCAGTAGTGTGTTTATAATGCTGTGATTGTTTCAGCTGTGTGTTATGATGCTGTGATTGTTTCAGTAGTGTGTTTATAATGCTGTGATTGTTTCAGCTGCGTTATGATGTTGTGATTGTTTCAACTGTGTGCTAATGATGCTGTGATTGTTTCAGTAGTGTGTTTATAATGCTGTGATTGTTTCAGCTGTGTGTTATAATGCTGTGATTGTTTCAGCTGTGTGTTAATGATGTTGTGATTGTTTCAGCTGTGTGTTATGATGCTGTGATTGCTTCAGCTGTGTGTTAATGATGCTGTGATTGTTTCAGCTGTGTGTTATGATGCTGTCATTGTTTCAGCTGTTAGAATGCTGTCATTGTTTTAGCTGTGTGCTATGAGGTTGTGATTGTTTCAGCTGTGTGTTATGATGCTGTGATTGTTTCAACTGTGTTATGATGCTGTCATTATTTCAGCTGTTAGAATGCTGTCATTGTTTCAGGTGTGTGTAATGATGTTGTCATTGTTTCAGCTGTGTTGTGATGCTGTGATTGTTTCAGTTGTGTTGTGATGTTGTCATTGTTTAAGCTGTATTACAATGCTGTGATTGTTGCACCTGTTGTAACAATGCTGTGATTGTTTCAGCTCTGTTACAATGCTGTGATTGTTTTAGCTGTTACAATGCTGTGCTTGTTTCAGCTGTGTTACAATGCTGTGATTGTTTCAGCAGTGTTACAATGCTGTGATTGTTTCAGCTGTGTGTTACAATGTTGTGATTGTTTCACCTGTTGTAAAAATGCTGTGATTGTTTCAGCAGTGTTACAATGTTGTCATTGTTTCAGCTCTGTTACAATGCTGTGATTGTTTTAGCTGTTACAATGCTGTGCTTGTCTCAGCTGTGCTACAATGCCGTGATTGTTTCAGCAGTGTTACAATGCTGTGATTGTTTCAGCTGTGTTACACTGCTGTAATTGTTTCAGCCATGTGTTACAATGCTGTGATTGTTTCAGCAGTGTTACAATGATGTGATTGTTTCAGCTGTGTGTTACAATGCTGTGATTGTTTCAGCTGTTACAATGCTGTAATTGTTTCAGCCGTGTGTTACAATGCTGTCATTGTTTCAGTTGTGTTACAATGTTGTCATTGTTTTAGCTGTTACAATGCTGTGCTTGTTTCAGCTGTGTTACAATGCTGTGATTGTTTCAGCTGTGTGTTAATGATGTTGTGATTGTTTCAGCTGTGTGTTACAATGTTGTGATTGTTTCACCTGTTGTAACAATGCTGTGATTGTTTCAGCAGTGTTACAATGTTGTCATTGTTTCAGCTCTGTTACAATGCTGTGATTGTTTTAGCTGTTACAATGCTGTGCTTGTTTCAGCTGTGTTACAATGCTGTGATTGTTTCAGCAGTGTTACAATGCTGTGATTGTTTCAGCTGTGTCACACTGCTGTAATTGTTTCAGCCGTGTGTTACAATGCTGTGATTGTTTCAGCAGTGTTACAATGATGTGATTGTTTCAGCTGTGTGTTACAATGCTGTAATTGTTTCAGCCGTGTGTTACAATGCTGTCATTGTTTCAGTTGTGTTAAGATGCTGTCATTGTTTCAGTTGTGTTACGAGGACATGGACATCAAGGACCTGTCCATCAAGTGCCTGTCTCTCATCATACAACTGTTTGGCGGAGACTACCGTGATGCCCTGTCACCAGAAAACATGGTGAGATACTCTCACAAAAAGATTAAATGGAGAACACATCTTTAGCTGTGCTTAGACAAGATTCACACTTTCACTCAGTCCCATTCCTCCCTCCAGTTAATGCCAATATTTGAAGACATCATCTGTCCTCATATTAGACAATGAGGAAGTTCAGTGTCATGAAAATATACATTCACTGATTCAATTTATCTGGAAAATCATCTAATATCTTAACCATTTGTGTCCAAGCTCACATTATCTCAGAAAATACAGTGACATCACAGTCCCTAAGTATAGCTCTCACTTTCTCTGTAAGGATACAAGTCTGCTGTAGGCTGATAGCTTAGATAATACTTGGTACAAAACTCAATTCCCATGCTCAAAGCATTGACATGAACACTAGGGAATCAAAAAGAATGCAGACACCTAACACACACATCTTGTGTTCCAGGAGTGTTACAGTCAGGCACTGAAGAAAGCAGATGCCAAGAAACAGAAGGTCCTGCTTCGTATCATCAAAAGACTGGTAGGCCATTACTGGAAAACAGTCTCTCATCTGGGCAGAATAGGTCCCCAGAACCCCATCTTGTTAAAGCTGAATAAGACAATCAGATTGTTACAATGTGTGATGAGGCTTATGTATGTCATGAACATTGACGGTGTGGATTGTTACAATGTGTGATGAGGCTGATGTGTGTCATGAACACTGACAGTGTGGATTGTTACAATGTGTGATGAGGCTGATGTGTGTCATGAACACTGACAGTGTGGATTGTTACAATGTGTGATGAGGCTTATGTATGTCATGAACATTGACGGTGTGGATTGTTACAATGTGTGATGAGGCTGATGTGTGTCATGAACACTGACGATGTGGATTGTTACAATGTGTGATGAGGCTGATGTGTGTCATGAACACTGGCGGTGTGGATTGTTACAATGTGTGATGAGGCTGATGTGTGTCATGAACACTGACGATGTGGATTGTTACAATGTGTGATGAGGCTGATGTGTGTCATGAACACTGGCGGTGTGGATTGTTACAATGTGTGATGAGGCTGATGTGTGTCATGAACACTGACAATGTGGATTGTTGCTCATGCTGTCAACCAGTGGTCTGCCTGGTGTAAACTTGATAAAGTAGTTGGACCATTGCTAACTGTGGTGTAAAATAACAATCGCTCACTTGTTTTCTATCCGAGATTTGTTCCATTTCTGCCTCTAAGATCCACACAAACGATTGTAGTATTCCGGCAATGCAAATCTCAATGATTGTTTTAATGTATTAAGGTATTGATTGCTTGACATGTGGTCCATATTGGTGTAAATGTTTGTTGCAGGTTATGACTGAGAAGCAACACGCCGAGTCTGTGCGGGACCATGGAGAGATTCTGGTGGAGACGATCCGCTCCCTGGCTCACACAGCAAGGTCAGTCTGCCTGGGGCATGTAGACAAATAGTGAGTGAGTCTGGTTTTACGCCGCTTTTAGCAATATTCCAGCAATATCACGGCGGGGGATACCAGAAATGGGCTTCACACATTTTTCCCATGTCATGAATTGAACCCGGGTCTTTGGTGTGACGAGGGAACGCTTTAACCACTAGGCTACCCGACCACCCCCAAAAATAGTGAATAACTGGCACTGAATAATGGGGAGGTGCACTCACTGTCCTGCACACAAACTAGTTGATTTTCCAAATTGGTAATTCTTTTGAAACCCATTATCTCTCTTAGTACAGATTTCATCATAACATTTAGGAGATCAGTAGCAAGGTCTACTAGTGATTTTATAGAGATAATTGGCATCATTTTCCAGATTTTATTGTCGTTTGAAAGGTCATTTTTCTATTGTCAGTACCAAATTTTACAAACGGTTTGAAGACATTTTGGATGTCAATCATTCAGTTTCCTAAAAAATAAAGTGATCTGAAACCCTGTGTGCTCCCTTATAACAGCCTTGGTAAACTGCCTGTCAAGAATGATTTGATTTTGAAGTTTTCATATATTGTTGGAGAATATTACTGATTCAACTGTGTTCAAACTTGCATGAAAGTCAAGAGGGATTTTGCCATGACCCCAAGGTTAAAAGTTAAACATTTAGAAGGTTGTTAAGTTCCAGGATCCACTTGCACAAAGCCATCTTTACGTTCTGACTATCGTAAGTCTATCTTAAAAGTATGGAACTTACACAATCACTTTGTGCTGGTGGACCCAGTACTATAGCAGCAATCTTAGGACCCCAGGAACCCTCTGAATTTCAAACACTGCTCAGTATCATTCATCTCTGTTTCCCAGTTCCCACGCTGACATGGCGCTGTCCACAGTTGCAGCGGAGATCCTGAAAGCCACTGGTCATCTCACATGAAGATAGTCACATCCACGATTGAATTAAAACCCTGCTATGCACACTGCTGAGATCCTTGACACCTCATGTTGTAACTACCAAGTCATCACAGTTGTCGCTTCTGTTTGGGAACTGTGTGATGGATTCGGGAGCATCATCAGGGAGCTTGACACAAGATTCTAGATGGAGGCAGGAGTATACAGTATATGCATATGTATCTGTCGTGATTTATTTAGAGACTACTGGCAAACACAGACACGTTTACATGCTATGGCTGAGTGAGTAAATGTGACTGTGAGACTAGATACACTTCCGTGCATGTGACAGTCACTTTTGCACAAGTATCACTCCCGTGCAGCATGATTCAGTTTGCTATCATTTTAGAAGCACTGCCATTTGTTGAGAGCGTCATTCACCTATTTTTCAGTCAGGGTAACATTGTTTCCCGAAGCCTTCTCTGATGTTCTTGAAGCTCCTGTACCTTCGTCATGATCACAGTTTGCTTCCTGTGTTACCAGTATTTTGTGGGAGCAGTGTGCAGCGTGGTAAATGCCACATGTAGATTGCATGGACTGTCTGAAGATATATTTGTGACCAATGAGAGTGCAAAGAACATATGATGTTTGAGTTTGATTTCAAGTCATGAAGCAAGCTTTATCTGTGAACCACTAAACTAAATAGTAATTGTTACATCAACACCTGAAACAGCAGGTGTGGGATCCATAGATGAAATGTTACTGATGTAAAGATGCACTGTGTTTAACATCCTCCACCTACATCAGTTTAGTCCTGTTTGGTGCCAAGGAGGGTTTGCGTCCCTTGCCTGAAGCTTCTTACAGAATTTCTGCTTGGAGCAGGCTAAGCATGCAGGGGTGATATATTTGCAATAATGTGAACGTCCTCCTGTTTAAATAATCCTAGATCCACCTCCGACGTGTATACCACTATGGCTGTAGTGTTATCTTGATGTCATATAGCAGATGTATAAGCATGCATGCAGATTGTTGGAGGGTTCAGTGTGGCATTAGTATCACATAGTCGAGCGACACAAAATTGAAGTGTATTGTAATCTTATGTCTGAAATCGATCAAAGTATTTATTTTGCTCATTCTGATGTAATCCTATATATCAAATGCTTTTTGTGATCAAAGTATTCATTTAATCATCCCTGGCTAATAATGAACCATTGTGCTTTGAATATTCATCCGTCCTTGTTATTTATTTTGCATGTTGCTGTATGGAAGTTCAGTCACCGTCATGGCCCCTTGTCACAGTGCAATCAAAACATTATGTTAACAAACCCCTAGAAGCATTTCCTGCCAGGATGGGTGCCCAGTACCTTATGTTTGTCAGCTGACTAAAATGGGGATCAGGTGGCTCGGTGTTATTGTACCCTGATGGTGTTCATGCTTTCAGTCACTGGTTTGCCTGGTCCAGACCATCTTCCCGAGGCAAGGGAGTTAACTGACTTTAAAAGTCCAGTTTCCACCCTTGCCGAACTAGGCTGGAATTCCTGGGCTCGATCGTAGCGCCACCAGTGGCTATTAGGAGTTATGTCCTTCCTATGCCTCTCCTATTGACCAATCAGATTCAACCTCTCGTATCACTTGCATTTGCTTCAAACAAAACGGTGACGATCTGATTGATAATCAAGATCTATATTGTGATAAAACATGTCTTACATCGCGAAGTGCATCAAATCACGTGAGCACCTTGATTAAAAGCATGAAAAGATTTAGAAAATATCTGTTGACAACGAGTTAGCGGTGAACATGCTTTTCAAATCCTGCAGTTGACCGAAATCTGCATGACACTTTACGAACCGGATTTCGATTTCAGTGCGCGATTTTGATTGGACTATGCATAGACTCGTTAGTCCAGCCAAAATGTAACTCCATAATACCAGCCTAGTTCGGCAAGGGTGGAAACTGGACTTTTATAGTCAGTTAACTCACTCGGGAAGATGGGTCCAGACTTGATTATTGAACATTCCCTCCCTCACTACACCCAGTATACCCTGACAATGTTCATGCTTTCAGTCACTGGTTTGCCTGGTCCAGACTTGATTATTGAACATTCCCTCCCTCACTACACCCAGTATACCCTGACAATGTTCATGCTTTCAGTCACTGGTTTGCCTGGTCCAGACTTGATTATTGAACATTCCCTCCCTCACTACACCCAGTATACCCTGACGATGTTCATGCTGTCAGTCACTGGTTTGCCTGGTCCAGACTTGATTATTGAACATTCCCTCACTCACTACACCCAGTATGTTCCCAGCTGTGTGAGGAGGTATAACGCTTTGTTGCAACAATTGCAATGTACTGTATACCTGTGAAGGTCATGTATTTGTGGTGCAACAACAACTGTTGCATTAAGGACAGCACGTCATATATCCATAAATGTTGCCAAATGGAATATGGCAACCAATATTATTGGGTGAACAAATGCTCAACTCTACTGGGTCATCCATCCATAGGACATGGTGAACCTCCATGGGTTAGTTTCATGAACTAGGGGTGGTCGGGCAGCCCTGTGGTTAAAGCGTTAGCTCGTCATGCCGAAGACCCAGGTTCGATTTCCGACATGGGTACAATATGTGAAGTCCATTTCTGGTGTCCCCTGCCGTGATATCTCTATTGCTAAAAGCGGCGTAAAACCACTCCCTCCTTTCATGAACTGAGGCATATGTGTACAACTAGCAGCAATAATGTTGATGTTGTTGGGTTTTATGGGGCAGGGGCCAGTTTCACAAGGCCATCTTAGCATTACGACTGTCATAAGCCTAATGAAAGTATTGGAGTTACGATCATCCTAGAGCTAAGATCACTTTGTGAACATGTCCCTGGATATTAAGATCTTATTTCCGTACAGTTCGAGTCAAACAATGAGTTACTGGGGAAACTGTGTGTCTATCAAAGTTGTTTTGCTGTCAGTGTTGTTTGTTTCATTGAAGCTTTATTTGTCACTGTTTTCCTTTATGCATGAATCAGATCGTGATATATTTTTTTGTGTCTTTTATTATCAAACATTCCTTGTTTCAACAAAGTCTTAGCCCTTTTATATGAACTATTTTGTTTTATTTATGAACAATAAATACTTGAGATATTTGTGTTTGTCTTGTTGATGACTGATGTTAATGTGTTTCTGTCAGGTCAGTCATGGGTTATCGAGACCTGTAAAACTTGCCACACCCATACAGATAGTCCTGCACCATGACCGTGGAATATATTCATTTTATGAAAAAATAATAATCTAGAAATGCATACAAAAGCAAGTCTAGCCATCTCAAGCTAGCTCTATTCCACAGTCTCTGAAATCAGCATAGAGAATTTTTTATTTTTTATTTTTAGAGTCAAGAAGGATATTGTGTAATATAAGATTTCAGAGACTAAATGTTAGTCTACCATACAGAGGAATGCATAGGTTGTGCTTATATTCTTGGGATATTCTGGAACAAATTGTAAACACTGTTTGTATATCATGGTAGAGAGGAATGTGTAGGTGGCTGTCGACTCATTGTATGTTGAAAGAAGGAATTGTTTCTTGATGTAACTGGTACGGACTATATGAGACACAATCAGTCAACAGTCTTCAGAAAACATTTTATTCTATGACATACAATCAGTCAACAGTCTCCAGTACATTCCATTCCATACATATGGACAACCAAGGAACTGTATACATGTTCATCTATGCAGTATAAAAATGACACTTGCCTGTGGCGTGACCTGGGGCATCATGTAATGTCACTTGCAGATTTATTCTCTTCCCAATATTCATTAGAACATCTTAAAATGGATCATCTGTCAACTGTAAATCACACAAAGTGTACTTACAATAACAGGTTTGCTGACTTAGTTGATGCATGTCATCTATTCCAATTCCACAGATCGGTGTGCATGATGTTAATCACTGGATTGTCTGGTCCAGACTTGATTGTTTACAGACCCATGTATTATAGCTGCAACATTGCTGAGTGCAGCAATAAACAACCAACAAACAAACATGTATTACAGGGGTGGGTCAGGTTTGTTTTTATGCACTTATGTACCGAAAATAATTACCCCCATCATATTTTTGGATGATCCTTCCAATGTCCTTGATAAATTTTTCATGACCCTCCCTGAAAAGACAAAATACAAATGCCCTTAATATTTTATGATAAAATTTCCATTTTAACCATGACCCACCCATTTGTGGTGTATTTTTTATGACCCTCCCCAAGAGACTGTCATATTTTTTTATGACATTCCCCTGTTTGGCTCTCTTCCTCTGATAAATGATGTTTTACTATTAAATTGTTCCGTTACATCTGCATACGACTCCACTAAACCGTTTCAAACATCCCAAATCATTCACAACGGGCTGTCTGTATAAAGGAACACCGAAGGCCGTGACTCAAGCAGACAAGAGACGATGAATGGGGTCACGTGACACCTGTAGTAATAATACGCTCAGGACGGTCGTGATCGGTTGAGACTTGGAAAAAAATGTGAATTATTTGGATGTTAACCGTGAACCTGTGAATATCTGTGTTTGTGATGTTTCCGATCGTGTGTGTGCTGTTGTCTCTTATAGGTAAGTCGCTACGAGTTGATTAGATTTGTGTACAGGTATTCTACCTGAGCGTTCCTTTTACAGGTGGAATACCACGCTTCAGTGATGGCGTCCAACTGACATAGATTTCAAACAAGCCTGTGGTCGAAACGTACGGGTATACCTTCAGAGGAAATATATCCGCGTCACAGAGTAGATTGGATGCTAACAGGACGCTGACGTTCAGAAATACACACACGCCAATCAATATGTCGATTTCACCGTGAAATAGACATAACATGCCCGTCAAAACAATGACAGCCACGAGCCGGAAGTCAACACCTGCTTACACAAACACTGCCCTAGCCATTTAGTTGTTTCACAACGAATTAAATCGATGTTTGATTAGCTCAGTAAATCTTCTTTCTTGGGGTAGAGACTGTTTATTCGTATCTCTCGCCCACTTCCCCACGACGTTATATACATTTATAATACAGGCCATCGCATCGGGGTTATATAACCGGTTTCAGTTGTCTCCTGAATTTGTACGCAGTGGTGTTTCGCCAACATGGTGATATAGTGGTCATGGTAGCTGGTGTTGGAAATGTAGTCGTAGTTGGAGCAGTACCATGGCTGTATAGGCAAGGTTACAGAATTTACAACTGGGCAAAGTGCACTTGTTTGCTCCAGTCATTCATCCACTACCGACACATTCTGTACGTTTATGAAGTGTGTATACTGAGGGGCTAAAGAAAGTATACCAATTATTTTTTTGTGTGTTATTGAATTTTTTTTTTAAAAACTCTATATATGTGCTCGGTGTCTTGGTTGATTGTTGTTCACCAAACGGCGTGAAAGTTTGCTCATTATATCAACCCCTGGTTTGTCTGGTCCAGATTCGATTATTTACAAACCGCTGTGATATAGCTGGGATAGCTGACTGTGGCGTATAACAGCAACCATTTGCGTTACCTCTTTTTATATTTAGAGTTTTGAGTTGTTGATGTAAACCATAACATAAGATGTAAAGGGTAAAACCAAGTTACGTCTTGCTAAGATTCTACAAAATACCTATGAGGGGTTCTGTCTTCTGTCTGGAAGGGCACATTGCCCTGGTATGTTGTAACAGGTGGCGTGATATATCACATGTCACGCTTGTTCAAACACACCACAACATGGACTGCAATAAATATCAGCTCTAACACTGACTACAGCCAGTATTAAAGACAAATGTACACAGTGTCTGCTTAATGTATGCGTGTGAATCATGATGCATTGCTTTTCCTATCTTATCACGCCACCAAGCGGAATCAGCCACCCTGAGTGAGACTAGACTCGCGGTATAGTTGGCACTCCTCGTAGACTTGATCCGAGTCCTTCAATAACCACTTTCTTTGTCTGTTAGCTCAAAACTTAGGATACATTTGAATCCTGCGTTATTGATGACCTAATTACTCAGACAATGTCCAGTTTCACAGACAACACTCATTACAACGTGCAGATTGAGACAGAATAGTCTCCAAACATTGGTCAACCATTAACCCCGAAATACTCCGGCTATTTTCTGTGTTTACACGGGCGGATTGTTTGTTTCCGGGAATATCCAAGCCTCAGCTCCGACAAATAGAACGGCTCCACGCAGAAGTACACATGTATGCAACGAGGTGATAGAACAGCGTCTTACCACTAATGTTTGAAGATTCCGCAATGTGACACCACAGTGATGGATATATGTGGAATGAATGAGGTCATGGTCGCAATACATGCATGACATCACGTACCATGTATGTAATACTGCGCTAATCATTAATTAATCTACTTTGAATTCAGATCTATCGCCAATAAAATGCATTACATTCTCCTCAAATCATCCGTCCGTATCTGAATTTGCCATGAATTCATGTTAAAAAGGACAAGATTATTTCAATTCAATTCTTTATTGACCTAAAGCTTTGCAGCTTATCAGTATCACGTTAAAACTGTTGATACAGGTGATTAAAGAATAACATACCTATGGAGAATATACACACGCCTATATTTCATTAATTCTTAGTTGACATGCTCTATAAAGAAATTTGCCAAGACAAGACTTCTGCTCTACATTGGTAATAGTACATAACTATACACGTTTAAATACTGAGGTTATTTTCCAGTAGTATTTGATGAGCGTCTGTTACTCTCAGGGCGCTGACACAAATCACTCAGGTTGTTACCCATGTGGCAAATGATCCTATTGGACTGGGCCGAGTGTGAAGCGGTCAAGCTGAAGTCGAGGCGATTCATCAATTTCGGCCTAAGTGTATCATTCATATGGAATCCTGTAAAAGAAATGCCAGCTAAAGATTCCACCCTTAGGTTTGTGTTACATATAAGTAACCCGGGGTTCTTTTAAATATACATATCAGTCTTGCATTTTAACCTCGAATATTTCATTCTTTAGTATAAATCTGTTGGCAACAAACGACTTTATAGTTTTGGGACAGCCAGATTAGCGATTGTATCATACAGAAGTTGTTACCTCCTACACCCAAACAGGGGCGGTCGGCTAGCCTGGTGGTTAAAGCGTTCGCTCGTCACGCCGAAGACCCGGGTTCGATTCCCGACATGGGTACAATGCGTGAAGCCCATTTCTGGTGTCCCCCGCCGTAATATTGCTGGAATATTGCTAAAAGCGGCGTAAAACCATATTCACTCACATCCTACACCCCGTGTCATGATTACATGCGAAAGACACTCAGTACTTTAAACGTTAGACAGACGAAGCTGACTTGTAGATGGAGAGACAAAGACAGTTGTTGAAATACCAGTCCAGAGACAACTGATTTACATTATTATAGAAATACTGAAATAGTGAATAGGGTGAATCTGGCTTTACACCAAACCAGCAAATTTGTAGCTATAGAGAAAAACAACTGGAAGATATGACCATAATAATTTCATGTTTTCCAAACATAATGATTTTCTCACCAGGAAGACCTAAAACGATCTAACCTCAAAATAATGTCCGAGCATTCCGTGCATGCACTTGAATATTGCCGACTGTAACGTAAAACAACATTCACTCACACTGCCTTGATACAATCTTCCATTAGCTAATGACAGAGATGCACATCCGAGGAGATGATAATGAATTTGTTGGAGCCTAAAGTTCGAAAGTGAATACCAAGTATATTTGGATGTGAACTTCGATATGTACAGTGACAGCGATATCCCTTTACACCACGTACATGACGGGAAGAGACGGAGAGAAGCTGGCCCCCGTTCCACAAAGCTATCTTAGCGCTAAGGTGATCGTAACTCCCATACTTTAACACTGGCTTACGATAGCCGTAGCGCTAAGATCACTTTGTGGAACGGTGCCTTGTTGTCACGTAGCCTAAGCTAAGTGTATTTCATTAAGCCAGCCGGCGCGGGGCTAAGTTGTAGGTGTATATTTGTACGCTATGTCGGATTTGTTGCACAAGCTATGCTATGCCACTATAGTCACTAGCTCTTGAAGGGTTATGGTTCATACGTATTAATCATGTTATTATTCATACGGTTCATTGTTTGATTCCCCTGTCTCAGACTACTTGTACATATTGGAGGGGCCGGAATTTGATTTTATTATTTTCAGAGAGGATTTATAAGAGGAAATTCGTTGTTTTTCATGACAGTGCATGAATTATTTTTTTCAAAAACGTTATTAAAACTTTCAATTATCCATTTTGTTTTATTTATCATCGACTCCAATATTTTATGTTGTTATCATCATTTCTTTCGTCAAAATCACATCGTTCAGATGACCACGTCTGTCGTCACAATCACATCCACCAGAAATGACTTCGTCACAATCACATTCGTCAGAAGTGTCCTGGTCACAAGCACATCCGTCAGAAATGTCTTTCGTAACAATGACATCTATCAACGACGTCTTTCGTAACAATGACATCTGTCAGAGACGTCTTTCGTAACAATGACATCTGTCAGAGACGTCTTTCGTCCAAAACATACCTGTCAGTGACCTCTTTCGTCAAACAGTCACACATCTGTCGGAAACATCTACTGACGGCTTTTAAAAACCGATACGTCTTTCTCTACGCAAACAGATAAAGATCCAACAGACAAGTATAGGCGCTCGACTTTGCATGCTTAGCAAACACATCAATATGCTGATATGTTTAGGGGTTATTTCAAAACTGTTCGAGGCAACAAGAAAGTAATCATTTTATTCGTCGGATATTTGGTACGAAGTAAGAAGGCGGCGAAGGTTTATTGACTTTTCGCAGTGCAACATTCCTTTTAAAAATAATACGAAAAAGTTAATAGTTCTCCCGAGGGACGTATATAAAAGTGTTAAAACCCCTTCCAGAATCGAAAGGAATCTTTGCTAAAAAAAAGCAGAGTTGATTGTACAATTCCGAGCTTGGGATCATTCATCACTAGCAAATAATCATGGTGCCAGGTGTTTGCGAAAAGGTGAGCGTATCCTGCTCCGTCGGTGTCATACGTCACAAACACATGCAAAGACAAGCCATGTGTTTCCACGGGAATATATGGTAGAAGTCAAAATAGAGAATTGCATCGGACACAAGTTTTGTCACTGATGCGTCAAATTTGGAAATGGCTTCTATAAAACCTTTTGAAAGCTTTACGGCTTTTGAGCATAAGTCGTTTGACGCTTTTTGAAATCTTCGTAGCATCTTCGTATACGTATGACACGTACCAGATAGAACTCAATTGTGTATATCTTCATGTGGTTACCAAGTGATAAATAATTGTATTTGTGTGTTGGATGCGGCTGAAATTAAGAAGTTCTGCCCCTCTTTTCAGTCCCCAAATAAAACCCGGTTTCTCGAATAAACGCCGGGTAGTATTTATGCAAGGGATTTTCCCCATTATTATCCATGCGGTTAAACGCCGGAGTAAAGAGCGTCTGAAAGACATACACACCCGAGCGTTTGATCGAGGAAAGACGGTACTGTCAGCGTAAATGACAGAACAAGCAAGCTACCTGTGTTCTGACTCTGATAGTTTTAGTGATGTACAGAAAGTAGGTTATACAATTAAGCCCAGAATTAATTTTACCTCTGCCTTCAATAATATTTTAACATTTGAAACCGAACGAGTAGGGTCCAATCTGTTCAATCAAATTCGAGTATTTCACGTAGTCGTGGTAGAATCTCTAAAAACTTCTAATTGATGGGGCTCTTTACTTTATATGTTTTTATTCATATATTTTTAAAGAGATAACAAATGTTTTAGATATGTTGTTTTTTTTAGTTTTTGTTTGTTTGTTGTTTAAAGCCGCACTCAGCAATATTCCAGCTATATGACGGCGGTCTGTAAATAATCGAGTCTGGACCAGACAATCCAGTGATTGACATCATGAGCATCCACGCAATTGGGATACGATGACATGCATCAACCAAGTCAGCGAGTCTGACCACCCGATCCCGTTAGTCGCCCTTTACGGCAAGCATGGGTTGCCTTTTAAATCTGTACCGAGGTGATACTTCAAATAAATGATCTGTCTGTCTGTCTGTGTGACTAATGTGCTACATTGTTTTCTGTTCCCACCACCAGGGGTGGGGGATGGCCAGGTCCAGCTGCAGCCAAACTGCCCCTCGGGGGAGGACATCCTGCGCTGTAAGGGGGAATATGTGAGGGATTTAGAAGGCATTATCGTCAACCCCCTCGAAGAGATCTACACCACCAACACATACTTCATCAAACCGATGGAATGGACGTATTATGAAACACAGCAAATATGCAGGTTGGAAATTTGAAAAGAAATGTTTTCTGAAATCCTATTTTGGTTCATGTCTGCTTCTCCGTCAAACCTGGGCAAAGGTGAATCGGTGATACCATGCATCACAACATTGTGCAGAATTACGTCCCTTATCTGCGCAAGGATCCGTTAGTTGTGTTTCGATTATATGTGGGAATCTTATGGTTTCACCTAAACCAGTTATCCTCTACGACACGCATCACCTTTAGCCTTGATGTCACTGAAATAATGGGGCGGTCGGGTAGCCTAGTGGTTAAAGCGTTCGCTCGTCACGCTGAAGACCCGGGTTCTTTTCCCGACATGGGTACAATGTGTGAAGCCCATTTCTGGTGTCCCCCGCCGTGATATTGCTTGAATATTGCTAAAAGCGGCGTAAAACCATACTCACTCACCCACTCACTGAAATAATGTGTTCATGCTATTAGCTGCGCCCTTTTATTGCGATCCTCTGGTCGTGTGTTCAAATCCATGTTTGGCCCCGATTATGATCCTCGGTCTGTCGGCATCCTGCATATCGTCTACCACCCGCACCAGTTTTGCACGTGGCATGACTGAAATACTTTGTAATGTGTTCAAATCAGCAATGAAACTCATGAAGTCACTCTTTGAACCAGGGGCGGGCAAGTCGTCTAAAGGATCGTTGTGTCCCCAAGGCGTGCCCGAAACTTGTGATCTTGGCTCATTCGTGAGCAACTCGTGTTATTCCGGGACATGCCGAATAGCGACTCGTGCCCCTCTCGTGGCCATTTTTGCGACCGGGTTCCGTCTTAGCGCAAACGGGCATACCTAAAACAATTGTCTACTCGTTGCATAATGGTTCACTAATAATTCCCCATATATTATATATATTTCAGCTGCAATTTAAATCACATCGGGACATGCGGATTTATACAGTATGATTGAACACATTTAACTGTGTCTTGGGTATATTTTTAGATGCACGACATATGTAAAATCAAAAATTGTTTCTGAGGGATTCTTTGACGAAGAACTTGAAATCATACGCGCATTCTGATTGGTTTGTCGTATTTTCGCACATAACATTCATCGATAGGGGGACCGGTCTTCTTGCAGGTTACGGAAAGGGGCGAGGGGTGACGAATGAGCTTGGGTTTGAATCCAAGCTTCGCCCGGATTGTGTTTCTAGGTCTGTCAGCACCAAACCAAGGATCGTGCGTTTCACCAAAGTTGCAAAGACCTTCATCACTTCGGGCTTTGAAACTGACACGCCGTGATATAACTGTAATATTGGTCGAAGGGGCGTTTTTACACAACTCACTCACTCACTCATTCAGGACACCGCCTTAATTCGTCTTCGTGGTTTGCTTTCAGATTCAAGACCCAGTACATAAACTATCTGCTGTGCGCAATAGATCTGCGCAGACGGTGCATGCTGCAGGACCAACGCCAAGTGTTAATGTCTCGGGCCCGGATCGAGCAGTCGATCAACTATTTGTGCAGCACCTATAAGTGTGATGAATGCTCAAAGATCTATTGTGATTACTGCTCAAGCGATAGATGTACGGTTGGATTTCACTGTTTACTGTTTTGAATATATATTTTGGGTACATGTTGTGTGTGTTAATCAACACTTGGAATATTAACAAATATGGCGTAAAACCCTACTCACTCATACTCGAAAAACAACTTAAAAACAACCCTTTCAGAGTTTGAGCGTATCTATACGGATAACCTGTGTCCGCCAGAGTGAATTCATCATGTAACTTATTTAATCCTTTAATCTGGTAACCTTAATCTCGAAACAAATCCCAGCAAAACAGGAAATGAATTGAAATGGAAAATCTTCGTCTTGTGATGTTTTATTGCAAATTTCACATTTTACTTGGCCACGTTTTATTATTTCCCACTCCTTCACCTGAAGCGATACAATGTAGTTTTTTGTTGCGCATAATACTCGATTTTTTTTTAACGCATCCCCTAGAGTGTGTGCATTATACTTGGTTGCACACTACAGTCAAGTAAATACAGTATATTGTTTGTTGTTTAACGCCTGGGCCAGCCAATCCAGTGATTGGTATCGTGAGCAACGAACCAGTCCGTCGGGTACGATGTGACACGCAATCAGCCAGGTCACCGAGTATGACCACCCGATCAATTAATTCGCGTTCAACCTGTTCTAACCACTGGGGCTAGGCTTGGTCATATCTTTCAGCCTGCGTCATGTTTGGCTTACCCAACGCCTGTAGGTGTCTCGTTGATATAGCTGCAATACTGGTCAGGATGGCGTTAAACCCAACTCACTCTCTCAACTAACACTTCAGTATTCCAGTACGACTGTGCACAGAGGAATATACCCCAGGTGAGGCAGTGCATGGGGGAGTACGAGACGATTCCACATCACTCAACAACCCCCGACATCGAGAAACGAACATGGGAGTTCCAGAATTACACTTGCAAGTAGGTAACGCTCTGGTTCAAACTAAGGCATGGGATGGGGGCTCCAGAATTACACTTGCAAGTAGGTAACGCTCTGGTTCAAACTGAGGTATGAGAGCTCCAGAATTACACTTGCAAGTAGGTAACGCTCAGGTTCAAACTGAGGTATGAGAGCTCCAGAATTACACTTGCAAGTAGGTAACGCTCTAGTTCAAACTGAGGTATGAGAGCTCCAGAATTACACTTGCAAGTAGGTAACGCTCTAGTTCAAACTGAGGTATGAGAGCTCCAGAATTACACTTACAAGTAGGTAACGCTCAGGTTCAAACTGAGGTATGAGAGCTCCAGAATAACACATGCAAGTAGGTAACGCTCTAGTTCAAACTGAGGTATGGTGTGGGAGTGACCCCGTTGTCTAAGGTTTCCACCGGATTCGAATCCCGGATGAAACACCACCCAAAATATTAGTAGCGTTAATACTTTCCTGAGAAAGTGTAATCCCAAATATAGCATATGGTAAAAATGACAATGTTTAAAAAGGCATTGTCTATTCATGCACATAATGTCTCAGTTGGCAAAACACCCCACTTTGTTTTATCCCCTTTTTTCAACAAGACTCACTGTTTTGTGTAATGTCTCCGGCTGACCCACCATTTTGTTTCAACAGAGTGATCAACACCTACCGCAACTGTATAATCAAAGCCCACCACCCCTGCGGCTACTACACGAAGAACGTGACGGTCTGGGTCTCCTTGTTCGCCAGACCCTACATCTGTTCAGCCACGACACACACCGCGTCCGTGCTATTGACAATAGGCATAATACTATCAGCTGTCATTCACAGAATCTGTTAATAACGTGTTTGGTTTGTTTTCATCTTTGCTTTCATATTTGCAATGGAAAATTCACAATTTGGTATTGATATGATGCTTTACAATCATTTTCAGTGACGGAACAGACTTTATAAAATACGTATGAAATGATGAAGAATATCTCAGGTATTTACGCTACAAGGTCAGATGTCTCGTCTCGGGTAAAAATTTGTTTCATTGCATAAATATAATTGACTTTATGGGGTTCAAACTCGGTTTTATACTTTGTCGGATAAGGGTATAAATCGCAATACCCAGGGTACCTGAAGACTTTTTAAATATCTATTTATTTAATTCGATGAAAAGTGATAATGTTTGTGATGTGTAAAGAAAATGATCTTGACTTGTGTAAGGGAGATAACTCTTGTTGACTTCTTTGAAAAGAATAGCGCTATTATAAAAATAGCCTTAGTTACTTTAATGGTAGACTGCTGGGTACGTGATCTCAAGATGTGAATGAAACCGTGTTTTGTTTATAATATTGTGTATGTACAAATATCAAGGCTTGCTTTCTACAGTACTTGGCAATACCAGTATTATATAGAACGTTAGGACTAGAGTATGTTACTCCAATACTTGCTTTAGAGGGAGTCAACCCTTGAACTACAGGTGCTAGATAGATCGGTGAGACGTAGTGTAGTTTTTTGGTTTCCATGGTAACGTGGTCACTTTCTTGAATCTACGCGTGAATGTGACACTTGAAAACATGTGTTTTCTTGTTGAAGTATCGAATTTCGATTATTGTACATATATCACCGCCATGTTTTTGAAGAAGTGACAACAGTTGGTTCAGGTTTGTATACTGTAAAAACAAGTGATAAAAGTATTGTTTTCCTACATTCCCTTAATATTTCAATAAAAGCAAAAAAGGAACATATTTACCAAGATTAAACGAAGTTCATTTGTACATTTAACATTACCATATACATTGCATTCTACAGCAATATTTTTGAGAAACAAAATAAAAGTCTTTTATTTCTTAGATAATTCGGTCAATTTATTTCCTTCTATTTCAAACGATTTTCTGAATTCACCCATATGGCAATTATAAAGAATTCTCACTTTTGCGTGCAGCTGTATCAATGATATTTTTGTAGATAATATCTGGATATTGTGGTAAACTTTTGTAAATCGTGATGACATTGTTCTTCCAAGTTGTTTTTCAAAACTCAGCAACTGTGCTTATCTTCCTTTGTGAAAAATGCATCTGTACCTATAAGGACAGGTGTACTAAACTCTCATTTTTACATCTTTTATTATTTATACAAATAAAACACCTTTTCATTTAGGCATGTCTTGTTAAAGTGTGTTCTCTGTTTCAAATACTGGTTGTACATGATTTTAATATATATACAAACATGTCTGTGTATATTTCCTGATCGACAGTGATAACACTTACTCGTGTTTTTATCGCTTCTTTTGTTAAAGATTCTCATTGTAAATATAAGATGATGATTGCCATTTTTTTCGTGTTTCACATCGTAATTTTGGTGGAAACCGAAACTTCAAAATGCATGAAATGAGAAAAACGAAATTGCTAATTCTTTTCACCCGGATCAATGGTATTCTTGACTTAAAATAGGGAGAAAAAATGATTGCATTTTGTCAATGTTATAGTTTTGGTACTTCTCAAGATTTAAAGAAAAATCGGGTGATATGTGACGCGCTTTTGAGGTTTGGCTTTTTAAGATGTTGTTTCCGTTCTTCTTTCCCCAATAACTATAGATCGATGGGCGAAACAGAAGAACAATGCAAACATTTCTTTATAAAAAGTGATGTCTTCACTGTTTTGTCCGTTGGATGAAATAAGGAAAACAGGAAAGGAAGTTTTTTATAATGACAACTTGATTAAATGGTTGCTTGCCTTACAATATTAACCCATCATGACCTACTTTTTTCAAGTTATTTTTGTCATTTCTGATGTAAGTTAAACGATTCGTCGAGAAGAAACAATCCTACTCAAATGTTTAATATACTTTCATATTTGTGAAACGTTTAGTCTGTGGATGTTTAAAGCAAGAAATCAAACAGAGTGTGTAAGCATCCCGGAACTCCATTGGTAATCACTAGCTTTATGTCCGGGCTGACGCTGTGCCTTGTTTTGTCCATTCGCGGAATGAAGGTACTGATTACTGATTGAGTCAATATCAAAACTGATCTCAACATATATCTGTACATGTTTTGTCTGCACAATATAACGAGAACGCTTCATATGTAACAAAACTACCCAAATTTCTACTTGTTTACTCTCCAAAAAGATCTGCTTTTATCTAACGTTTGCCCCGCACATCATTGATGGTACAGGGTCTGTTTGAAGTGCGTTTCTCCATCGTTTAGGACACAGTGTATTCAAACCCGAGTAATGAACGTGCACCACTTCCATGTACCGTTATCAGATGCAATCTCCAAGAAACGCAATAGGTGTTGAAGTATGTCTTTATACTAATTGTGCGAGTGGCGAGTGCCACCGGTATGGCAGGACATGCTAACCCTTTTCGCGAACGGGGGCACGGGTGGCCCAGTCGTCTAAGGCGCCGCGATTCGCTGTGCAGAGTTGCGTCCCTTGAACATGCCAGAAACCTATGATTGTGGGTTCGAATCCTGGTTCGCCCCGATTATGTTTCTAGGTTTGTCAGCAACATAACCGTGCTCGTGGGTTTCACCGGAGTGGTAAACGTCTGAGACCTGCATCACTTCGGGCTTTCCTCCCACATTAAGCTGACACGCCGTGATATGACTGGAATAATGTTAAAAGCGGCGTTAAACCCAACTCACTCACTCACTCACTTTTCGCGAACACCTGGTGTCATCACTAATTTTCAGTTAATGGAGACTGGTTATTCTCTGGCATTGGCGTTTTATATTTATTTGACTCAGGAAATATGCTGATCATGTAGAATTTTATTGCGTCATAAAACAACTCTTATAGAGGATTACAGTAGGTGTCCAGTCTAGATTTAGACGTTATGACGTGAAGAATCAGCAGAGGGTCATAGCGGAGTTAGAACACAATTGTATGCTTGCTAGAACTATCATTTAAAATGACCCCACTTAAGCATATCTTTCTACTGTCAGTTAAAACCGTTCGTTAATGTTAACGGAAAGTGGCGAGCTGATTTGAATGAACCACCAACGTTAAGTAACGCGAATCGGCTCAGTGATATTGCGCACGTATCGTCACGCGGCGTTAGAGATATAAGTAGACAAGATCCCAGTCAAGCATTCAGCTTGGTCACGGATTGAAGAACTGGTTACGCTCCTTGACTACGCGGCTACCTTGTCACTGTCACGATCGATGCAACGGACGAGGCAGTGACACAGACCAAACGATGCACTCTTTGGCGATGCCGAAATAGATTATATTTTTTCTTTAATTTTATGTCTCACTCAAGAAGAGTTTGAATTTCCCAGGAAGCAATTCAAATGCACGATCGGAATTTGGACAGTTAGTAACTGTAATATCTTGCAATTGGGCGAAAAGTAATAAAATCTGTGTAGCTATTTCTATTCTTATTAAACCTTCTACAAGGATTGAGTCCAGTGGTTAAAGTGTTCGCTCGTCAGGCCGAAAACATGGGTTCGATAACCCATATGGATACAATGTGTGAAGCCCATTTCTGTGGCGGCCGATGGATTAGCCTAGTGGTTAAAGCGTTCGCTCGTCACGCAGATTACCCGGGTTCGATTCCCCACATGGGTACAATTTGTGAAGCCCATTTCTGGTGTCCCCCGCGGTGATGATAAATGCAATGATGTTTAAAACCATACTCACTCATTTCTGTCGCAAAACATCCTTCTCTCACTTACTTTAAAATACCCAAACATGAATTCAGTGGCGTTAATTATTACTTCGCGGATTAAAATACTCACATTCTCCTTCCCCGTGTTTAATCTTTGTTTGTTTATGTTCTTGATTTAAGAGTGTAGATATGTATTTTACAGTTTCAGCTCTATTTGTACATAAGCAACTAAAAATGTTCTCATTTTATAAAAAAATCGAGATGATTGTCATTTTGTATGTACAGCAGAATATTTTTTATTGTCCTGTTTGACAAATAAATCATAAACTTAATACTAACTGGTGTTTATGTATATTTGACCAGCTAGTCTCTGCTTCACTGTGGTCGTCACATACAAATATTTACTGTGACAATTATCATTTGCGTTTTCTAATAACGACCCATAGACTGATCCCCGGCCGCGTCATACCAAAAAATGCTGAAGATGGTACTTGTTGTTACCCTGCCTGGTGCTCGGCAGTTAGGGCTCAGTCACACATACAGGATTTTTACTGCCGTCCTTGATAGGACCATTCCCGATTAAAATTTGTCAAAAGTCTGATCAAGATCCTGTGATTCGTGGCGGGAAATTCACAAACAATCAGATATTGTTCACGAATCGTCCCGATTCAGCCATTTCCAGCCGAATTCGTCCCGATTCTCCCGTTCTCAATCCGAATCTGATCCGATTTGTGTCTTCCGCATGGTAAAAAAAAGACCGAATCTGTCCCGACAGCGTCCCAATTCTCCCGAATGAGATCCAACAGAGATCACACAGTGACGGGACAGTGAACGGACAAAGACGGTTCGCATTCGGCAAGATCTGGACTCAATCGACAAGAAACGGCAATGAACAATTCATGCCCTTTCATCACGACAGCGTCCCGATCCACAGGACACCGTCCAGACAACACAGGACGTTGTTACGATTTTGATCCGACACAGCAGAATCTGTCACGACATAGTCACGATTGTTACGGGACGCACCATACTGTCGGGAGGGCTTGGCCGACCTCTCTGGACCTTTCCCGATCCGTAGGACCCTGTTACGTACGACTGTGTTCAGACAATGATAGGACATTCCAGATCATTGAGGATAGTAATCCGACTTTTTCACTTTCGTGTCGTAGCGCTGTCAGATCTCAAACGGGAGCCATAATCGGCACAGTGTGAACCTGGCCCAAGGGCCTACAATATAGACTGATCTGCTCGGAGTCATTTAATGTGTCTGAGTGGGGTATCCATGTTAAACTGTGACGTGGTATCTTAGTGGGCTAGCATTATCAAACCAGTATAATATACTGAACTACAACCGCATGATAGGGTGTCACTGGATTTACACGAAAGAGATCAGATGTCAGCGAGCTACGAGAATATCGCAGCACCTTATGAAGAATAGTTACTTTTCTGTAACAAGTAGAATTGCGGCATCTTCACAGGGACTTGGGTGATCTTTTTCTTAAATAATGATAATGAAGAAGTGTCCTTTACTTCAGTTTGAAGAGAGTTCCACAAATAACTGCTGTCATAGATATAAGCTTGATTTTTGGGCAAACTTAGGTCAACATGTGACAATTCTTGCTGCTTCGGATTGGACCATTTCACCGCTACTTTCTACAGTACAGCTGTCCCAGACGTCTGATGCATAGTCTATATACAATAGATAACATACATCATACACTTTTGACAAAATGTTTCTCTAAAATAGAAGTTACATAGTCTAAACATATTTTATTTCGACTGAAAATTGGGATCAGTTAACAAGACGACGCTTTTTAAATACCTCTCCCTCTATATACATCGAGTAACAAAAGATATTCAAGATGTATACATAATAATTACACAATATATACCTTGGCGGTGTAATCAAGTACACAAGTCTTTGGGCGATCGGTTTTATTGTCATCTGCGTTGTTTTTTATTATCCAAGACGATATGCTCGACAACTGCAGCTGAACTGCGTCAGGCGTTCCTCAGAGTGTAATACGCTCAAGTGCCTATGGCCTTCATCAACCGCCTCATCCATTCCATGTATCGACGTTGCACGGCAGTAATCAATGCACATGGCGGACACACGAGATACTGACTTGTGATGCCATTTTCTCAAAGACTAGTGTTGTGTTTCACTTTAAGAACATTTGACACTTTAATTTCAACCTTGGTGATCAGTTTTGCCATGTTTCATCTTTTAATATGTCTCAAAGTATGTTTACAGTGTTTGGACAAATAAGGTTCTCATGTATCTATCCATGGTGACGTTTCTTTTGCGGTTCAGTATATATGCAATACATCAGTATTCATTTACCAATACTATTCATAGAACTATGTACATAACTCCTACAAGACTGACATACTACTGTTGAATATATTACTGAGAGTAAATTATTGATAGAGATAAATGTATGTCTAACAGCTACAGCTATAAGCTGTATACTATATAAATTACTACTGAAAGCACCGTATAACAATATGGTAGCTTAAAACACTAATTAAATTATGTACTTCTGGTACGGAGGCACGGCTGGCCCAGTCCTCTAAGGCGCCGCAAATCGCTGTGCAGAGTTGCGTCCCTTGGGCACGCCAGAAACCTATGATTGTGGGTTCGAATCCCTGTTCGCCCCGATTATATTTCTAGGTTTGTCAGCACCATACCCGTGCTCATCGAAGTGGTAACCGTCTAAGACCAGCATCACTTCGAGATTTCCTCCCACATTAAGCTGACACGACTTGATATAACTGGACTCACTCTCCTGGTTACTGAAATCATTGCTAATCACCACTACTAATACTATTGTAACATGACATTGTTAAATGTACACATGCACTTAATTTTCTAATTCTTCTGGTAACTCAACTATGAAGATAAAACAGCACAAAATCGCATTTATGGTCTGCAGTTCTTTCAAACGGAACGCATGGCTTACATCTAGACTGTATATAATGAACATATTTTATAGATTAAAACATTTATTACGTTGTATTACAATCTCATTAAAATCAGATCTCTCCTCGCTATCGCTTAACAAAGATCTGAGGACTTCCCATTACGGGTCACGTCAGAACGACCTTTCATCCGACCAATCAAAGCATCGCTTACCAGATCATGAAAGTGACAGTCGGAATGTATTTTCTATTCATGCAACCTCGAAAACGTTAACACGGGGTTTTCCGAACGACAGTGACGGCTCGTACGACTGATTCCGTCAAAATTATCGTCTATCTCTCGGTTCCGTGGGATAAACATTTGAAAGGAGGACGCGTTGCACAGTACATAGGAAGCTCTGCCATACACTCTCAACCATATATTAGACATTAGGGAATGTTCGTTTGTTCAGTTTTCAAAATATTAATCGAGAACTGTGTCAATATATTTTTCAAGCGTTGGGAGAAATGGAATTGCTAGGTTGAAACGGATGACGTAAAGCTCGAGAAAACTGATTTCTTATTGGCTGATGTCGACTTGCCTGATGTCATTTCAGTCGTCGGTCAAAGTTCGCGAAAGGTCGTCCCGACATGACCCGTAATGGGATGTCCTCAGATCTTTGTTTAGCGGCAGCGAGAACATAGATCTGATTTAAATGAGATTGGTTTCGAAATAGTTATGAAATATAAGGAAAAGGAGCCCAGAGGCTCTCTTCGTTTTCAGATACCGCAGTAATCTAGACTTGCCAAATATTAAAGCCATTTGTTTCAGGGTCTGTATGACAGACTAGACTTACACGTGGCTGTGAGAACTTCATGACTGCCGAGTCGTCCATGTGGGACCCGAAGAGCCCGTGCAGCATTCGTTTTCTAATGACCGCTCGCGCAGCCCGTGTTTTTATCGTCTACGCTGCAAAAGCGATTCGACGAGGCCAGAGTTTTTCTTAAGTTTAATTACCGGGTGAACTTCTAGTTAATTTAAACATCGACCAGTGAGTCATAAACGCATTCTGATGTATATTTCTTGACATAATTACCGACATCCACACCAGACTCTGTACAAAAGGATTTCCCTGGAGAGAACAACCTGTGTCACCGGGGGTTTGTGGGTAACTAGCTACACGTTGGAAGTCACCGACCCGTGAGTTGTTGACGGTGCGGTGAAGTCAACAAGATGGCACCATGGGGATGTGTGTTTGACTTACTGATGCTTGACGACGGGTGAACACACACGATTCTCGGTACATACAGTTGAAGTTACTGAGTCCGCGAAGATCCGGGTTAGAATAAGCCTTCAGCAACCCAGCAACCCCACTAATGGGATCGGGTGGTCAGGCTCGGTTAATGCATGTCATGGTATCCCAATTGCATGGATTGATGCTCATTATATCAATCACAGGATTGTCTGGCCCAGACACAATTATTTACAAACCGCCGTCGTATAGAACGAATATTGATGATACGTTAAACAAACAACAGTAGGTTATTGCTGTTATTGTTGTCCCGCGGGTTCAACAATTCATTGTTGGGATGTTTACACTATATGTTGTCATGACATGCCTTGTGATAAATCGATGTCTGACAAGTTGTTTGTTTGTTTGTTTGTTGTTTAACGCCGCACTCAGCAATATTCCAGCTATGTGACGGCGGTCTGTAAATAATCGAGTCTGGACCAGACAATCCAGTGACTGGCACCATGAGCATCAATCAGCGCAATTGGGATACGATGATATGCATCAACCAAGTCAGCGAGCCTGACCACCCGATCGCGTTAGTCGCCTCTTTCAACAAGCACAGTCGCCTTTCACCGCATGTTTGACAAGTAAAGAAACAACAATATCCACATAGTATGGTCGTGTTTGTTTCACATTGTCGAAGATACACACCCATACAGTGTGCAAGAGGGACGACGTGCATATGACTCCCGAACTGGTGTTGATTGTCAAAACTATAGGTGTGGAAAGGTGGGGTGAAATGAATTGGGGTCTAACGTCGCGTTCATTATTATTGCCCTTTTTTAGCGGCATGCATGCACGCGTGATGGCTGCTTATGCTAGTCCGGGCTAATGCCCATTTTATAGTGGTAAACCACGGAGATACCATGCTGCAGTATAACAATCGATTCCCCACTTAGACACAGTATTCTGCACCGATTGACATAAAAATATACCAGGCTTGTTCACAGGTATAGTGCTGGTTGAAAGATTCCAAGTTACCCAACGCTATGTAACATACAATGTATACTACACAAATGAAGTTAAGGTCCACTCGATTATTTCCTGCCATGAGTATGAGACGCCAGCCCTGGTAACTGGGTAAATAACGACACAACACAGGCAATGTTTCAATGTCGAGTCCATTATCCGATGTCGTAA